ATATCTTGAGGGACAAAAAAAAAACAAAAAACAGGGAAAATGTAAACTCTTTTTTTTTTTAATTCCTCAAACATACATTTCAGAGAAGTGAGAAGATCAGATAAAGAAACAAGACGCTATTCAACTTCAACCTTGATTTCTCTCTCTGTCTCTTTAAAAAGGGTGGTAAAATCAATACAGACCAATAATAACTTCACATTTGTGGAAGCAACATGAATGGTTCTCCAAAATATTGAGACACATCCAAGTACATTTCAGCAGAGCTGATATTTATCAGAAGTCATTTGCCCTCGAGCAGATGCTTGCTTTCATTGTACTCCTGTCACAAATGACTAAGATTTATGACAGACAATTACAGCATCTGCAGTTTGCTGCCTTATAATCAGTACCATTATTTAACGATTGGTGCAATAAACTGACTCCTGTTACTGTTTATCAGATATCACTCAGTTCTGGCTATTTTCTTCTGCGCCCACATCACAGTATGGTGCAACCACTGGCTTTTAGTGGCCACTATGAAACACAATTTCACTGACTGCCAGCAAAGAGGGGAAAAAATTCAACCAATTACACATAAGCGAGAGGCCCTCACATTTCAAATCACTGCGTACATAACTATCTCTTTACAGGCTGCAGAGAAGAAATAACAGTCCTACTGCAGCAGATAAGAGGCTTTTATTTAGACACCATGCATACATTTTCTCACCTTATTACATTTTTTTTTTTTATCATTGTTAAGCAAATCCATGCACATGCAGCGTATTAGGATGTGTACCAGAAAGCACCGAATTTGTATGCAGAACCCACCCGCAGAGCACTCAGTAGTCCTACAGTTAGTCTATTAGTATAATCAGCTAAGAATAAATGCCAGGTTCAGAAAATCCAGAGCATATTAAATGTATTCATTCAAATATTAAAAGATATTTTTTTTTTGGGTGATGGAGTAAGCACTCAAAATGGGCTCTGAAATACATACATTCAATATGTGCTATTATAATTCTGTTATCAAAGCACAGGTTCTTATACAACAAAAATGATCTTTGCTATAGTATCAAATGATTTATTGGGAATTTTTAATGTCACATAAAAGTGTATGATTTGGTTTCTTTTTCTTTTGAACATTTTTCTTTTTTTAATTGTTCAGTAAAGTAAAATCAATTGCAGCATTGATTTTTTTGTTTAAATATAGATTTTTCACAATTTTTTGGACCTACTATTTGCTGTTATTTATTTTATTATTTTTTGTCACAAGTTTTTTTACATGTTGTTTTTATAGAGTAGTTTTTATGGCTATTCATATACAGGTGGTCCTCGTTTTGCGACCTGCCTGTTTTACAACGGCTCGCACTTACGACCAGTGGTAGGGAGTGTCTACTTAGGTTTTTTTTGTTGTTGATACTACATAGAAACATGGAATGAGACGGCAGATAAGAACCATTTGGCCCATCTAGTCTGCCCAATTTTCTAAATCCTTTCATTAGTCCCTAATCTTATCTTATAGTTAGGATAGCCTTATGCCTATCCCACGCATGCTTAAACTCCCTCACTGTGTTAACCTCTACCACTTCAGCTGGAAGGCTATTCCATGCATCCACTACTCTCTCTGTTGTGGGGTGAGTATGCTCTCAGCTCGAGGTATGTGGTCGGGTGCATTGAGGAGATAGAATGTGGGTCGGGTGGCGGCGCCATTTTGAGACGAGGCAGCGGCTTGAGGAGGTCGGCGATATCGCTGGAGCTGTCCCCCGTGAGGGATTTAAGCTTTTCCCCATTGAGTGCTGAGGTGTTGGTCCCTAACTCGGGCTGAATCAGGGTTAGTAAGCGGGAGTTTAGCCGACTCCCTTCAGCGTACAAGCCGCGCCCCCCAAATTCTGTGTTTTGTTGGCTTGATTTTAGGATAAATCAACAAAATTAGGATCATATAGGATCATATTGCAGCAATTTATGAACATGTGAAAATTAAAATAATGGCACAGTAGAATTTCATGAACACTTTAATCCCCAAGCAGATATAAATACTATTGGAACACACTCTCAAGCTTAAAGGACCACTATAAGCTTGAGACCAGAGTCCTAATTACTTCTCCACTCTACGACACAATCACTGCTTCTTTAACTAAGGCCCATAGGGCTGGATATCCCTCCTATTTTCGAGGTCTCAGCAACATTAATAAGCCCCACATTACTTAATTTATTATATAGGCCTACCATGTTTGCCCTTTAATTTTAATTGTATGTTCTACTACTCAGCCAGTACACTCCAACCTGATATTTTTACCACATGTATTCCTTTGCTTACTTACGGAATGTTTAGTTTGTATATTTTGGCTTATAAAAAAAAAAAAAAAGTGCAATTCTTTCATGCTATGGCAATGTATTTTCCTGTACGTTAAAGCACTGCTTGTCAATGCTGTCATGGCGCCACAAGCTTGTTTGTTCTTCTTTGTACAATAAAAATAAAGAATTTAAAAAAAACACAGAATTAATTCACTTGATTTAACCATTAAAAGTTACTTCAAGCACTATGATCACTTGAGTGTTTTGAAGTGGTTGTCGTGCACGGAGCCTATATGTGCTGCATTTTAGTATGAAAGTATAGTATATGTTGGTATGTTGTGCATATTATTAGTATGTTGCACTTATAGAGATATTTACTGTTGCTACTGGAGGTGTAAGGCCACCTCCAAGAACGAGAGTTCTCGGCTGGGTAAAGTTAAATCAGTGCATAAAAAACATATTTTGTCAGAACGCATATCATACTGATAGCGATTGTCCTTTGGTGGCCCCCTCCTGTGCTGCCCTATGTCCCCCCTCAGCCTGCAGTGAGGGTGAGTGACACCATGAAGGATGGACTGGGAAGCAGGAACAACTTGACCTGGGCATTGGTTATAACTTTTTTTTTAAAGGGGGAGGCCATACCAGCAAGGGTGTCTTCAAATAAATCTGAAAGGCTTTTGTTAATTTTTTTTTTTTTTTTTTTATAGTTGGGACCTTCTGTTTTCAACATAGCTGAAAAGAGACTTGCCTCTATCAAATTCAGCCTTCCTCACATATGTTTATGCTGTTGATCCAAAAGAAGGCAAAAAACCTAGTCTGAAGCGGTTCCAATTTTGCAACAAACTAGGAAAAAATTCCTTCTTGACCCCAAAATAGCAGTCAGCTGTCTCCTTGGATCAAGCAGCTATTACCCCACTAATTAGAAATTATATCCCTGTATGTTATGTTTAAATATATCTGCATAGAAGATGTTGCTTTAAAAACAATGAGCTTGAATTTCAATAGCTTACATCTTAGTGTAGCATCGATGATAAAACTTTTTAAGCTTCTGTCAAAACAATAGCACTTCTATTCAATTATCTGTGCTGGCTCTAAAACACTTTGTACTGCCTGATTTTGTACACAAATCCCACTCTACACCCTCTTCCCTTTACTGACAATTCTAGCAAGTTAAAGTAACATTCCTATCCATACACAACATTCACATTTTTTTGTGACACGCCAGAAAGTAAAGATGTGTAAAACACTACCAAACTAAAATAAACAAGTTAAGATGGAGCAATACCTCTTGCTCAGTAGTTGACTAACAATTAAAAAATAAGTAGGCAACCCCAATCTCCTGAACCTGAGTGCACACTATGAGAACACTGATTGCAGAGTAATAATATCCCTATGCCCATCACCTGATATTATGTAAGATACATTTTGTTTTCCTATCTATACTTTCCAAGTCACTAATAATTATAAAAAAACGATGAGGTGTTTTAGGGTCTTTACATTACAGCATTGGCTCTGTCCTGTAAGGTGGTTGGTTGGGTTTGATCCAAGCCTATGCAATTCAGTGACATCCCTACAAAGATGCCAGAGTGCAGCTAAATTAATTTTAGTCGGTAATAACTCTACAAAAACGATTAAAATAAATAAAAAATTTACTGAGCTCCACAGTGTGACAAGTTGAGTTCAGCCAATCACATTATGGGGAAGGCAAAACCCCAACACAAAACTAACATGCAGACAAAACGTTAGTGGCGGCCATATTTATCGACAGCGCAAACGTGTTTGATTCAATGATGAACTGCAAAAAAAGAGTGAAAATCCATACACTATCTCTCTACATATTAAAGTTGGCACACAAATTCTGAGATTAATTTTACTAATTTTTTTGTAGAGAAGTCTTAAATTTCATTAAAAGAGGTAATATAATGCTTCATCATTCTTTACTGTTCTTTTTAACAAAAAAAATGTATGAAGAAACTTAAAAATCACAGAATATCCTTTTGCCAATCACCTCCTCTGACCACTCACTATAATTCATTTCTATGTAATCATGGATGACAACCTAATAATATAAAAACATTTTATTATAACTTCCAATTAAATTCATATCCTTAATTCAATATGATTGCACATGTAGGTTTATTTTTTTTATTTATCAAGTTTGTAAATACAAGCGAAGCATGGGAATCAGATACATATAAGGCAATACAAGATGATGATGAATCAGAAAATGTACAGCAAAGAAAGAATATAAATAAGAAAAAAATGAAATTAAGAGTGCAAAAAATGTGTTGGTGATCCAGGGCATTGATAAGTTGTATCCTATGTTCACCCATGATGTAACCCTAGTTGTAATCTTATATGATACTGAAGACCCATATATACTGCTTTGGTAGCCAATTAATGTAAGGAGAAGTTGATTACTTCCAAGATTTGGTGAAGGCACTTAAGCAATCACTTTGCGCTCTGCATTTTTATATTCTTTAATTGGTTGTCCATGTAAAAAGGGCAATTGTTCAGGATATGTAGTGTAGTTCAAAGTTAAGATTAACAACAAGAGTTGGGAATTATCACCACTGTTAGAAGTAAGGCAGAGGTTGCCCATAACCTTTCCAAAAGAGATTTGAAGGTGGAGCTTTTATGTGATCGAGGTAGGTGGGTTTCAAGTACCAATATTCCGTCTTCTATCTTAAACAGGAACAAAATCTCAAATTCTGAATTTTTCTTCTGTTTGGAACAAAGTCTCTAATATCTTCAAGGTCTCCTCTTCTGATTTAACTTGTTGTGAAACTGTTCTTTTCACTGAAAAATGTAACAAACACATGCAATAATCAGGGAGGGTTCTCATAAGCAGTATAGTATTTCCTCCATGCTTTTAATAAAGTTATTGACTTTTTATACAAAATTTAGAAACAAAATTTGAGAATTTGATGTCAAGAGTGTAGACTATTATTATGATAATTTAAAGTTTAATACTAATATCAAAGAGAGATGTTTCAGGGGCCTTAAAATAGGTTTCTGTGTAGATTTTCTAGTCTAGTGCTCTGCGTTAAAAGTATATTTTAAAAATTCTATAATAAAGGTTATAGTAATCATATCATCACATGCAATATAGGTATATAATTTATCTATTCCTGCTGACTGCCTTAACCAATGAATCAAAACTGCTAATGTAGAAGAAGTAACTGTTAAAGGATTTAGAAACAAAAGTAGAAATTAATTAAGCTATGGTTCCTTCAACCATGTTTTAAATATCCAATCATACATATTGGAGGATTTTGTGAACATTCAGAAAAGATTATGGTGTTAGTGTGGGTTTAACCTTCTCTTGACTCTTATATAAAATGTAAAACTTAAAATGACTTTAAGAAAGGTCAATCACCAACATCTGACATATAAAACTAGAATTAAATCAAACATAACATAATATGACGTTACATGATAAAGTCAGCGCAGGTGTTCATTCATAATCTGAGCAGTGAAATTATTAATTGTTTTTCAAGTCTACCTCATTATTAAAGTTTCCTAGTTTTCTCGACGTATTATGTACACACTGGAATATTTGTTGTCTACCTCTTCACCTGACTGCCTATTCAAAAATAAAGAATTAAAAATCAAAAAAATCTCCTAGTGTGTGGTAAAAATACTTGTCTGAAAGAAGTTCAATTTCGGTGCATGCATTTGGGCCTAGCCATGTAAAAACAGAGAAAGATTCACTGCACCTAACTATAAATAAATAAATAAATAAATATGAACCTGCTTTATGCTCCAACGGGGGTAACAAAACAGCTTCTCTGAGCACTACATACATAGCTTGTGCATTGCATTATCCCTATCTAGCCTTAATTTAACCTTATTAGTACTGCAGCTGTGAATACGGAAGGATCGCTAAACACAAATAATGAAATAAAATAAATGCATGTATATATAAAAAGTAACATAGATTTACTTAAACCCAATGCTGTAATAACTGGTGTCATGGAAAAGCTAAAAATGTTGTTACAGTTTATTGGGCAAGATAACAGCCCTCTTACTTGCATACAATCCCACTAGGCAAGCTATGCCACTGTAATTCAGTGCTGCTGTACAGTGAAGCATCATGTGCTTCTCTTCTCTGTAGCACTTAAAGTACAATAAATAAAGTAAATGAGTTAATCCCTCAGGGGCCAGGAGACTGGAAATCTCCTTCCACCAGGCAATTTAGCAGGCTTGAGACTGGTCATCCTATTGCCCCATTAATTAAGTTAACCTTCACTGTGCAGCCCATAGGGTGTAGGAAGGGGTAGCGACTTCTCAGCAGACCTCTACCTGTTAAACCTTCATTCCACACCACTGCACCCAGGGAGGCAGAAGAGGAGAGGCCACTTGCTGGGATAAACCTGGTATTATTGGGGTCTTCGGGATCAAATGAATTATTTTTTAATAGTTACATAGTATTACATAGTTACATAGGCTGAATAGAGACATGTGTCCATCAAGTGCAGCCTTCCTCACATTTTTGCTGTTGATTCAAAAGAAGGCAAAAAAAAACCAAAAAAACAGTTTGAAGCACTTCCAATTTTGCAACAAACAAGGAAAAAATGTCCCTCTTTATCCCAGAATGGTAGTCAGATTTACCCTTGGATCAAGAAGCTATTACCCTATAGATGAAAAATCATATCCTTCAATATTTTGTTTTTGCAAGTATGCATCTTGTTGCTGTATAAACAGCTGTACAGACTCTGATAAAACCACTTCTGCAGGCAAAGAATTCCACATCCGTATTGTTCTCACGGTAAAAAACAAAAACAAGAAAAAACACACAATGGTTTGTATTGGCCCCAGATATATTTGTATAATGTTATCATATCCCCTAGGAGGCAATGTTTTTCAAAACTAAAGAGGTCTAAATTTGTTAACCTTTCTACATAGCTAAAATATTCTATTCCTTTTTTAATTTTGTAGCCCGCCTCTGCACTTTTTTCTTTAGAACAGGAGCCCAAAATTGCACAGCATATTCAAGATGTGGTCTTACCAGTGATTTATAAAGAGGCAAAAGGATATTCTCATCCTGAGAATTAATGTAATTTTTTCATGCATGACAATACCTTACTGGCCTTAGCCACTGCTTATTGATCTTGCATACTGTTGCATAGTTTGTTGTCTATAACAAATCCCAAATCCTTCTTCTGTGTTGTTATCCCTAATTCGCTTTAATTTAGGGTATTCTTTATGCTGAAGTGAATTTTTCTACATTAAATTTCATCTGCCATTTGAGTGCCCAGTCCCCCATCTAAATTCCTCTGTAGCAAAGTAATATCTTGCTCACATTGTACTACTTACAGAGTCTTGTGTCATCTGCAAAATCATTTCTAAATATGTTAAATAGAAGAGGTCCCTTACCACCTATGTCCAGGTTGAAAATGTACCATTAATGACAACTCTCTAGTACTCTATTTTAAAGTCGATGTTCTCCCAAGAACAAGAATTTTCATCCAGGCTGATTTCTTTGAGTTTGAACACTAATCTATTGTGTGGAACTGTATCAAATGCCTCGGCAAAATCCAAATAGATCACATCCACGGCAACACCCTGATCTATACTTCTACTTACTTCTTAGTAGAATGCAATCAAGTTGGCTTAACATTAACTGTTATTTATAAAACCTGCTGATTGTAGCTGATAACCATGTTCATCTCAATGAATTCTTGAATAATAACCTTTCCAATACTTAGTTGATGAAAAAGTAATTTATTGTTTCAATGAAAGGGTTTAGACTGTTGGTATGTGTTTGTGTATACATGCTAGGGTCTCATAGACCCCATCATGGTTTTTCTTATTTTGGTTTTTTTTCAGTTGCCTTTCTTATTTATGGCTCCAAACAGTGGTTGTTTTTTTAAAGTATAATTTATTACATATTTTATTTCCTAGCATAGTAATAGTAACTGCATCGCTAGCCAGTGATGCAGTTACTATTACAGAACTTTAAACTGGTTTATAAGTGCAATGGATTCCAGTGGTAGGGTGACTTGTAACAAAACTTTGTGAATCTGTGTGATCATTAGGATTCTATAGGTTCCAACATGATATAAATCATAAAGGAAAATCCAGTGAGAGAAAAAGAGAAAGAGAAAAAAAAATAGTTATTGAATAGTAACTAAGTTTTGGAAATGGTCCCCAACATCTTTAGTGTATGGTGAGATGTATGGTATAAATAAGTAGGTAGGAGCTGCCAAATCCATCAACCCAATCTTCATATTCTGTGCACTAGGGAATGAGAAAGTAATAGATATACTGTTAGCAAATGGATCCTGACCCACCTATGCAATAAACTTGAGATACCCAAAATGTCTTTCATTGGATATTTCCCATTGATCCCTTACTGCCTATTGAGAAATATTGAATAGTGACATCACATCTGTCTTGTAATTTATCATAAAGTACAAGAGAGGGAGAATATAAAATATGTCTGCATTCTGGAAAAGTCTTTTTTATACTCTACAGACCTTATGGTATATTTTTGTGTTAACTTTTAGAGGTTCTATTTTGATGAGCAGAAAGTAAGGGTGAGATGTTTTTGTGACAACGCTGGACTTGGCAAGTTTGATTTACCTGCAAAGTTATGTAAGCTTAACAAGGTTAAGTGGTGGTCAGTAAGTATCATATAATGTGTCAAGATTTGTAGAGCAAGGTAGAAGGAATTCAAACATTAGGAACTCATTGGCCTAGCAATCCTACAAGTATATGGGTTAGGTTTAATAATTTGTATAAGAAGATTGGGCTTCTCCTTCATTAGGTATGGGTATTGGGTCCATTTAAGTATAAAGTCCATGATGGTGCTTACAGATCAGAGGCCCTAGCTTGAATATGGAATCCATTGCTCTTATGAGATGTGGACTACGGACCTTGAGATCTTATTCAGAATACTTCAATTAGCTCTCTGTACACAAAGAGGAGGTGATGGGTTTCTATAAAAAAAATCCACTTTCCTGCTTATGTGGAGGAACTGTATTAATAGCATGGTCTCAGGAACATGTTTTGCCTATATGGGACAAATTAATATCCTCCTAAAGTTATTTAGGGGGGTTATACATATAATGTATTCTTTGTTTGAGGAAGGAAGGTCTTTAGCCACAGGTATCTAGGGCTTCAATTAGTGTTGACTTGGTTTTGTTGGTTTTGTCAGACACTGCTTAGAAGGTAATGTGTGCCCAGCTTCTGTTTAGAGTCCAAATGTATTTTGAGAGTGATACATTGGCTGACATGGCTAACAAAAGTAAATGGCAAGAAAACAGAGATTGCATGTCCTGTCTAATCCTGTAGGAAAGCATAAACGTCTGGATGCAGACTCAAACTAGAAAAAGAGCATCTGATATTATAAACAAGACTCTGAGAGATAGATTTCCAAAGATCCATGTACACCTTGGATTACACAGAATACATTTCGATCCAATCTACAGCTGTTCCGTTAAAGCTTGAATTCCAATGTACTACTTTTTTGGATGAAAGCATTATTCTTCTCAAATTGCAATTTGTCAATATAAAATGAAACTTTTTGCCAACATGGCTTAGGCCTTTTTCTCCCACCAATGTTATTTATTGATCTCACTGCCAAGATGTTGTTTATTTGAAATGGGATACTGAAAAATGCCCTGTACTACTGAAGAAGGAAGAATCAAGTAGGAGGTCTTCACCTCCTACAGGGAGTTGCAACTTTTCTAGAAATAATTTTGCTCTTTTACATTCAACTCCTAAATCTTTGAAAACGAAAATCTTATTCTATTAGTTGAACTTATGTGAAACATGAAAATTACTTTGTAATTTCCTACCAAGCCTGCTTGTATTTTAGCAGTTTAAGTATTTTTCCTTAAGAAACTTCAGGTATGACATGAATGAATTTTTAAATTATGGATTTTTAGGTCTTTCCATAAATGTTGGGCTGAAGTGCTGCATTCTGTAGAAATATCTTTTTATATATATATATATACAAATGCATTTGAGAACATTTGTAATATTCTTGGAAGAAACCATAATGATATTTGAAATTCTGTTATTCATGGTAACATGACTGGTGTGTTTGAGAAATTTACTATGAATCATAACATAAATGTCTTCCACTGGATTAGAAAACCCAGATTTTAAAGGATATGAACTGCTCAGGTTGCATGTTCGTGATAGATTTTTACAGACGAAATGATTACCATTTTTATTTTTTCCAAATAAATTGTAAGAAACAATGACAAATGAAGTAGTCAGTAGAAGCGGCCACATAACATTGATTGTGCCATAAAATCTGATTATTAGCAGTAATTGCTCTAAATCTGGGATTGTTTAACAATAAAACAACTGAAAATAATCAAATTCTATCGATACTGAATCCCTGAATCTATAAATATTGTATCTGAACCTGAAGTTTGTATGATGATTATATCCACATACAGTTGTATTGTCTACAATCTACAGACATTTTGGGAATTTGTGTCTCAAAAATACCAACAAAAGCCTTACAAATACACGTAAACATGAGGTTAGTTCACAATTAATTTTAAAGAGTTACTTCAACTTCCATAACCACTCCTTTTTTTTTAAGTGGTCGAGGTAGTAGGAGTTTAGATGTGGTGTTTCAGATAAAAATCCAGAGATATTTCTAATTGTGTACAGGGGGCAAGTTGCACTCCCAGCAAACGTGACTGAGAGAGCCCAGAACTCTGTTCTATACTAAGTAATATCAAGTTTGTGCACAGAAAATGTCTCTGGTCAGCGTGCACTGCATGCTGACGACAGATGTAATAGATATGTCTAGTCTCTCCTCCTTCCTACATAGAATGAAGCCATCGCTATCCCCTATGCATTTTTTTTAATCCCCTGCTCTCTCTCTTCCTCCATTCCATCCCTCCCTCCCTTTCCCTGTGCATTAAATCCTCCAATCAAAGACTTCTCTATGATGTTAGATGGGGATGCACCAAGCAAGCACTAGGAAGATTTCAAAAAAGTGTGGGCTTTATGGTTGGAGATGAAGAGATAGGGGGATTAGGAGATGGGTTGGTGGTTCCGCAGTAGGTGCCCTTTTTTCTTTAATTTTCCTCACACTTATTGGAATAACTAGGTCAGTTTCTCTGTCCTTTTATGCAAGAGCGTACTTCCATCGGCATGGGTGTTTTTTTTGTTTTTTTGTTCTAAGGAGTTTAATTGTAGGTTATGTATCTTTTCACTTTACAGGTCACGGAGGACATAAGCAGCTCATTGCCTTAAATGGTAATGCCTTGTCGAACATCCCAAGAAACACTTAAAGTGTCTAAAAAGCCATATGCTTTGTACAAAGACTAGGGCGTTTTTTGGACATACGACTTCCCAAACACTATATTAGAGGACGGTTAGACCGATGTGTTGTTTCACCTCTAGTGGGCTATTGTCTTTTTGCACAGATGATATTGCCCACCTGAACATGTCCTCTACTGTTGTAACTACAGTGTTATGATTTGTTTTTGTACATTAAGGTAAAATGGGTACTATAAGTGATGGTCAAAATATGTGTAATTCAGGGCTTTGCTGGTTCCTATCCTAAATAAAGAATTAAAAAAATATATGTATTCAATGATTATATAAAACACAATTTTAGAAAGGAAAAGTTGATAAAAATGCTCAAATCACCAAGTGTGAGTCACTCCAAATCACACAAAGAACCATACAATACAATAATAATATAGTGAGAGCAAACTCTATACACCAGATAAGATAGATATAAATATAAAAACAGGCAATATTACCATATGGCTTTAATGTCCTAAAAATAGAAAATAAGGAACATAGTATAGCCTGTATAGAATATACAAAAAATAATTAAGTGCAAAATTGTCCACTCACGTGGTGCTGAGCCGTTCAGTGGCTCAGACTATAGGCGCCATGTAAAACTTATGGAGACCACAATGCTGGAAAGGCAAATCTCTGTAAAAATTCCCTTTTGTGACTGAATGGAAAGTCAAGTCAGGAAATGCAGGAACAAATTTTATTCGCCAACAATCGCATATAAAATGGAATCTCTCAAATAAGTGCAATAATTTGAGAGATTCCATTTTATATGCGATTGTTGGCGAATAAAATTTGTTCCTGCATTTCCTGACTTGACTTTCCATTCAGTCACAAAAGGGAATTTTTACAGAGATTTGCCTTTCCAGCATTGTGGTCTCCATAAGTTTTACATGGCGCCTATAGTCTGAGCCACTGAACGGCTCAGCACCACGTGAGTGGACAATTTTGCACTTAATTATTTTTTGTATATTCTATACAGGCTATACTATGTTCCTTATTTTCTATTTTTAGGACATTACAGCCATATGGTAATATTGCCTGTTTTTATATTTATATCTATCTTATCTGGTGTATAGAGTTTGCTCTCACTATATTATTATTGTATTCAATGATTATAAAAGATTACCAAAAATATGAAATAATTTGAAAAGCTTATAAACATTTTTTTTAATAAACTGAGGCCACTGGGTGGACTAACCACATCACACCCTTTTTTATGGCCTTTTCCCAGGTTCCTAGAGTGATCATAAAGTGATGTTACATTGTTAGTCTATACATAAAAAGACAACTATCTCTATATAATTTATAGATCATGCTTGTTTGATTTTACATTTATTTCTGTAGTGTGTTTTAAAGTAGACATGGGCTATTCTCAAATTTTAATTTACTGGTCAAGACCATTTTAATTCTAAATGTAAGGTCATTTTACCGGGGCCATATTTACCTCTTGGTGTCTTTTCACTTTAATTTGTTTCTAATCTATCTGTGGGTTTCATATTCCCACTTTAAAAGCACCATCAAATATTCTTGTACTGCATAAATAATAATAAAAATAGCTGTACGTCGCTGAAATCACCAAGCAATCAGAAAAGGAGAATTATTTGAAGGAGAAACTAACCAATTATTATAGTAGAATTTTCACTCAAAGCTATGACAGCTGTGAAATTTAGCTGCATCACTGCAGTTAAAATAATTTTTCATTATTAAAAAGAAAACAAATAAAACCTGAGAATTACTGAAAAATATTCATTTCTATTGAATTTGTAACCATGGTAATTTAAAATGAAGTATTATCAATACATTTCACCATCAAGTAATTGTAATTCTATATGTGAGGATAATAACTTCCCATTATTTTGTGGGTTTTACATAGTGACAATAAAATAAAAGGAACACTCTGGACACCATAACAATCTCAAATGTTAAATGTTTTTTTCTAAATAGGAGGCAAATTACACCTGACACTCCCAGCCTATCACAAGCACCCAGTCCAAGGGCTTCCACATAGAGGAGACACATGGACCTAGGGGATGGGTGCCTTCTGGAGCACTTTGGGGTTAAAAAGTTAAAAAAAAATTTAAGCCTATAAAGGGATACTATACGTGAACGGAGTACAAAGCTGTATTTCTGGCACTATAGCTCCGTCTGCCTTCCCTTCCCTTGGGGAATAATATGACATGCAAAGTGTGAGGACGTCGAGCATCAGATACCAGACCAAAAGTCCATTTGGATGCCGGAATCGCCTCCAGTGGCTGTCTGGTAGATAGCCACTGGAGGCAGACTTAGTACTGCAATGTAGACATTGCAGTTTCTTTGGAGCTGCAATGTTTTACATTTCAGCACCAAGTGAAATAGGGACACAGCACCCAGACCACTTCAATGAGCTGAAGTGGTCTGGGTTCCTATAGAGTCCCTTTAAAGTAAGACAATGCTCATGACATCATTGAGATGAAATTGTTATGGTGCCCAGAATGTTTCTTTAAACTCTGAATTATTAACAAATGTTTTTATTGAATCTGTAAATATATCTATGGAAATATACAATTAAATATATTATCAATATGTTTTACCACAAACAAATAATTCTAATAGTTAGCTGCACAAAGTCTAAATCCGCACACACTTCATAAAATGCGTTTATTAAAACGTAACTATCTGTAAATACAGTTCAGTGGTAGTCAGGGGAAAAGCTTCTAGTGTATCCATTGGCAGCATGCTGTCTACATACAATGAGATAACCATATATGTCATAATCATCAACATGTTGCAAACTCATTATTACACGTGCACAAGTTTGATGTCATGAATTTCCAAGCCCTCCCTTTCTGCCACCTGCAGTGTTTCTTTAATAACACACGTCATTAAGAAGCACAGCAAAGGTTTCTGGAAGTTGCAGTCTAGCTTACAGCTTTTACAAGTAGAACTACAAGTCTAAGAAAGTCCTGCTCTGCCCATAGAGCCCTGCTGTAAGACAGCTGCACCTGCCATAGAAAAGTTATTGTAGCATCTTGGCTGGCTTAGAATTTCCTGGTCTGAGCAGTGCTAACTTCAAGACTTGCAAAGCTCTGGATTTTATTGTAGACATATGCTGGACATTTCTAAGAACAATGAGAATTCCCTGGTTCATTGAGATTTTAAGGCACGTAATGGGAGTGATATTTCCTTGTTTATTTTAATTTTTTCAGGTTATAAAAAGATGCTTTACTCCCATAAGATATGGTAATATCAATAGTATTCTCAATAAAAAAAGAGTATTTTGGATTTTTCAATTGAATACTAGGTGTTCATTTGGCTTTAATTCGAAAAGGTATATTAACAATATAATTCACCATTAGATATTTCACCCTTGTTTATTTTAAGCCCTTTGCTTTTATTTTATTATCTGTTGTAATATTATGTTGTTTTTCCTCATTACTCATTTACTGTTTGTTCTATGGATAACGTGGAATAAAAGTATGTACACATAGGTATATGCCTCTGTAAAAAGATCTAATGCCTGTTTTGTCTCGTGTTTTTTTACTTGTCACTCCTCGGTCTCTACCTCCCAACAATGGGACATGGGTGTGCAAGAATAAGTGTGTAATTGAATGGATGTGTCCAGTAAAGGCGTAAGCCAGCCTGTCATGTATGTACAGCGAGATTCTGTGGCCAATGAGCACTGGGCAAACCATGTGTAGAGTAATCCTAAAAACACTCTGCTCATAGTCTTAGTGCCCTGTGAGGACATTGCCTGAAGACAGACCAGGGACAGTCTCCGAATTCATGAAGGTTCCACAGATCAGTCTCATTTCCCCAGCTTCATGTTCCCTAATCTCATCTGCCAATCTCTCTTTCCCTTCTTTGTTTTATTTTCATCCTAGGATTACCATTTCCCCCTATTCCAGTATTAAGAGTATATATCACTAAGAGCAGTGTCATTCTCTAAGCAGCACCAGCCTGTGAGGGAGCACTGATCATGGTCTGCACCTTCCACAGGAGCACACGCAACACTCCATCACAACAGAAAAGGGCATTCAGTCAATCATGGGAGATCTTAGAATCTCATCCACTGCAAAGCATTCTCTATGAGCTAGTACTACACCACGTATAGTACTTTGGCCCTGTGTCTAGCAGTTATGTGCTCATGATTCCTATTAAAAAAAATAATAATAAATAAATAAACCTATTATTTTTAACTTTTTATCAGGGGATTTTTTTTTTTTTTTATCAAAAAGTGTTCTAGTCATAATACACCTAGTAGGGTTTGTGTTTAAAATATTACTTAATTTTCATTTACATATATTAGTTAATATCTCACCAACCTACCTTTCTAAATTACACCTGTGTCATATACTCATAGATCTTCAAGAGATACCTGCTAATCAATCTGTAAGTGAGTGATTACTTTACAAATCACTGTCGTCCTTGCTATAATTTATTTTTAAAAAAACGAGCTGTATGGCAGAATTATAGAAATGGAATTCTGTTTTCAAAGCTTTAATAAAAGATTTTTTTAATCAAGCTTCAAAGACTCTCTTCTTCAGCATTATGCTGCTAAATTGTCTATTTCTCTGATAGCACATGACCTTTCTAGTCAAGGTAGCATAATTGTGAAAGTGAAATTAATTTATTTCAAATATAGATTTTAGAAGTAAAAAAAACATTCTAAAATTGACTTATTACTATAATCATTTGAAATAAACTTTGCCCTCTACCAAATTACAGGTGGCCATTAATATATATATATATATACACACACACGAACAGCAGGGGTGCCTTTACCATTTGAAATGAATGCAAGGAATACGGTTTTATTGCTGCAGTAGTATACGTCTGTACGGTGGTTCCAACCTCTGTCATTTTTAGACAGTATTACAAAGACATGAAACTATCTAAACATTTAAGTGCCGCCCTTACCTAAACAGGTAAGAGTCCATTTAACCACATACTTTCAGCACAATGTATATCTTGGTTTTACGAATGTCTACATTCACAGACAAATAAATATGATAAAAGGCAATTTAACAATGATCAGTTATGTAAAGTATTTTGGACACAGCTGATAAAAGAAGTGGTTACTTGTGTTTTATTTTTGTAACATGATTTTATATACATAGCTATGGCATTTAACACGTTTCTAGATTGTAAACTCTTTCGAGTAGAGTCCTCATCAACCTATTGCTCCTGCAACATTTTGTAATTGTCTCATTTATTGTTACATTTTCCCCTTTCATAATATTGTAAAGCGCAGCATAATAAGTTGGCCCTATATAAATACCAATGATAATAATAATTCTATGTGGGTACACAAATGTTGCTTGTAAAACACAGGCCCTAATTTAATTAGTTTAAATCAGAATCAGAAATTATTCCATTCTATTAGAAAAAAAACTTTTCAAATAATTTTTCAGCTAGACTACGCATAAATTTTAATGGTGAGTTCTGTAGATAAATCATTTGAAAAAAAAAATTCTAACAGCGTGGAATCATTTCTGATTCTTATTAAAATAAATATAAATTAAAACCATAGTGCATTTCAAATTAGCAAAAAGGGAAACTTTAATTTTAGGGAAGTGACTTGGGATGTGTCCAGGGGTGGGGTTGTTCTGAGAAAGTTAAAGGATCACTATAGGGTCAGCAACACAAACATGTATTCCTGACCCTATAGTGTTAAAACCACCATTTAGCTCCCCAGGGCCCCTCATGCCTCCATAAAAATAGCAAAATCTTACTGTATTTAAGCCTGAAGCTGTAACTCTGCATGCTGTTTGTCTCAGAAAAACAAGCAGTCTGCTGACATCATCAGAAGTGGTAGCCTGATCCAATCACAATGCCTCTCCATAGGATTGGCTGAGACTGACAAGAAGGCAGCTCAGGGGCAGAGCCAGCACAATTCAAACACAACCCTGGCCAATCAGCATCTCCTCATAGAGGAATCAATTAATCTCTATGAGTAAAGTTCAGGGTCTGCATGCAGTGGGAGGAGATACTGAATGTTTGGATGCATTTTAGTCAGCCATGACCCAGGAAGGATCTCTAACAGCTATATGAGGAGTGGCCAATGAAGTTATCACTAGGCTATAATGTAAACACTGCATTTTCTCTGAAAAGACTGTGTTTACAGCAAAAAGCCTGAAGGTAATGATTCTGCTCACCAGAACAAATGCAATAAGCTGTAATGGTTCTGGTGACTATAGTGTCCCTTTAAGGTGACTTTCTAATAACAAATCATACAATTAAAATAATTTAGAACAATGTTTCTTATTTACACAGACTGATTTCTAAAAACATGTATTTTGTATTTTAAAGACACATTACTATATTATTGCTGTAGAGCTCTGTTATACACTCAGACACACCAACAATATGGAACTCCTAGAAAAGAGGGGGAGAGGGATTTGGATCAACAATTTTGACTGTTCCTCCTAAATAGGGACACTTGGGATATGTACAGTTGCCATCAAAATTGTAAAAACAGAAAAACTATATTAATGCATAATCCATCCCCTCACCTTTAAATAGGCTCTCAACATAGAGGGATATCCTGACAGCCTAGTACTGAGTGACAGGGAAAGATAGGAGAACCATCCTACAGATGGATCTCCTGCTCTCTGACAAGACAAATACAGTGCATATTCTGTAGTTACCATAGTTGCTCCTCTAACAAGAGCATTTTGTAATACCCGCAAGCTGCAGAGATGGCTGTGCTGTTGCTGGTGGGGGACAGATGGGTTTTAAACCATCATCTCCTAAACCAATTGGATATATAATTTATTAACATAACAAATACAAGTATAAATGAACAATAAAAGCCATTTGTTAATTGACAGTAGAAGATTATTACAGGTTCAAAGGACAATAAGATGTTACGCATTAAGGTGTATCTGTTCACTTTAACAGAAACTAGATTTGCATTAAAAGTGACAAATTATGAAGATTAATTGCTAAAATACTTGTGCAAATTCCCTGGATTAAATGGAAGGTTCAAGTTAAATTATTTCCATTTGATTAAAATAAAAGATAATTTGCCATTTCAGGAAAGATCCCATACACTGCATGGTACCATCTGTGCAGTGTATCATGATGCCCAGAGTATATGCATTTACAAATCACTGCAGGAAGATGATTATGCCAATATCTGAAGAGGGCAATAGATGTCTTTTACACTAACCTCTACTGAACTAATCATTTACTGGGGTTAAGGAATCACCAGGGTCAGATTTATTTCACACAGACATTACACACACACACACACACACACACACACAGGGGGTGGCAAAAAACGCCACCCCCAAATGCCTTGTTTGTCTCATTTTATGGGGGCCCAAGAGCTGGCCGGCTGAGCTCTCCCTCGCTCCCTAGTGATGCCGGGAGCCGGAATTTGACGTCCGTCCGGATCCCAGCATTACTCTATGGAGCGAGAGAGCTGAGCAGAGCTGACAGCTTAGAGCGGCCGCCCGGCCGCCTTCCTGAACAACAGCGGGCAGCAGCCACAATGGACCCTAGGTGAAAAATCCACCCAGCTATACCAAAAGTAGGAAGGCTGGGTGGATTTAAATTAAAAATATAATAATAATAATTATGAGTGTTGGGGGAAAATGTGTGTGTGTGTGTGTTTGTCAGTGAATGTGAGTGAGTGAATGTGAGTATTTGTCAATGAATGTGAGTGTGTGTGTCAGTGAATGTGTGTGTGTGTGTGTGTCTGTCAGTGAGTGTGTGTGTGTGTGTATCTGTCTGTCTGTGAGTGTGTGTGTCCAGTGAATGTGTGTGTCTGAGTGATTGTGCATGTCTGTCAGTAAATGGGCATGTCTGTCAGTGAGTGTATGCGTCTGTCAGTGTGTGTCTGAATGATTGTATGTTTCTGTCAGATTGTATCAAATCAGTGAGTGTATGTGTGTGTATGTCAGTGTATCTAAGATTGTGTGCTGGTCCGTGAGTGTGTGTCTGTCAGTCAAAATGTGTGTAAGTTAACAGGAAGAGTTGTGGCCTTGGTAGGAAGGGGCGGGTAAATTTAAATTAGGGGGTGCTTCAGATTTGTCATGCCTAGGGCAGAACCATTTCGAAAGACACCACTGCGCGCCATCACACACACACACACACACACACAAACTCTCTCTCTCTCTAAACTTTATTTATTTTTATATATAAGGTCCATCCTGCGTCCCTTTTCCTATCTTTGCTGAGGAAAGAGTTGGAGAGCAGCCTCATTCCTGGGGTCCAGTGCGGTACAGGAATCATCACATAGTTGAACACTTTCCTGGTCGTCTGCAACTCTGTATGTAAGCCAATGCCGAAGTAGCTTCTAATGCTGGCGCCAGGAATCATTACAGAGTGCAAAGGAGGGGGTCGGGGTTATTTTGCACAGAGAACTCCATGCTTTCTCACAGCTATTGCTCATGCATATTTAATTCTGCGGGGAAGGTCCCTACTTTCCCTAAAGGCAAATCCAGTTCTCTGGATCACCATCAGTGCAGAACCTCTAAAACCACTTTACTAAAGTGAATAAAAATATCAAATCAAAACAAAAAAACTAAACAAAATGAACATCTGTCTAAATATATGTTGTCTATGCATTCAAAAATATCAGAATGGATATCAAAGCTTATTAAATACACATTTGGTCTCTATTCATTACATAGAGCAGCATTAATCATAAGGTGACTCTAGGTATGGTTTTGGAGGCCAAGGGTCAGACAGGGGCCCCCCAAAACCATAACTTTGCTTGACCCATAAACCATTTCTATGTGAAGAATGAAGATGGTGCCCAAACTGGTAATCTGCATTATATGAATAAATTATGCACCAAAAAATTATATATATAAAAAAACAAACACTGTGAAAATAAATACTTTAATTCAGAACTGTAACTGTTACAGTCAGCATGTACATTTTACATTAATTTAAACCTCTCAAATATTGTGCCCCCATATATAGAGTCAGTGACCTTTTTTGTTTTTTTATTTGACACATTGGCATTTTTGAATATGTACACATTGATTGGTATTTACTGACCATCATTATAACTAGATTTGGTTACATTTTCTGTTTCAGTTTAATAAACCGATTATATGATTTTAAACACACACAGACACACACACACAAATATAACAAAAAGTTAAAAGAGTTGTAAAGCAAGTATTGTGAATCTCGGGAATCGCTGATGCTCAGCTTCAGTGTGAATTATTTAGTCCTTCATCTCCACATTTTCCTGAATGATTGCCTAATATTCACTCCGTGTTCATTACAGTGATGGAGTTCTTTCAGAGATTTTTTATCAGTCTTTGTGTTAAGGACCCTTCACACAGACAGTGCAGTGAAGTATTAAGTAAGTGGAACCATGTTTCATATAATTGAATAATTTGATCATTCACAACCAATAAGAAACCAACTGCAAGATTAGACACAGAACAGAGATAGTTCTAGGTTATTCAGAGTGGCACACAATATATTGAGTTATGTGTATTGCATACTTGCTGTGTGTGATTTTGTTGGTAATGACGTATAACTAGAGCAGTTAGCTGGCTTTAAAACACGGACAACCAAGCGCATGCAATGCCACACGAGTATCACTTATGTTGTTTAATGCTAATAAGTATAATGGAACTTGCCCATAAATATTGCAATTCACTTTCCAATTCACTGCAGTTTTAATGTTTAGCGAACAAATCACTCAGTGTGCAAGTTGGGTATTCACCGAAGGCAAGCTAAGGTTACAACATACAAGTTTATTTACTAAAATGAGAATTGCCAGGATTTCTAAATTAAATAAAAGTACATTTCAAATTTAAGGGTTACGTAGCTGAATTGGATACAATCTCCAAGTCAGCCTGTTTAGTTATTTTGGTCTAACATTTCCAATTTACTTTGAGTACTCTTTGAATTCTCATGTTAGTGAATAACCCTGATAGAGATTAGCTCCCAATGTGCTAATTAGCTACAAAGTACTGTATTCAAACATTTTCAGTGCCCTGAGTTTTTTAGTCTTGTTTTTTTGTTCATGAAACAGACCCAAATGAATTTAGGATTTGTACATTTTTGTTATAATTAGAGGTTTTAGTTAACCTAAAGTTTGCATGTAAAATAAAAGGAAACATTATCATTGTCATACTTGCCGATCGGCGATTCCCTCAAGGCATTTCCGGGTATCGCCAATCATGTTAATCATGCCGCCGCTCAGTTAATTTGTTTCCTGGCGATTCTAAGTTGCCGTTTGTGCTCCCTCCTTGCTAATAGATTGTGGACCAAACCTCTGCTACCTACTGTTTATTGACTACCCTAGTTTGCTGCCTGCTTCTGCTACAAAGCAAAGAACCAGCTTGCTGCCTGCTTTTGCTTCTAAGATAAGAATCTGATTTCTGCCTTATTGCTACAACTTGCTACCTTGTATTTAAAGGACTTTCCAGAGATTCTACCTGATACCTTCATTTAAAGGGACACTCCAGTGCCAGGAAAACAAATTGTCCCCTCTTCCTCCCACCACCCATCCCATGTTGCTGAAGGGGTGAAAACCCCTTCAGTGACTTACCTGAGACTCCCGCCGATGTCCCTCAGTGGTGGTTTCGGGTCCGCCCACGCTCCTCCCCCGCCAACGTCATCCGGCAGGGAAGACCGCGCGCACGCCTTAAAACCCTTTCCATAGGAAAGCATTGGAAATGCTTTCAATGCTTTCCTATGGGGAATTGAGCGATGCTGGAGGTCCTCACACAGCGTGAGGACGTCCAGCAACGCTCTAGCACAGAAAACCTGTGCTAGAAACCAGGAAGTGCCCTTTAGTGGCTGTCTAGTATACAAACACTAGAGGAGGAGTTACCCTGCAATGTAATTATTGCAGTTTATGAAAACTGCAATATTTACAGCTGCAGGGTTAAGGGAGTTGACACCCAGAGCACTCCAATGGGCAGAAGTGGTCTGGGTGCCTGGAGTGTCCCTTTAAGGAAACTCTACTTAAAGTGAATTTCATTTTATCCTAAAAGTTACCCAATTCATTATTTATATAATTTTCTTACAATTATTTTCTTCATTACCACTAATAAGTTAGCTCTTAAAGTGATATACACCTCAATTGTTTTCTTAGCAGTTGTGTTTCTTTTGTTCTTGACTATATAACAGTCATACTGTCTACGTCTGCAAAATTAATATGTGAAGCAGGTAATTTGTTTACTCGGAGGATAGGCTTGGCAAAATAATTGGGCAACATGCAATGTTAGCTTTATTAATGCTATAATTGTAATGCTACCTGATTGAGATGTTTGGAAAGCACATTAATGTAACCCTTTCACGTAATAATATATTACTAGATCAGTATATGGTATACCAGATAACATGATGGAAATTATAAGCACCATCAAAATAAACACAATAAATTTTTGGGCAGGTTGATCATAACATACGTTGTGGTTTTTCAAATGTCTTAAGGCGTTCACTATATAGATGGTACTTCACAGAGTATTGTAGTCTTAAATTACAACGAGGCTTGTGTATTCGGTTTCCTCCTGAAAGCAATTCGTAAAAGTTTTGGGTAGATGGCAAGCTGTCCAAATTTTCAAACACTGAAATGGCATATGGACAAATTATGGACTAAAACAAAATTGACAATGGATGAACCATTTAGTTGTATTTTTTTCCCGTGATTCAGAGTTTTGTCTGTGGCACCAACAAAAATCAACAAGATGATTGGTGGTTAGGGGACAGCCACTAAGGTTTGACTTTGTTGACAGTAAGAAGTGACCAATAGAAGGGGGAAAAGGATTAGCACTAATATATATAGATATATTGTAAATATACAACTATAAATATAGATTTTTTTTTATTCCATTTTTTATTCCATCTACTGATTACACATCTGATCTGTGAAGCAAATTATGTAAAAATGCACTTACTGTGGCACTGCAAAATACACACACAATATATATATTTTCATGCACACTGATTTGGGCAATTATATTGAGTCATTTTGCATCATCAGAATGATTTTTCCTGAACTAATTAATGGACAAAAATTGCCGTAACCATGTGGACGAAACACGAATCGTCTAAACTAAAACCATTTTCAGATTAATCAAATGTTTCCATTGTGCATAGGTCTAATTACAACAAAAACAATTTCTAGCTATAGTTGTAATATATGGACTAACATACATACAGCTGACTTTCCTTAATGGCAGTTTAGCTTGACCAGTAGTGATGTCCCGAAAGGTTTGCCGAACGGTTCGCCGAACGGTTCGCAACGGATGGCGAACATAAACATAAACTTTGACCCTTTACCTCACAGTCAGCAGACACATTCCAGCCAATCAGACCCTCCCTCCCAGACCCTGCCACCTCCTGGACAGCCCACTAAGAATGCAGCTTGACAATGAATGTAAAATGGATGCTGTCCAGGAGGTGGAAGGGTCTGGGAGGGAAGGTCTGCTGCTGATTGGCTGGAATGTGTCTGCTGACTGTGAGGTACAGGGTCAAAGTTTATGTTTATGTTCGCCGTCCGCGGCGAACCGTTCGTCCAACTGTTCGGGACATCACTATTGACCAGAACTCTACTGTATTGCCACTGATCTATCAGCCACAGAATTATTGTTTTTTATTTGGAGAAAAAGCGAATACAGTCAATTTGCCTTATTTAAATCAATGTATGGTCAGTGGTCAGTAAGAAATGAAGCAGTAGTGCCCAGTGATGCTACTTTTAATGTGAAAGCTTCTTTCTGCTTATAACTTAAGACAAAGTTGCACACAGTGTCTTGCATTAACATCCCTTTTTGTATATTTAAAAAAAAGCTTTTTCTTGACTATGGCGGGATCATTTGTTGTATTTTTGTTGTATTTTTTGCTATTAAAAGTGGGTACTTATCAAACTAAACCCACACTTCATTATTCTAATGGTAAATGCTGAATTTCTATACAGATATATGTGTGTGAGTGTGTATGTGTAATATATAAAGAGCGCTAATTAATGTATACCTAAAACGTTCAGCCTTGCAGTTCTCCTTTCTCGTAACAGGTTAAGGTCATGTTTTTCTAGAGCATTTTTTTTTGAAGGAAAAAAAGAAAAAAAGAAATGGGGAAAGGTTTGGAAAAAAAATGGATTGATCTGTTTTATTTCATTTCATTGCACCTCAACCAGCGCACATCTTGGGCAGCGAGACAAGAAAGTAACTGCTTTATCAAGCTGATTATAAAGCTAGCCGTGGATTGTCAGCAGGTGTTTCTGAAAAGAGTGATCAGTCACTATTCAGAGGCGCACACAGATGGCAATTTTCTATTGCACCTCTATGGCTGCCCTCCACATTCAGAGAAAAACACAGAGAATTGCACAAGCAGAAACATAGATGAAAAAACTGAAGAAAAAAGAGAAAGTAGAGAAAAACACACAGAAGCAATACAACTACAGACAAAATGAAATGAAAGAGCACAAAGGGAGATTGAGGATAATAACTAGCATTTTGTGAAACTGTGAAAATTACATACATGGCAAGAATTTTATTTTTAATTTTCGTCTTATATTTCTTGTTCAGACAGCACAAATGTATCATAGATAGATTCAATAATTAGACCAGATATATAGACAGATGGACAGACATGCAGGGTACTTCCCATCCAAACTGCAGCAGATTTAGTTCACTGGCATTAGTAACTTCTACCTCGTACCACACTGTAGTGGATATCTCCAAGAAGTAATTCCTCCAAGCATGGTAATTCACATAGTAAGCTATGCTTTCAGTTGGGCTACACTTGTCCTAAATTTTAATTCTCACATTAGTCTTTAATCCTGTTAGAGTGAAAGCTCTGTGGGCAAGTTTCCAATTGCTCTATTGTTTATATTTCCTATTTCATGGTTAATCCACTTAATGTAATGCCTGCAGGATGTGCCCATCTATAAATCACAATACATGTATTTTGAGATTACACTCATGGCACTATTGCAAAATTTTATATCCCGAATTTTGTACATAACTTGTGGAGTGGACTCACACTCGCTTCCTACAGCACTTATCACATGGTTATGTTTTGACTGATTTTGGAAGTTAAATGGGAAACCTGGATTTGCATACATAGCCAGTAGACTTCTGCATTTGGTTTCATATGAAGTGTGATTCATCCAAATTTTGGGCAACCAATGGGTCGTCCAAATTCCATAACTCTAAAACTCTATATGGACGAATCACAAAGCAAACAAAACAGACAATGGACACAAAGTCCAATGGACTATATGGAGTATCGGAGAAAGCTTAAATCCAGAGGATCTCATAACTGTGTATGCAGAATGAAGGCTTCTCTTATAACCCAACCACAAAGTCAACAACCTTCAAGCATCCCTTAGAGCTTCTGCAGGGGTAACACGAAAGATATATTAATCAAATGTGAACTGGATAAGACCCACATTATGGAAGCACTGCTGAACCCTGGTTAAAAGTCCTTTACAACCGTTCACAATGTTATTATCCCTGTACAGTAATATTCCCAAACAGACAGTGGTACAGCAAACAATGAAACAAGTGGCCACACTGCTTATAGAACAAGGCACAGTCTCTACTTGGAGTGTCATTGCAACCTGCAATTCCATTTCTTATAGTGTGCAGGACATTTTGGAGGCTTCTCACTTCTTCAAATCCTTAGCCTATCTCATTATACTCCTGTAGCTCATTTGAAGACTTTATATAACCCTACACATCACTTGAATGGGGCTAATATCCTGGACAGGTTTTTTGTTTAGAGCTATTAAAGCCCACTAGCTGAGGAGTAATGATACATAAAAAATTTCAGAGATATATTCTTATCCCATGTGAATTGTCCATGTTGTATATTATGTAAATTTGGGTGTACTTACAGACCACATACATTGGGACTCTCCCTGGTCTGTGTCACAATGTGGAATGGTGGAGTCACTTCAGGGCCAGAAGACTTAAAGGGATACATAGCCATCAATACAACTTTAGCTTAATGAATCAGTTTTGAGGTATAGATTATGTCCCTGCAGTCTCACTTCTCAATTCGCTGCCGTTTAGGAGTTAAATCACTTTGTTTCTGTCACTCCTCCCCTGTTGCTCACACAGCTACTAAGAACAAATATTTTTCATTTTCAATCTGTATTTATCTCTTGCTCTGTAAATTGAACTTTAATCACACAAAAGAGGCTCCTACAGGGTATAGCAGGCTATTAACAGAACAGAAGTTAAGAAATTCTAAATTAAATAGAATTAAATCTATCTTTACAGGAAGAGTTTAGGAAGGCTGTAACAGTCACATGCTAGGAGGTGTGGCTAGAGCTGCATAAAAAGTGACTTAATTCCTAGATGGCAAATAACTGAGCAGTGATACTGTAGGGGCATGATCTATACACTAAAACCAATAAATTAGGCTAAAGTTGTTTTGGTGTCTATAGTGTCCCTTTAACCTTTCTTTTTCTGTTTTCAAATGATCATGCATTGTGGGTCTGTGGGTTTGAGGGAGTCCCCAGCCAGCCATTATGAGTTACCTCCCCATTTCAAATTTCAGGTTATAAAGTGAAGAAGTAGGGGTGTCTGTTTAGGCAAGTGGCCGTTACACCAAGCTTTCACTTCCCATTTATATTTTTCATTTACATAGACTGGTGTATGAAGTCAGAGCTTTTGACTCCTGCCTAGACCGTAAATGCCCAAATGTCAGCTTATTTTTATACATTCTATATTCCCTTACATTTGCTACCAGTGAATGTTTGCAATAAAGCGGAGTGTGAAAACATTTGTGGCAAACACATCTAATTTAAGTAAAGGTTGTTACCCTTACTTCTCAAACAGTTTACCCGAAAGTTGCCTTCAGAGGCGATGTTCACTCCCCCACAGGTGGCATCCAACTTCTGAATTTTCAGATTCAGTGCTGCCGGGGCGAGGGAGCCACTGATTGCCTGTGAGTGTCAACTAACTAAGAGGTACGTTTCTTTCCAAGCCAGTTAAGTGAAAGGGGATTCACTGATGAGAGTGTAATCTGACCGCTCTCAGCCAATCAGCGGCTCCCCTGCTCGGCGGCACTCCCCACTTCCTGTATCTGAAAATTCAGAAGCCGGATGTCACCTGAGTGGGAGTGGACATAAGCCGCTGGAGGCAGCTTTGAGGTTTATCCCCTTGAGATAGGGTAGCCCTTTGGGGGGCCTTCTGGCACCATAACAATTTATATGACGTTGTTTTGGTGCCTGGAGTGTCTCTTTAACATACTATGATATTTACCAATGCTTACTTATAATTCTATTAAATGTAAAATTTAGAAAGATTACATCTTTATTACTTATATTTAGAAATCTATATGAAATCTATATGTAAGAATGATTATTATTTAAAGGTACAATCTGGGCATCATTGAGGAGCGGTTTAACCCCAAAGTACAGCCATCACCTGATTGCTCTCTTCTGTTTTTCCACTGCTCAGAATCTTGAAAGGTTTTAGCATTGGTGAATAGAGTCGCTGTAGCTCCCCATCCAGAAAACAGCTTGAGAAATATATGTACGTTTTTGAGGCTTGCTCATTCAAGATTCAAAGCAGCTGAAGGACAGTTGGCAGAACAATCAAGCACTGAATACTCCACTTTGGGGTTAAAATATTCCTGAAAGGTTTAATCCATAAAAGTAACCAGGTACCTCCTGGCACCATAACAACATCTTTCAAATGACTTTGTTATGGTGTCCAGAGTGTTCCTTTAATAAGAACCTAAACTGCTGCTTGAGAACATCCAGGATTGGCCTATGGTAGAAGGGTGTCCTGGTGGGCTGTGGTTCCCAATTCCATCATCTGATTTAATCTTCTATGAATATGGCACACCTTGGCTTGAAAAGAACACCTTGTGCCACATATTCAGGTAATTAGTAATTGTGTACAAGCCAGTCCTAAGAACATTAATGTAACTATATCATATTTACTATTATTTATGGATGATACATTCCCTTTATGTGATGGATAAATCAACCAAATCTAACTGTAATTTCAGTTTGTAAAAGAACCTGGTTGATTGCAAGCATATTTACAATATTTATTTTACTTCTTTACATTTTGTCTCACATTCTTACTATGATTTTGTCTCCCTCATAGAGCACTATCTCTGCAATTAGCTGGCAATGCACATGTTAACAGCTTTCTTTGGAAAGCAGATCCCTGCAGACAGCAATGATTATATGCATGCATCTCCAGGTATCATACACCTGTATAGCGACATTGTTTCTCTTCTCATAGGAGGCGTTGTCCTCTCAACTGGATTGCTCGCACATCACTGACTAAATCACTGCTTCTAAAATAATAAAATGCTTTCGCAAGGGGCAACTAAATTTCCCCTGCAGTCGAGCACTCTGAAGTGAGACAAATGATGGTTTAAATGGAATGTCAGTGAAAAGGTCTATGTAGTAAGGGTATTCCCGTAAAATCATCGGAGTAACCCTTCAGCTAGACTAGAGGATGTTCAGCATCTCCCTGAAATTGCATTACACATTAAGTGCATGTTTGAAGTCAGCAGGGAGCCTGCCTAAGATGTTCTCAATGCCTAATTTGATACATATTGTGCCATAAGCTGCCGCAAGTAGCTAGTAATGAAGAAAGTAAAAAAATTTATGGATGAGCAAAATAGAAGCTCTTATGGATGGAGTGTTTTTAAATCAGGTGCATAATTTACCCAGCATCAGACATTCAGACCACATGGAGAGTACATTACTAAATTGGACTTGCAAGCAGATAGAAAAGCAGCTTCCTTTAATAAGCACTTCTTAAACTTATTGGCTCTACAATTACTCACACCAAATTATCAGCAGCTGCTCAGTGTTTGGGGATTTATGGAAGATAAGGAATCATGTTCTTTAGTTCCCAATCAACAAACCATTCAAGGACTCTCTAGACTAGAACTTTAACGCTGCACTCCATCAAATAACCTATACCGATTGCAAGCTCTGGTGGACGAAAAAAAATTCTATTATACACTCATGTGTTTGTGTGTATTGTGTGTATAGAGCGAGATCATGCCTGATTAAGCTCTTTCATGCCTAGTGATCTTATTGTTCAATAGTCATGTATAAAAGGCATGTAAACTTAAATTGAACAAATTAATGCACGGAAGTCCTGAAATATTTTTTCATTGTTTGTTAATTATACATAGTAACCTTTTGAGTTCTGGTCTTGAACCAAGTTCAACTAATAAAGTAACAAAATGTCAAATACACAAATTGTTGCGCAAAATAAATAAAACATGCAAGTAAAAAGGAAATGTATTAGGACTTCTTCAGATTCCATTATTTAAATTCTTTTAGGAAAAGGTCATCCAGGAAAACTGTAGAATACAGTCAATTTGTTTAAAATGACACTGTAAAGACATAGTGTATGATCCTTTAGGGTGTCACTGTTTTTATAGTACAAGGGAATTTTACTTCCATTTTGTAACAATACTTCTCAAGCTAGGCGGAGTCTGCAAAGCAACGGCTGCTTCTAGCAGCCTTATTTTGATGACATAGTTGAATGTTGCAAAGCTGTTACCATTACCACCAAAACATCTTGTACCAGTGATCACTATATGCTTTTACATTTATTTATGTAATAAGCATATTTAGAATAGACATGTGTACCCTTGTTATTCCACTGGGTGCTTTGTGAGAGAGGCAAACCTTGTATGGCTGTTGCCATTTTGTAAATGAGGTTTACCAGTTTCAATATGTTTTAAACAAGCACAAAAATGGCTGAAATCTGCCAAAACATTCTGAAAAGAAAATGTGACACTTGGAATGCAGCAGCAAAGGCAAGACAGTCCTGTTTACATAGTGCTAAATAAAGAAGGCACATAAACAACAATTTAGGGGAAACAGTTATTTGAAGTTCAGCCTTAAGGATATGACTATTAAGGGAGTTTTATCAACACTAATTGTGTGCTATACTGAGGTAAAATGCTAAATATTGACTGGTATTCTGTTGGTTTCTACAGTGATAACACTGTATTTAGCCATTGTTTTTGACTAATCTTCCAAATAATGTTGAAAAATAACTCTGATCATTTCAATTTTAAGTCTGCTATTTTTCAGCTTAAATATTTTTGCACAGAATTCTGCAATTCTCATGTTGTAGCAAATAACCCGTAAAGTGTATAACGTATAATTGCTTTTACTGGTAGGATTAACAACAGGCTGATAAATCTAATCCCTGCTGAGTAGATCATGAAAAATGTGCAATATATTATATTACTTCCATTTTTGTTAAAAGACAAAAAGGAGAATGTAGTACACAGCCAATTGCAATTCATCTCAGATTAACGCCAAATTTCTGTGATCTTTGTACTGAACAGGGAATTAGGGCAGGACAGCTGTAGACAGACCACACTCATTCACTACTGGTAAAGACTGTGTAAAAGTGAAAAAGTGGGTATTTGAGCATTTTAACAGTGTTACATATATGAAGTGTATTGATATCGTCCAATAGGCATTTCTTTTCAACACAACATTAACACTCCTCTTCTTTGGATTGTTGTGATCTGGTTCTCAATTCTGTTATACTGTGCAATGACATACGCTGGCATTACAACATTGTTATTATTACTATTTTGTTTGTGATATTCCAACATGCTTTACAGCACTGTACACATTATTATTATTATTGCAATTTATTTAGCGCCAACAGATTCCATAGCGCTTTACAATATTATAAGTAGGACAATTACAAAACACTTACAGGAACGATAGGTTGAAGAGGACCCTGTTTAAACGAGCTTACAGTCTATAGGAGGTGGGGTATAAAACACAATAGAACAGGAAATTATATAAAAAATTAAATCAATATATTTTCAGCCAGTCCTTCCAGCTTGTTTTGCTCAATAGACACGACTGGTGGTGAAGGCATCAATATTTTTGAGGACTTGACCCATAAATATACTCCTCCAACGTGCATACCTTGCACTAACTGACTTACATCAAAGGACGACAGATTATGGAAGTGCAGTAACTAGCAACACAAATCTCTCATGCGTGCTATTACAGACAGCAGACAAAATAGTATGATATTTTCAAATGCCTCAAAACTGTACTGGCATATAGCACTAGAACTTGAGGCCCAGATGTAAGGTCTTCCTATGACATTACACTATTGTGTTCATACTATTTAAACCTGCTAACTAATAACCTGATTTTAAAAATGTCAAAAACGCTTGTTTGTTTGTTTTTTGTGTCCGTGAAAAATTAATTGAAATGCAAACCTCTCAATGGCCATGAGAATACTCTCATTGTTGCATGTAAATTATTCTTGGTACTCAGAATAAAAAGCATGCAATGTCTCCACACTCCTTTACCAGCAGCAATAAAACATGCAAAAGTAGTGTATCTCCCAGATATATGATCCTCCTGCTCTGAGCTGTTGTAAAATGTAAGACTTGTGTCTATCACTAGTATTATGGATAAAATGGAAGATGAGCTCTGTGCCTAGACTAACATCTATACTGGTGGAGCTGCTCTGTGTTCCACATTTCTGCTGTGAGCAAAATTCATGTATTTCTCAAGCAAAAGACATTGTAAAGAAAAACCTGTAAAAATACTCTAGGCACATGCACCAGAAAAATGTTTGGATGTTTTACAAGTAAAGTGCAAGACACTGCAAAATATACTACACAACAAAATAATTCTATTTAGTTCTATTATACAACTTGTGAACCAAAATACCATAATATGGTATTAAAGAAATACAACAAACACGCAGAATGCATTTTTGCATGGAAACGGCTCGTTTCTATTTATACAGATTATTTTATTACATTTTACAATATCTGAAAGAAAAATATTAACAGTTTTACATGTTCTACTTGAGATGGTTATTTTGATGAGAAACTAGAGTTTGTGATTACACCTGTACTTTGATTATTTTATGCCGGTTATAAACCAGATTTTTGTTGTTGGGGAAGTACAGTGATGCCTCTAAAAGGTAAGTCATTCTACCCTATGATATGGATGTGCTCCTTTATTGCCAGCACACTGGCATTCCTATATTCTTATGCAAATTGTGATCTGCACTTGCCAGAGAAACAATCACAGCAACTACAACACATGTACCAAGTACATCTATTTGACAAGTGTAAGGTGAAAAGAGGAACTATTTTGCTAGCACAACATACACAAGACTTTGCATGCTCTATATTTTGAGCATGAGGTGTTTGTATTCTGATGTATATATTTTAACCTTAATTATACATTATATCTAACTTAAAATTGCTGTCATAATGTGTATTTATATGATACGTTTTTTTAAGATTATTTAGTGACAAATATTACATCTGTTGCGCGTATCAGTGTACAAAACACCAATACCTCGAGCCATATGAAATGCCATCAATAAATCCTTAATTTATTAGGGATGTTGTATCAAAGCCTAGACACACCATGCAGTTATCACATGAGCCAGGCAGGGAAACGTGGATTAACCTTCTCATGAGAGCGGATAGCGAGATGTCAACAAGAGATCTTGCTAGTTTATAGTGGAAGAGATTATATGTTTGCATGTCTGGGTTTCACATTGGAAGAATTCAGAGCTGGACTTCAAGCCTTGAAAACAATTTAGCAAGAGAAGTAATCTATATGTCTGCAGGGCACATGTAATCCTCCATAGCAAGCCAAAAAGATAATATCCTGTATATATCTGTATATGTGAAGCTGCTATTTTTAGTATACACAAACTATCTCACAGCAAAACATGATAATAAATCAAACTAGTGTGGTAATCACTGATTGATAAATAAGGTAACACCACCTCCCACCCCCCTCCACCACCATGCACACACTTTAACACAATTTCTTTATTTTTCTTTGCCAAAAATACATAAATAGCAAGGTGTTTTTTTTGTTTTTGTTTTGTTTTGTAATACCTTGCGTATTTTGCCATACATATTTCCCAATCTAATTTAAGATTATTCAGATATAGAACCAACTAATTTAAGATATATATATATATAATAACTGTACTTAAGATGTGTTTATACATGTAGAAATCATTTAATCTCGAGTTTAAAAAAACCGCAACAAGCTATTCAATGTTAAGCGTACGTCACTTTGGGCAGTGCATTGAATTGGGACATTAAACATGTCACATGCTCTCATATAGAATCTTATGGCTAGAGTAGACAGACTGCCCATAGGACACCTCTTCCATAGTCTTTCTTAAACTAAAAATAAGTGGGATTTCAAAACATTTCAAATATAGGCCATTACTTCTATAAGTAATGTTTATAAAGGTATGCAGACAGCCTCTTCAAAAATAAAGCAACATGAATACTCTAACTTGATTTTCAAGGCAAATAATCACTAATATCATCATATTCCTGCTAAAGAAAACATGATGGCTCCTCCTAACAAGTCCATACATGTAAATAGCAGACCTTTTATTATTGTATGCATTTTATAGATTAAAAGACGATAACATGTACTTGTAATGAAAATTAGGTCTTCATCACCTATTCCCTCGATTTCATGAGAGGTTTTTTACCTTAAAAAAGATGCAAAAAAAAAGTGGACATTGAAGCACAGCCATTAATGGATCTGATTTATATATTTACTATCCTGTTGCTTTTTTCCCCTCTAATTTTTCTGTAATTTAAATAATAAAATAAGGAAGCAAGTATTAAATTGTGTTCTAGAATTCCATCCCAAAGTAAATTTGAAATTCATGTGTTTTTCTTTTAGGAATCCATTAACCATTTAACATAAAGCTAAGACATTCAGTCAACTGGAAGTGGACTCTTAATAAAAATGCACATTTTGCTTCACTTGTTAAAATCCAACCCTGCAGCGTGATTGTTCAGAGATGTCTGCTTTGTTTCTCTGAGTGCCAGCTGCATGAGACACATTTTCCTGTAGTGCAGACCCAGCTTTTACTGAAAGGGTTAAAACGGCCAATTATAGGAGCACTAATTTAACATAAATGTTCTGTAGAAAAATCAGCATGTGATACGAGGCAATTTATGGGCTGCCTTTGATCCTCCAATGATCAAGCAGGCGAAGGCCAGACATTGAAGCTATAGTGTAAATCATTAACTATAAAGCCAATGTTCTATTTAAGTTAAAATATCCAATGCTAATACATTTTACTAGGATAATATTATTTCCAAGGTTATTTCTCTAAAACTATATGCAGGAAACAGCCATTTATTAGTGACCATGCTTAAAAATGAACTTGAGCGTGCCAGTAGCTGTATATTTCAGAGCAGTGGAATTTAAAGTTCTATTCACCAAGAGCTAAATCTGGATAATTATTGAGTAAAAACACAGTAATTAGCATTGGTATTTATTAAGATTTATTCTGGCTTGACTTGGATGCTGAACTCTTTGACACTGGTGAGCAGAATGCAAAATCCATTGAAAGGTACCATAATCAAGTTCAGCTCAGCCAATAGAAGCTCAGCACAGGACAGTTCAGAAGACCAGTGAGGGTGGTCATTGAACAATGCTTGCAGTCAAGTTGTAACCTGTAATTTAGATGCCAAATGTTGCGATATCTCACTTGGTACCCTGGTACACTTGACAATGTTTGCTTTCAGTTTAGGCAGTAGTTTCATTCATGTATTTTCATTCATTAAACTAGTGCTAATTCTGAACTACATATTCTATAAACCCATGCTGGACATTGAGTTATGGGTTATGCAATTTCTCCTTTAAAAATAATGGGCATGACAGGAGTGGCCAAATGACTGTAGGTCACTTCTTAATTTTAGCAGAACTCCAGTGACCAACGCAGAACTCCAGTGACCAACTGCAAATCCTTGATATTTTCCGCAAAAGCAGAAACTTGAAAAGGTATCTTCTTATATTCATTTTTAAAGTATTTAGCTCACTATTTATTGAATTCAATAAACAAATAGGGATCATCTAGCACTATATGGTATTTTTAAGAATACTGAAGCTAATTTGCTTCTATGAATAAAACTAAAATCATACACTTTTTTTCATCAAATAAAATATACCTTTATTATATTTTTGTAATAAATTTAGTAACATGCACAACAAGGTCCCAAAATAGATTAAAGATTTGTTTTATAAAAAAAACAAATGATCATCTTAACATATTCTAAACAATATTTTCCTTCTTGAATCTACTGTACGAAGTAAAAAAACATTTCAGTGTTTACTCAGTTGATAAGCAGGTTTTCTTTTAATTATTTTTGGTATATTTCTTTGTATGGTGACAAAAGATGCAGTGAACATTACATTTTAGAAACTGTAGAATCGTATCATATGAATGTGCTGTTTCTAGGATCTCACATTGAAATTTAATTTATCAGTCATTACCATTTCATATGCCAGAATGTCATTAATGATTAATTTCAAAGAAAAATATAATTGAAGTCTTAACAGATGACATCGTCTTAAATGAGTTGTCCAAGATAACAGGAAAGTGTTTACGTTTTTTGAAATATACTTTCAATATGCACATGGACATTAAGTTGACCGTGGATAAAAGTGTTACATGTGAATAAAGTCTCTCTCTTTATAATGTTTCTGTACTTTAAATTGTTCATTATCTTATTTGCTAACATGGGGTATTAGATCCCACAAAAAATAAAAAATGTTGTTCAAATTAAAATTAAATAAAATCAATGTAATATCATATTAGGGAATAATAATTCTATAATTAAAAATGAACCTTGTACCATAATGTAGGAAACAACATTTACAGTGTTATTTCAACTGAGATTGAAAGTGTATTCAAAGTGCATTTCAACTGTAAGGCTAGAGTAGCTAAGCTGACTTTTTTTCAGGTATTTTTTCAGGTATTTTGACCTTAAATTTAAAATACATTTTAAATTCACTTTAGCTACTAATCCTGTTAGTAATTCATTTTGTCTACACTTGGAATTTCTCAAGCATAAATATTCCATTCTGTTTTCATAAAGCGAAAACTGGTCCTTACGAGGTGTTCTTTACCTATGTGTGCATATTTAATTAAATAGGATATTCAGTTGGTTTTCTCCACCATTGTAAGTTCAATAGTTGTAGCTACTGCAAAAGATAACTATATGCATTCAGTAATGAAACATTTCTCAGTTTCATCAGTGATACACAGATAGTGACAATTGAGTCAAAGCATCAATAATTGTACAATCCTTCTCACATACTGCAAGAAATGACTAGACATGGTTTAGTATAGATCCTTCTCTTTATCTGAAAGGTAGCACGCTACTTCTTATACATAGCTATGCTTCTTGCAAAATGAACTGACAAAGTGACTGGTACACAGTAACATTTAGAATCCAAGCTCTTAATCACAGCATATTAGAAGGTCATGTTGTAGAATAATGTATATACAAAATGCGGTAGAAAGGAAAGATATGGTAGACTGGATAACATGCAATAGCCTTGGTTCGCCAGACATTAAATATGTTTTTTATTGAAAATAAACTAATAGGAATTATAATAGCAGTTACAGTAGTTAAATGGACATTCCATAGTAAATAGCTTAACAGGCAAAGAATAGCATGATAAAGAATGGGGAATATTCTCAAATTGATGTTCTTTGTTCAAACACACCCATTAGTAATTTTAATTTACATTGACATTGCAGTCTTTTTTATTTCATGGAAAATATTTCTTACACACGGACGCCATGAACTAGGTGCACTTGCAGACTTCCACCCTGCTCTGCTTCTTTGACTGATAGATGTGAATGGGTCTGTACATCATATCTGGTCTAGAACGTTCCAGCATTTGATGGGTAAATTGCAGGAACCCGTCTACTAGTTTACATTATCATCTCAAGTGGTGCCAGAAATGGAATTAATAAAAATTACCACAAAATGGACAACTTGGCAGTGAAGCCTTGATACATGACAATCAATTCGGGATGCCATTAAAAGGTTTGCCAATTTCCCTGAAAATGTTTGTTTTAGAAGATTTTGACATCATATTAATTTTCCACTTGCCTACAGTGACACCTGCTGGAAAAAAGCATAACACTTCTCAATATGTTGTATATTTTATTAAATGACAGCTTAGATGTCAATTTTCAACAATTTTTTTTATCTTAAACAGATATTTAAATAAACAGTTTCTGAGTGTTGAAGAATACAAAAATATATAATTAAAGCATATATCTACCAAATGACTGATTTAGTGCATAATTTTAAATATAAACATATGTATGGTCCGAATAGTTTAAAGATCAAGAATCATAGTTCAATGTGGTTTACACCCACTGACTGAATGATCAAGTTCTATCTCACACACACACACACAATGTGTATGTGTAACATACATACACACAGTGTGTGACTGTGTAAATATAATAACTAGCCTAAAAATTACACAACAAAAATTCAATATTTTAGTCCAATTATCCTTTTATAAATTAAGATTATGCACTAAATATTGAGATCCAATTATATATTATGTTGTCAGAAAAAGTCTCTTTATAACAAAATGATGGTGTCCATGTTTTAAATAAATTTGATATCTATCTATAAATTTTATTAAAACATGTACAGCATACCTATGTATTGCTTTTTTATATACTTTAATTATATATATATATTTATATATATATTATAATTATATATTTATTTATTTATTTTAGAAGATATTCACCAGTTAATAGTTTAGAACATTAAACCCCACATACTTGGCATTTAGAGTCAAACATATGCATGTTATGTACATGCATGTGTTTCAGTGTATATTGACATATCTATTTTTTTTTTACCCAATATATGTAATCTTTAAACACAAATATAATACGTTTAAAAATAACTCAGTTTCATTTGATGTGGTTATGAGAGGGGCCTTAGTAGAATATGAATTTTGTAACTGTTAATATCAGCATAATAAGTTATGTCGACAACAAAAATATCTGATCAATGAATGCTGTCACAGACTTTAAAATTAAGACAAATGTATAAAATATCACGCTATTGATCAATTTCCTACTTCTTAAAACTGGAATTGTCATGGATTTTGTATTCTTTTGATTGTTACATGGACATGCAGCTATTATATTAATTTGATGTTTTTTCATGAACAATATTGTTTTTCCCTCTTTTACTTTGGTAAGTGATTGGAAGATGCATGCAGTAAGTATGAACACGACTAAATACAATTAAAAAAAACAAAACACATTTCTTTAAAATGGTGCCATATTTTTATGCAGAAGATTTTGATAATATGAACTCTCATGTTTCCAAATGTTGATCTGTGAGCTGTGTAATTGGATTAATTACTGCTAATAAGGTCATGCTGGTAGCTTTGTTAAAGCCTCAATGTCCTCAGCATCTTGATTAAATTAATATACATTTAGCAGGTAGAGGGAGATAGATAATATATAGTGGAAGCCATTTTTTTTCTTAACACATCAGTCCTACACCCATATTTTACACGTTTGCAGTACAGCAGTGCAAATTTAAAGGAGGGCCTACACTTTATCCAGTAAATAAATAAAAAAAAATAGAAATAAAAAAAAGTCTTCATAAATGTTCTTAACTTAGAATTCTAAAGTGTATTTTTTTTCTTTTTAAATGCTTCCCAGGAATAACCCTAAATGGCAAGAGCGTAAATAATGTTTTTTTTTTCTTTTAAATGCATCTGCTGATGTAAATCTATTAGGTAACTGATTTTTAATTGGATATTCTTATTTCTATGTGAGATGGGCTCCGGTATGAAATTCTGTGTCCGCCTGCATGTGTCAGGTTTCTAAAATACCCAAGCTGAAAATGCTTGCAAGTTACCTCTGGTGACTGAACCCCTCTGAATTAAATGATCAACACATGGATTAATCTGTTAAATAAAGCAGATGTGTCTGGCACATTGCCATAAGTGTTGTTTGAAAATCCTGTCATTAGGAGGCAGCAAATGGCTCTTAGATGAAAAAAAAAATTAAAAAAACCCACATTAACAAAATTTGTTCGGATTCTGCATTTTTGCTGCTTTTAAAATCAGGTATGCGTTTTATGTTTCCATTACTCTCTGTGCTGTACATGTACATTTTAAATATTCCTAACACAACAAATAAATTGCTAAATTAACTATATAGAAAGATGATTTTATGTCTAAACTATGTCACCAGAAATACCTACAATAAATTCGGTGTTAACGGTTAAACAGACAGGGCTGAAATATAATTTTTTTTTGTATTTCGCCATTTGTTTTTATAGTAGCTGTGAAGCCACAACGTATTATTCACGGAAATATTAATGAGTAACAAATAATGTGATTTACAACGCATTAACACTGTTTATATTACATGATAAAATATTTATCGGGTTTACGTATTATTCATAAATGGAATTATATGTCAACATGCAACATACCATAATTGTATACAAAGATGTCTATAACAGCTACTCTGTGGTCTTCTCATTAAACACGTTTTTGTTTTTTAAGTAATTGTTTAACGCAAATATTGCATTATATATAATATTTAATACAAATTAGAATGCTTAATCTTCATAAGTTTATCTTAGACCTTAACAATTTGGGGTTTAGTAATTTATTTTTTTTAAAGTGTGTAATGTGATTAAAATTGTGCTCTCTATGATAGCATTTTAATGCTAGCAGTTTTCTTTCTATCAATGAGAATTTTGTCATACATACATGCATGCTGATTTCTAAACAAAGATCTCAAGTTTCACATTTTAACCTCTTCCTGCTGTACATTTTTCCTGCTCAGTGTGGGTCTTTTGTACTGTCATTGTACAGGCTAGATGCTGATCCGCAGTGATGTACAGGGTTTACCTAATTTTGACAGAGTTTCTCACTATTAATGATCAAGTATCAATGAGAACTTACAGAGTAAGGAAAAGTCCACGATCTCCACCTTCATGTTGATCAAAGCGAGAAGCACTCGAGAATTTGTAGGCAGAAAATATATACGCTTACATCTTCATTATCCTTCTTCTAAATTCCAAAGGATAACAAAACACCATTATTCTTGAAAATAAAAAGAAGGTGCAGCCCTGTCAATCATCTATAGCTGCTGTGGAACTTTCAGTATTTTACAAACAAAATCCAAACACGATGAGAAAATTATCTCGCTGTTAAAGGTTACATAAAACATAGAAAGACCAGGTTGTAATCCACAGACCTTTGCCAAGTCTATATGTTGATTCATAGAAAAACGTACATAACGTGGTTCATCTGAACACCCTGAGCAGGGCCTGGCTTTCAAATGAGTTTGAATCTCCCCACACAAGCTGCTTTCATTGCATGTAGCGTCCTACCAAGGCCTGGATTTAAAAGCTACCAATTCTTTTATCTTTAGCCTTGCTCACAAAAGAAGGGTATTTTGTAAATTACCAGCTCGTTCAGATCAACAAAAGGTACTTTCAGAAAAGCCCCATTTGATTTTTCTCAAATTTGATTACAAGGATGAAAAAAAAAAAAAGCAAAAGGAAGTAAAAAAAAAAAAAAAAAACCCCAGATGGCTTTCTCATTCATCAAACTGAATGAGCCTTATCTGTGCCTTTTCAAACAGTAGCTGTGGAACAACATTTCTGTTGGCTTATAAAACTTAACAAAAATTATTGGTTTGCCATTTCATATGTAACTGCCATTGGGAACTGGATGAAAAGATCTGGGATCGCCTGCCTGGATCAAAATAATGGAGATTAGGTATTTCATTATAAATTACAGTGGGATATAGAGGAGGCTGTCATATTAATAGCAACCTGCATAGCTGTCAATAGAAACTACTCTGCTAAGGAGAGAACTGGTGGGAATTGACTGTTGAATTGGTTACACCGGGCCTCATTGATTTTCTATCACCTAGAGTAGGTAAAATAAAAGGTGAGATGAAGAAGAGAATTCACACAGGATTGACTGGATACTTATATTCCATGAAATGTCTCTCCTTCCAAAGTGAAGAAAAAATAAACCAAAATGCAGTTTTTTAAATTTTTTTTATTTTATTCTACATACTGCGGTTGACATTTGTGTTGCATGTTTTTGAATGACAGTAAACACAACTATTGTTACTGCCATCTGGCCTGTTGATTCCAGAGTAATGGTGGCATAAACCTGTTTTTAGCGTCGCAACAAGAGGTCATCCTATATGAGAGTAAATTCTATAGGAAATATTCAAATGATTGTAATTAGCATCTCTTGCACAAAAATAAACTTACTGCATTTGAGACACACACGAACAATTGAAATGACAGTAGGAGATGTATGCACCGATTTTAATTAAGATAACCAATGATAAGAAATACATTATTAGCATTTCTCATTTACTAGATTAAAAAGAAGCATGTAAAAGAACCTAATGTAAAATGCAATAAATTGGAATACATTTGAAAGGCCGTCTACAAGCATTACGCTGCAGGATGTTAAAATGGACTTTGTGCATAGTAGCTAATACATAATAGTATATCACTTCACAGAACATATGTGCTACTCAGTTTTCTAAATTTGTGTGATGTCAAGTCAGGTAAAGTGGTTATAGCTGTGTGTAGAGATTCAAGTGCTAGAGATCTACATGGCACACAGGATTGTCGGTTTTTAGGGACATCTGCCCGTTAGCCCGATAACACAGTAAGGGTTGCAAAAGAATGGCTTTAACACCGCTAGGGTGGTATATTTTATGTATTATATATATATGTATATATATATAATATTTATTAATATTCAAATACACTTTTCAATTTTCTATGTATTTATGTTTTATTTTTACATATATTTATTTTTGTACAACACAGGCAGATAATCCAGAGAATTTAATTTGCAAGCCTTATATAACTTGTGAGACATCACTGAACACAAATATATGTTTTAGAGCACTAAAATATATCATGATGATATCATCAGCGAAAGGGCAGTTTTGCAAAAAAACAAATATATACGCTTACTTTGGCTACTAAAAAGACTGGACATGTCCCATTTTGAATACCCTGGGTTGTCTACTTTTACAGATGATATGCCATGATGGGGGTAATTTTCAGTCATGGGTTGCTATACAGTCTCAAAGGCAACATTGGCCCAGCAAGCCAATCTGGCAAATTTCAAAAGCGTAAAAACTAAAATAGGCAAGCTATTTATTTGCCCCTGTAACTTTCCAAAACACAATGAAACCTTAACGGGGGAATGGGAGGGGTGGGGGGTGAGCATCATTATTCTTGTGGGACATCACTGTGTGGGGGAGGGGGAGTTGCAATAAAAGAGAACAGTATTATGACATTCACAGTTAATTTCTCAATTTAATTTTTAAATTTTATTCACATTAAATTGTGTTTCATATATAAATACTTGATGTGAAATTAAAGCCCTATAGCACCTGAATAAAATGATATGTAATAAGTGTATGAATTTCAGACCAAATGATTTAGTTCTTCGACCAAACATTTGAATAGGAAAGACATATTATGTAAGTGACTTTGAATAGCATATGCTTGTTGGTTCCAAGTATAGTGCTTCCAACGTATCAGAAACAGACTTGTGGCATACTGACACATTACACAATCCAGAGTTTACAGGGAATGATGTGATACCAAAATAAATGAGACATTCATGTAGTAATAAAGAGCCATTCTTTATAATAATAATATGCAGATGCACATCTTATAAAACAGAACATGGTGATGCTGATGTAGATGATCTACAGCCGTAGAAAACCAAAGTTCCACTTTTATCAACCAAGAATAAGATGATAAGCCTATACTGTGAACATGATAACCAAAACTAGACAGGTGACAAACGGAATATATATTATCATATACATGTTAAATTCTGATACAACTAGTGTGAGGATTTGGTGTAACCTGTATGACTACTGTCAGAGTGTGTCAAATCAGTGAGGATATGTGTGTAAGTGGCAAATCAGTGAGTGAGTGTGTCCGTCAGTGAGTGTATGTTGGTGTATGTGTATGTATATTTAGTTTTTTTTATTTTTCCATATATTTATATATGCAAATCCTGTCGCTTCCATCTCAAAAACATAGCACGCATCCGTCCCTATTTAACCCCGAATGCGGCTAAGGTGCTGGCTCATGCTCTTGTTCTCTTTCGCCTGGACTACTGCAATACTCTTCTCAGTGGTCTTACGTGTTCCAAGATTGCACTGCTGCAATCTATAATGAATTCGGCGGCGAGGCTCATTTTCCTGTCTCCTCGCACCTCTCACGACTCCCCGCTCTGTCAGTCCCTGCATTGGCTTCCAGTTAGATATAGGGCTCAATTTAAAATTCTGGTGCTTGCTTCCAAGTCCCTACATAATGCTGCTCCAACCTACCTATCCTCCCTAATACACAAGTATGGCCCGTCGAGGCCCCTATGCTCTGCCAAAGACCTACGTATATCCTCTGTCCATACTCCCACCTCTAACGCTCACCACCAAGACTTTTCCAGGGCTGCACCTCATCTGTGGAACTCCCTTCCATTCTCCATAAGAATTTCACCCAGTCTCCACTCATTCAAAAAAATCATTGAAACTCACTTCTTCAAGAAAGCATATCAATTAAACTGTTAGCAGGTTTTCATCCCCCACCCTCCATGACTCCTCTCCTGCAACTGTCAAAAATTACCTACTAAGCCCTCAATTAATACTTTTCTAACAACCTACTTTGTACCCCTACTTTTACCCTTTGTGTCACTATACCCCACTCCCTCTAGAATGTAAGCTCATGGAGCAGGGCCCTCCACCCCTCTGTTCTTGTACGTCCAGTTGTCTGGTTAAAATTACATGTCTGTTAGTCCACCCATTGTACAGCGCTACGGAGTCTTATGGCGCTATATAAATATAAATAATAATAATAATATGATATATTATTTGATATTTAAATATTTTTTTAATATATATTTTTTAAGTTTATAAAAACATATTAAATCATTTAAAAAGCTTGTCAGAAAAAAATTAATTTAGGGCAAAAGTGGGAAAGTTTTCACAGATGTCAGTAAGTATTGGAATACTACAAACAAAAAGCTATAGGTTATTACATCTTTTATAAAGATCTGAACTTATGTGTGAAAAATATGCAAAAATATTGGAAAATCTAAATATTTAAGTATGTTGCTGGATAATGAACACAGAGTTTGAGAATGTTATCTATATACTGTTTAATATGTAGCAGGGGAACCTAAGTGGCAATACAGGAAACTGAAAGTAAACTAGTGAGGGACAGGTTGGGAATGTGTAACTTTTTTGAAGGTTTTTTTATTCATTAAAAGTATTTAAATGTGGGGTAAGGTATAATATTTGGGTTACATTTATGCATTTCATTTCAAGAAGGGATAGTATTAAGGGTTAGAGGTAGATCTAGGGTTAGGACAGTATAATCCCCCTCAGGAATATTCACTCTGGACAAGTCCTAAAGCATCTAGAGCTGTCAACTTTGGATTAAGAATATGGTTAATGAATGTTGCTAATTGTCAATTCTGAGGGCAATGCAAATATGTCTTTTTTTAAATTTATTTATTTATTTTGTAATTTCTCAATCTAAGCAGTGGCCCAAAAAATAATTGGCTCGATCTGTCAGGGTAACCTCGGGAGTTTAATACTTTCAAGATTAAAAATGGTCATGACCAGTTCATCTACAATTAATGTACCTGAAAAGACTCTGATTATATGACCATTCTTTTTTTTTATCAGGGTAGACGTCTTAGATTTGTACTTTCCAAGTTATGCTCCCTATCAATTTGACCAACTGTTGGACAATTATTACTTTTATACTGCCCTATATATTTTGAATTAAAATTAGATGTGTTTAGTGATTCCTGCATAGAGGTCATCACAGAAAAACGTGTATTCCTTACAGTCTCATTGTTTGATTCATTTAAACATGGATACATAAATTATATATATATAAAAAAAAACATTAATTTAACATTCACCTTGCATTTAAATTGAACTGTTCAAATGCTAAAAGAGTCCCCCATGACAGTGGACAGTTCCTCAGCTTTACATTGCATAGCAAGGATACTTATCTCTGATGGAGCAACAAAAGAAGAGGATATATGTTCATAAAATATGACTTATATAGACTGTGCTGCTTTTTGATTGGTTACTACAACATTCTGTTCACCAGGCGTCAAGGTAAGGTAGGTAAACCACCATGCAGAGCTTTAAACTATGCTATACCTCAATAGTACATAAAAGGTATAGCCCTTAGGATGGCCAGGCTTAACGCATTGCCTATGGTAGACAAAAATAGCAGAGTCAAGGAACAAGCTATGGTCAGAGGATCCAGAGATACATAAGAATGTAATGCCATGCTGAGTCTATGAGTACAGTCATCAGAAAAGTTGAGTCAATATAGCAGAGAAACACAATGAACATAAACCACTCTATTGAAAATCAGGAACTAACCCACAACAGGGCAAAGACACTGAGTAGAATGGAACCTTATAAAAGTCTGGCACCTATAGTCAGGCCCACATCATTCTTGAGAGCCCAAAACACATAAGAGAGCAGAGTTCAGCTTCAAAACTAATGCAACTTTGTCATGAGTCAGGTTCTGGGTTCTAATTGGTGTTAAAACTGACATGACTATGATGTGGATTATGACTTGACGATCATCATCAACATTGACGTGACAATGGTGCATGCACATCATGACTCTGATCGGTGTCAATATTGACGTGACAATGGCATGGTTCAAAATGTAGACATTGACTGTCATCAAAATAGGCATGATTATGATGCATGGAAGAACAAATAAACGCATGGAACCTTACACGTGACTATTCACTTGTTGATATGTTTGTTTCTTTTCTATTGTGGTAACTAAAGAAAGAATGAGCATTGATGAGCCTCCTGAAACGAAACTTAGATTGGTATAATATTTAAATTATGTTTAAGCATAAAAATTAAGGAAAGATAGGACAAAAAAAGTTGAGCAGTGGAAAAGTTGAATACATGGAGGAGATAAGGAAGAAGCTTACTTTAGCAATGCAACAATAGGTGGCAACCCAACTACGTACTGCTGCTTAAATAGCACACACTCCAAAATATTTCTCAGATGAAGGCTGTCATCAGAAATTTTGAGGCCCGTTACAGCTCAAGACCTGCCATCGAGTCTGCCTATAGGGCAAGCCCCGGGTCCATACATAGAAGAGTGTGTGCAACACAGGGCTCAATATTTTATGTCCTCAGCTACTAGCCTTAAAATTTACTTACTATCATTGCCCTGCCTAATCTACCCCATCCTGACCGTCTTCTCACCTTTAACCTAGCCCCTCTAAAATACACAAGTGTATCAGAGAGCTCTGTAGCTATAATACTGAATTGTGCAGAAATCATTGCAGAGCTCCATCAGCAATAATGTGCAAAACTGTACAACTCCCACTGCAATACAACTTCGACTAATGTGCACAAGGGTATTATAGAGCTCTGCAGCTATATATCTGACAGTACAGTTGTGCTAAAAAATTTGCATACCCTTGGAGAATTGGTAATATATGTACCATTTTTAAAGAAAACATGAGCAGGTAAAACACATTTTTATATATATCTTATAGAATTCATATTCAACTGTAGGTTATAACAGGAAGGCACAATCATAAAACAAAATATGGCAAAAAAAAAATAAAATAATGAAATGGACCTTGCTCAAAAGTCTGCATACCCTAAGTTCTTAATACTGTGCATTGCCCCCTTTAGCATCAATGAGAATGTGCAGTCTTTTGTAATAGTTGTCTATGAGGCCCCTAATTCTTGCAGGTGGTATAGCTGCCCATTCATTTTGGCAAAATGCTTCCATGTCATGCAAAGTCTTTGGTCGTCTTGCATGAACCGCACATTTGAGATCTCCCCAGAGTGGCTCGATGATATTAAGTTCAGGAGGCTTTGGTTGCCACTCCAGAACCTTCACATTTTTATGCTGTAACCACTGGAGGGTCAACTTAGCCTTGAAAGTCCTAGAGCAACCCATGTGCAGCCTTTGTGCAGAAGAATGCAAATTTTCTGCCAGTATTTTCTAAAAAAATGTGAATTTATCTTGCCATCAATTTTCACAAGATTCCTCATGCCTTTAGAGCTCACACACCCTGAAAACATCAGTGAGCCACCACCATGCTTCACAGTGAGGATGGTATTCTTTTCACTATAGGCCTTGTTGACCCCTCTCCAAACATATCGCTTATAGTTGTGACCATAAAGCTCTATTTTGGTCTTGTCACTCCAAATTACAGTGTGCCAGAACCTGTGATGCGTGTCAAGGTGTTGTTGGGCATATTGTAACTTGCCTTTTTTGTGGTATTGCCGGCCTTAGGGGTGTGCGAGCTGTGCGGCCGCACAGGGCGCCATGGAGCAAGGGGCGCCGTGCGGCCGCACAGCTCACACATGGCCTGGATTTTAATTTTTTTTTTTTATCGTCTGGGGCGGAGCTTCTGCGTGGCGGGGCAGAGCTAAAAGTGCCAGATAACTGCTGCAGGGGAAGCAGGAAGGAGTCCCAACAAACAGTCTGCAGGAGCTGCACTGCCTGTCTGCCTCTACAATGAACAGAGGTAACAATGTGTGATTGTCTTTGTGAGTGTGAGTGTGTATGACTGTCTGCCTGTGTGCAGGTGTTTGACTGTTGCCTGTGTGTGTGTGTGTCTGTGTGTATGACTGCCTGTGTTTGTGTGTGTGTGTGTGTGTGACTGTGTGTGTGTGACTGTCTGCCTGTGTGTATGTCTGTGTGTGTGTGTGTGTGTGTGTGTATGACTATCTGTTTGTGTGTGTGTATGACTGCCTGCCTGTGTGTGTGTATGACTGTTTGCCTGTGTGTGTGACTGTCTGCCTGTGTGTGTGTCTGTGTGTATGACTGCCTGTGTTTGTGTGTGTGTGACTGTCTGCGTGTGTGTGTGCTTGCGCGTGCGCGTGACTGTCTGCCTGTGTGTGTTTGTGTGGCTGTCTACCTGTGTGTGTGTGACTGCCTGCCTCTGTGTGTGTGGATGTCTTCCTGTGTGTGTGGCTGTCTGCCTGCGTGTATGTGTGTGGCTGTCTGTGTGGCTTTCTCCCTGTGTGTGTGTGTGTGTGTATGTGTGTGGCTGCCTGTGTGTGTGGCTGTCTGTGTGTGTGTGACTGTCTGCGCATAAGTATGTGTGTGTAAGACTGTATGTGTGGCTGTATGTGTCTGGCTGTCTGCCTGTAATTGTGTGCGTGTGTTTATCTACCTGTAACTGTGTATGTGTGTTTCTGCCTGTACCTGTGTGTTTCTGCCTGATCCTGTGTATGTGACTATCTGCCTGCGACTATGTGCATGTGGTGGATTTGACAGTGTACATGTATAACTGTGTGCATCTGACTGTGGGAATGTGTGCACATAACTCTGCAAAAATATACACCTTGTAACAGAGTGTTGGGGATGGTGGTCAGGGGTGTATATCTGGCACCCAGACTTTTGCACAGCCACTATCCTGACATGTGGGTAAGCACATGCAGCCCCAGGGAAAGTTAAGTTTAAATGTAGTTTTTTCCTCTGTTGTTATTTGGGTCCCTGGGGTGGAGTATTCGGAAGAGCAGGGTGGGCCGATTCTCCACCCACTGTCAGAGTGGTTGTGCATGAGTCCAGCCCAGGTTTCCCATAGAGCTCTGGCTCACTGCCTAACGAGGTCATTAGCCTCACCTGTAGGGGCTGTGAGCAGCTATATAACTGCAGTTAAAGCAGGGTGAAGTGAGGGAAGTGTTTTGGAGGAGAAAGAAAGTGTTTTGTGGAGAAAGAAGATTTGCTGTTCATTGTATCCTGTTACTTCACAACAACAGAAAATAAACAGGCCAGAGGCCTTTTTGAAACTGGACTTTGTCTTGACCTGGTTTTCTTACCCTAGAGGGCTGTGCGGTTGCCAAAAGATCCTGGACAAACACACACAGGAAAGTAAGTTTGTCACATATGGTGGAGAATGCGGGCACTGCACTAAAGAAGCCTGTGGGTATTAACTGGAAGCCAAACAAGCCTGTAGAAATATGGAGGAAGTTGTGAAAGTCTTGTTGCAAACTACAGCTGCACAGCAAAAGGCTACAGCCGTAAAGCAGGAGGCTACAGCTGCACAACAGGAAAATATTACAGCCCTACAGCAACTGGTAATTACGCAAAAGGCCAACACAGATGCTTTGATCCAGCAGGTTATGGCAGCCCAAGCTGAGGCAAACCGCCTGCTCAGAGAGGAGCAACATCAGGCCACCAGTATGATACAGAAGGAGATACAGGCTTTGACCAAGGGACTGACCAGAGTCTCGGATGGGACGCAGTCCGAGGTTAAAATGATCAGAGCCAGTCGTTACCTGCAGAAGATGACACCTACAGATGATGTGGAAGCATACCTGCTAGCTTTTGAGAGGACAGCTGAGAGAGAAGAGTGGCCGGTGAGTGAGTGGGCAAGCATACTGGCACCTTTTCTTATTGGAGAACCCCAGAAGGCTTTCTATGACCTGGAACCAGCACAGGCAGGGGTCTACTCCAAATTGAAGGCTGAGATCCTTGCACGACTTGGTGTGACTATGGCAGTTCGTGCCCAAAGATTTCATGCCTGGACTTTCAACCAAGAGAAGCCTATCCGCTCCCAGATGTTTGACCTGATACATCTGGCTAGGAAGTGGTTACAACCAGAAATAAATACGGCAAGCCATATCATGGAACTTCTTGTGATGGACAGATTCCTGCGGGGCTTGCCTGCTTCACTGCGTCGATGGGTCAGTCAGAGTGATCCACAAACAGCTGATGAGTTAATTGGTTTGGTGGAAAGATATGTGGCTGCAGATGACAGACAGTGGCTCAACAACACAAAGGCTAAGCAGAGAGTTAAGACTCCAGCTCCTGAAAGACCTGGTAAGATTTTTCAAGATTTCAGAGACACAGAGGAACAAGAGACATATTCTCAGGGACCCCATACGCTTATGCCTAGAAATGTTAATCCTGGAAAAGGGTTTAGGTGGGGGACAGTTAATAATATGAAATGTTTCCGGTGTAATGAACCTGGACATAAAGCTAGAGACTGTCCCTTGATTGATGAACCGATGCAATGCAATATGATTAGTCAGGATGTACAATTGTCTTGTTTGCTGAATTGTATGGAATCTGCTGTTGCCAACTGTAGTCACAATCCACAGATATGTTCCATAAGGGTGAATGGGAAAGAGGTTAGAGCTCTATTAGACTCCGGAAGTATGGTGACATTGATAACAAAATGCCTTGTACCTGAAGCCGATGTTGATGCATTTCAGAAAATTGGTATAATTTGTGTTCATGGTGACAAACGTGAATATCCTACAGCTTTGCTAAAGTTTGAAAGCCTTTTCGGTAGTGTTAATCATAGAGTGGGTGTAGTGGATAAATTGGCTTATGATGTGGTATTGGGAAGAGATTTTCCCCAATTTTTAGACTTGTGGGGGTCTACAGGAAAAATAGTTCATGATTGTATAGCAAATGATTCTAGAAATGTGTTCCCTTTTTCTGACATAGAATGGGAAGGACTAGGCATAAGACCAGGGAAGGCTGAAGTCTCAAGTCACAGGCCAGCTTTAGTAGGAGATGACCAGGGCCACGATAGTCAGGAGACCGATAACGATCAGGATCAAGGCATTAACTTCCCTGAATTAGAAGTCAGTCCTGTTAACTTCAGGAAAGCGCAGTGGGAAGACCCCACTCTTGCAGAGGCCCGAAAAAATATCCAGGTTTCAACTGATGATCCAGTACAACTAGATAGAGCCCCTTCTTTTCCTTATTTTGAGGTACAGAATGATTTGATCTATAGAGTAGAGAAAAAGGGGATGGATGTTGTAAAACAACTACTTGTTCCTAAGCCCTTCAGACATACAGTCCTAAATCTTGCACACAGCCATATCCTGGGGGGACATTTAGGCATAGAAAAAACAAGAGAAAGAGTCTTACAGAGGTTTTACTGGCCTGGGGTGTTCGTTTCAGTTGCAAATTATTGTTCTTCTTGTCCTGAATGCCAACACACCGCCCCTTTTAAGGCATATCGCAGTCCTCTGGTACCATTGCCTATAATAGAAATACCTTTTGAGAGGATTGCAATGGACTTGGTGGGTCCTCTGGTAAAGTCTGCAAGGGGGCATCAGTATATATTGGTGATTCTGGATTATGCTACCAAGTACCCAGAAGCAATACCCCTACGTAACACCTCTGCAAAGACAATAGCGAGAGAACTCATGCTCATGTTTAGCCGGGTGGGCATACCAAAAGAAATTTTGACAGATCAGGGTACACCATTTATGTCTAAAGTTACAAAGGAGTTATGCAAACTACTTCAAATTAAACATCTTAGGACTTCTGTTTATCATCCCCAGACAGACGGACTGGTAGAACGGTTTAACAAGACCTTAAAAAGTATGTTAAGAAAAGTAATTGACAAAGATGGTAAGAATTGGGACTGCTTACTACCCTATCTAATGTTCTCCATAAGGGAGGTGCCACAAGCTTCTACGGGCTTCTCTCCTTTTGAGCTTCTATATGCCCATCATCCCAGAGGTCTACTAGATATAGCAAAAGAAACCTGGGAACAGGAATCCAATCCGTACCGTAGTGTAATTGAGCACATAGCTCAAATGCAAGATAGGATGGCGGCTGTCATGCCAATAGTTAAAGAACATATGCAGAAAGCCCAAGATGCCCAGAAAAACAGTTATAATAAAAATGCCAGACTGAGAGTTTTTCACCCAGGAGACAGGGTACTTGTTTTGGTCCCTACAGTAGAAAATAAATTTCTAGCATCTTGGCATGGCCCATATGAGGTTATTGAACAGGTTGGAGAAGTTAATTATAAAGTGAGACAACCCGATAGGAGGAAACCTGAGCAAATATATCATATTAATTTACTAAAACCCTGGAAGGACAGAGAGGTCTTAACTACTTCAGTTGTCACTGATAAGACTAGTAGTGAACTTGAAGTAAATATACCAGACACCCTGTCCCCCCACCAGAAACAGGAAGTAAGGGACTTCATTGGTAGAAACCGGGATGTATTTTCTGTAGTTCCGGGCAGGACTAACGTTATCAAGCATGATATTGTTACAGAACCAGGGGTAAAGATAAGCCTTAAACCATACAGAATCCCAGAAGCACAGAAAGAGGCTGTAACTGCTGAAATTAAGAAAATGTTAGATCTTGATATTATTGAGGAATCCCAAAGCGTGTGGAACAGCCCTATAGTACTGGTGACAAAACCTGATGGCTCGATAAGATTTTGTAATGATTTTCGTAAATTAAATAGTGTGTCAAAGTTTGATGCTTATCCAATGCCTAGGGTCGATGAACTGATAGAGAGACTGGGTAAGGCTCGGTACCTGACTACTTTAGACCTGACGAAGGGTTATTGGCAAGTACCTCTTACAGACAGAGCAAAAGAAAAGACAGCTTTTTCTACATCAGGGGGATTATTCCAATACAAGGTGCTACCATTCGGATTACATGGGGCCCCTGCCACTTTTCAGAGACTGAATGATAGGATTTTGAAGCCTCACAGCCGTTATGCGGCCGCATACTTAGATGACATAGTCATTCACAGTCCTGACTGGGCTTCACATCTTCCCAAAGTGCAGGCAGTACTGGACTCTATCCGCTTAGCTGGTTTAACTGCTAACCCATCTAAGTGTACTATAGGTTTGGAAGAGGCAAAATATCTGGGTTATTCGATTGGGAGAGGACTAGTTAAGCCCCAAACAGCAAAAGTGGAGGCCATACAAAATTGGCCACGCCCCCTCACTAAAAAGCAAGTTAGGACTTTCTTGGGACTTATTGGGTATTACAGGTGATTTATTCCTGGTTTTGCTACATTAGCAGCTCCTTTAACGGATCTCACAAAAGGTAAAGCCCCACTAGTGGTTAAGTGGTCAGTAGAGGCAGAAAAATCGTTTGTAACTTTGAAAGAGGCTTTGTGCACCCAACCGGTTCTGGTAACCCCGGATTTCACTAAAGAGTTTATTGTCCAAACCGATGCATCAGAGCTTGGGTTAGGGGCAGTTCTGTCTCAGGAAATTCAGGGTGAAGAACACCCAGTGTTTTATTTAAGTAGGAAGCTGACTCCCGCTGAGAAAAATTATTCTATAGTGGAAAAGGAATGCCTTGCCATAAAATGGGCCTTAGACTCATTGAAATATTATCTGCTGGGTAGAAAATTTAGGTTGGTCACAGACCATGCCCCCTTAACCTGGATGAGTCAAAACAAAGATAATAATGCCAGGGTGACAAGGTGGTTCCTCAGCTTACAACCATTTCATTTTACGGTTGAAAATAGGCCAGGGTCTAAACATGGAAATGCTGACAGTTTGTCGCGAGAAAATTTGTTTTCTGTGGTCGCTCACCCCACTAGGTCTGAGCTGGGGGGGAGGATATGTAACAGAGTGTTGGGGATGGTGGTCAGGGGTGTATATCTGGCACCCAGACTTTTGCACAGCCACTATCCTGACATGTGGGTAAGCACATGCAGCCCCAGGGAAAGTTAAGTTTAAATGTAGTTTTTTTCCTCTGTTGTTATTTGGGTCCCTGGGGTGGAGTATTCGGAAGAGCAGGGTGGGCCGATTCTCCACCCACTGTCAGTGGTTGTGCATGAGTCCAGCCCAGGTTTCCCATAGAGCTCTGGCTCACTGCCTAACGAGGTCATTAGCCTCACCTGTAGGGGCTGTGAGCAGCTATATAACTGCAGTTAAAGCAGGGTGAAGGGGGAAAGTGTTTTGGAGGAGAAAGAAAGTGTTTTGTGGAGAAAGAAGATTTGCTGTTCATTGTATCCTGTTACTTCACAACAACAGAAAATAAACAGGCCAGAGGCCCTTTTGAAACTGGACTTTGTCTTGACCTGGTTTTCTTACCCTAGAGGGCTGTGCGGTTGCCAAAAGATCCTGGACAAACACACACAGGAAAGTAAGTTTGTCACAACCTGCATTCTCACACAGGTCTAAATGCATGTTTTTTTCAGAATTAAATAACCATCACACACAGACAATAAACCAAGCACAAATATCACATACAACCAATACACGCATATCACACACTGTTAATACACCCATTACAAATATCACACACTGTTAATAGACACATTACAAATATCACACACATCCAACACATAGCATATATATCACACACAGTCATCACATCTATCACATACACAGATAACACAAATATTACATCATACATGGATGACAAGTTGGTGGGGGGCGCTGTGAAGATTTTTCGCACAGGGCACCTAAAGGCCTAAGGCCGTAGTAAAGGCTTCTTTCTACCAACTCGACCATGCAGCTCATTTTTGTTCAATTATCGTCGTATTGTACTCCTTGAAACAACCACACCGTCTTTTTTCAGAGCAGCCTGTATTTTACCTGAGGTTACCTATGGGTTTTTCTTTGTATCTCGAACTATTTTTCTGGCAGTTATGGCTGAAATCTTTCTTGGTTTTTCCTGACCTTGGCTTGGAATCAAGAGATCCCACTTCTTAATAAGTGATTGAATAGTACTGACTGGCATTTTCAAGGCTTTGGATATCTTTTTATATACTTTTCCATCTTTATAAAGTTACATTACCTTGTTACACAGGTCTTTTGACAGTTCTTTTTTACTCCCCCATGGCTCCGTATCTAGCCTGCTCAGTGCACCCAAGTGAGAGATAACACACTTATTGACTATTTATACACAGACACTAATTGCAATTTAAAAATCCACAGGTGTGGAAATTAACCTTTACTTGCCATTTTAACCAGTGTGTGTCACCTTGTGTGTCTGTAACAAGGCCAAACATTGAAGGGTATGTAAACTTTTGATCAGGGCAATTTGAGTGATTTATGTTATCATTATGATTTAAAAAGAAGCCAAACAACTATGTGATAATAAATGACTTTATATGATCACTATCCTTCAATAAAATACATTTTTTGCATGATTAGTCATATTTTCAAAATCAATGCCAAAATTTCACAATTTCTGACAGGGTATGCAAACCTTTGAGCACAATTGTATTATGCAGGGTGCTGTGCTGAATTGGCTTACTATGCTCTTTGGTGAACTAATGCACAAAGGGTAAAAATGTACACTTAATTTTCACTCGCAAAATGTGAGATGGCAAGTAGAAATTATTAGCTCTATGTAAGAGATGCAGTGTATGTTTAGTGGATGCAGTTTGTGCATATCGTGGATGCAGTATGTGTTTATAGTGATTGCAGTGTGTATATGTAGTGGATGCACTGTGTGCGTATAGTGAATACAGTGTGTGTCTGTGTATAGTGGTTGCAGTGTGTGTGTGTGTGTAATGGATGCAGTGTGTGCGTATAGTGGACACAGTGTGTGTCTGTGTATAGTGGATGCAGTGTGTGTATGTGTTTGTATAGCACATGCAGTGTGTGTAAGAAATGCAGTATGTGTATGTATGTGTGGATTTATGGGATAGGATAGGGTCAGTGTTCTCTGGGGGGGTGAAAGAGGAGTAGAACTTTTTAATTGTTATTTAATAATCCAGCCATGGCTAGCCATATAGGTACTGGAGAGTAAGTAAATAAATGTATATCACTGAAACATGAATACTGGTAATCATATCAAGTATAATTCAAAGGTAAAAATGTTCCACTCTAACCACTTTTTTGTTATCAATAAATAATGGAGATTAAAGGCAATAGAACATTTTTTTTTAGCAGAAATAGACTTGATCCCCTGGATTGCTTGCTGGTTGCATTACTACACTATATCAGATCCATTCATTTTCGTAGATTGTGCTTTTACTAGGGATAAAGTCGTGTGGCTACCACTCACAATCCTGATTCCCCTTTCCCCTTTATTTTCTCTCGTTCATGTTGCTATCCAGTCTTCCCCGCCCTTTTGTCTTCTTTATTTTATTAATTGTTGAAAAATACCTTCATTATGGAAAATTCCACTAATATGAAAGATTCTCTTTGTTATTAATCTCAGTTGTTCCCAAACAAAGATATACAATCTACTGATATGCTCTATCAATATGTTCACCTGCTAATAGCTTTGTTTATTCTAGTAACTTTGCTATAATTGTGTAAAATCTTAAAACACAAAAATATTGAATAAGAGTTTCAAAGTAAGATTTAAAAAAAAGAACCTACTATAAGTATTAAGAATTATAAGATTTCTCTTTATTTTACTTATGTATAAAATTTGTTTAGGATCCACCAGCATTGTAGTATGTTGATCTTAGTGGTCACCTTATTATAGGGAAATAAATCACAATGTTTCACCTTAAAGCAGACATTATTATGCCACTTCGTACAAATGGCAGCATGTGTTAGGATGTATGCTGATTCTGTTTTGTTTTCTGGTCTGCTGCTAGGTGGCAGCCAAGATGACAAAGCAGCAGCTACAAACTGATGTAAAGATACTTCTCAACTTCTTTTTCAATGAAGAGGAGTGCCAAAGCTGGCCAGTCTCATAACATCACACACTATGCTGTGCCTGAACCCTATTCTCTCCATTGTCTCTACATCTCTAATTCTAAAAGGAAGATATAATATATTCACATACCTTTTTTAAACTCTCTCTATGTCTTTTGACCATTTTTAAGATTTTTTTCTCATCACCAGCTATTCCAATTTGAGCTAACAGAGTTGCAGCTTTAACTTAGAACGTTTGCACTGTCAGTCTCCTCTCCCAGCATATCAGTATTGCAAGCCTCCCAACAGTCCCAATTTCAATGGGACGGTGCTCATTTTAGAATCCAGTTAATCCTTATTGACTTACGGTGCTCTCAGCATGGTCCATGCTTAGTGTGATCTTAATATGCCAGCCAGTGTGCATTCACTCAAGACTGACCTTCCTATTCTTCAGATAGACCCACACCTTCTGTTTGGCACCATTGAAATGATTCCTGTCACTGATCCAACCATTCCATTGTTTTCTTTATGACATCTAGAAAGGTGAGTCATTTCTGAAATCAAACTAACTAATGAATATATTTGCATAGCCAAGAATGTCAGCATCCTGTGAAGCGGATACCAGTGGGAAGGTTGAAATGGGGGAGACTAGTGACACAATTCGTATAACTGGCTCTGTGTAACGGCGGCACATAGGTAAGGGTGCTCTCTGTAGGGTCCATATGTCCTGAGCACAGAGTAAGCACATCTAATGAGTTGACATGGCAGGACACAAGCCAAAAATTAGGACTGTTCCATCAAAATTGGGACAGTTGGGAAACATGCATTTGGTGCATTTTTCCTAAACTGCAAAAATTGTATTGTATTAATATCTAGGTTATCCAAAGAAAGTCCTCTCAGTCCTCCAAATTCTTGGACGTTATGTATTTAAAAATGTGCAATGTTAGTTGAACAAACTTGTGATAATATTTTTTTTGCTTTCTTTATTTGTTGGTTTGTATTTGATTTCTAGCTAAGCCAAAGTACATCACACATTTTCCTGGTACAGTTTCATTTTGAAATGCTGGACATAGAAATTAACCCCTTTGCTGTTGAAGGTGTAACTCCACCTCTGGCAGTGTCATTGTGGCATCATTAGCCATCCTGGAAAAAGAGCACTCCTGCCATCAATCAATAATTGGAAAATATTTGGCTAGTATTGGGAAGAAGCTGTGTTTGAAGCTGAACCAAATTTGTCATGCAGAGACTTTAAGTTTAGTTGCAGTCACTACATCAATTATGAGCCAATTATGAGCCACAGCCAATTAGGAGTAGAAAGTAAACAACCAAAAGTATTTATCTATGTGCATTGCTATACTTTTTGTAACGATTTAATCAGTAACCGCAGTCAAATGTGATTTTACTTCATTTTAGTGGTCTTCACTAAATTTGCACATTCGTTATCAGACAAACTGTGATTCAGAATTTTTTTTGCTTAATTTGGTAGTGTGTCCAAATAACACCAAATTGCCAAATGACAGAATCAAATAATATCTGAATCACATTATGAATGCAATTCTTCCTTGCGATTCAGTCTTTCATTGATTCAGAACAGAGTTGCCTCTGGTTGGAAAGGCTAATGAGTACAGCTAAGAAAAAAATAAAATGTTACACTCTATTAATGTCCATATCATAAGATTACAGATTATTAGAATTAACAAAGTACAATATATACTTGTAAAGTGTCAATAAAACCACAAAACAATTATTTAGCAAAATTCAGGAGGATTAAGCAAGGGTAATATTATAGAGAAATAATGCTACAGTATGGTATTCAAAATAAAAAAACTCCAGATCATGATGTGTGACATGCACTAGATAGCAAAGAAAGAATTCAAGGAAAAATAAAAGAAATAAGGGGAGACGCACAGCAGTAATTGAATGGAAAAGACTAAGGAAAAGTGTAGAAAAATAAACTGGCAACAATTCAAGGTTGTGCATTTTACAATAGGAAAAATAAACATAAGAAGACAGGAATGTGCATGGGCAAAAAAATCGGCTCGGTTCAGCATTCCCAAATTCGGCAATTCGGCACTTCGGCAATTCGGTTCGGTACTTTCTAAATTCGGGACAGCAATCACCATGGCATATAAAATCAAAGAAATCCTGGCACCCTACGCGTTTCGACCTAAGACTTCATCAGGGGTGTCTGTCACTTGCCAGACGCCCCTGATGAAGTCTTAGGACGAAACACGTTGGATGGCAGAATTTCTTTGATTTTACTGCTGATTTTATTTTTGTATGTTTCTTATCCTGATCGTGTTATTACTTTTGGATACTGAAGACAACTTACGATTCTGATGGGCTGTTTTACTACCAAAATCTTGGTGCAATCAAATAAAGTTATCCTTTTCATATATACAGTTGAACACAATGTCTTGCTTTTCTATTTTACCCTAAAGTTTTAAAGTGGAAAAAAGAAGAAAAGAAGTCCATTGAGATTTACATACTCCGCATATATTACTCATATGTTTGTGAGTGTATCTTAGTTTTTACCTTTTATGGTGATTTATTTTATCTACACTATTGTTTTGTCTCTTTGTTTTATATAGTTTAGGTAATGTAACTTTATATCTGGCTGAGCAGCCCTATTGGCTCAAACTCTAAGATTATTTGATCAGCTGCTGCTCATCCTAATTAAGTTGGGCAGTAGTTAGTCAGACAACAGTAGAGTATGACCCAACATGGCTGCCCAGCCTGTTAAAACAATTCTCATAAAAATCAATATATTTCATTTACAAAAAAGATTTTAAGTTTCACTAAACGTAAAAAACTATTTTTTAAAAGGGGGCGTGGCCAACTACAGAGCTGAATGGAAGTGTACTGATTCAGCTCCTCTCAACTCGACGTTGAAATCCACTTCCATCGGATGACACAGAGCAAAATGGGGAACCCCAAGAAACAGGGGGGACACAGGACAAGGCAAGGAAAACCCCTACCGCAAAACAGGGATCCCTTACCCGCGGAATCCAAAATTGTGGCAGAAAGTGAACTTGGCGACCATAAAACATGTCGTGCAGATCACAAGATACAAACCGGGACACGTACATAAGAGAGCTGCTGGGAAACTTGCCGTCGAAAGCAGACCTCGCCAATATGCTGGGTAAGCTGGAGGCTACCTTCCAATCAAAGGTATAAACACTAGAGGCTGAAGTTCAGCAGATACAACAGCAGGTCACTGACTTGAAGGAAGAACATGACATTACACAGGCCCAAATCACAAATCTCTCAACGATGATAGACTCCCACACTCAAACCATGGCATCTTTTCACAGACACCTAGACGACCTGGACAATTGCAGCCGCAGGAATAACCTGAGGGTACGAGGGCTGCCCAAGTCCCAGGGGGAAGAAATCATGCCCATGCTGAGCTGTTTAACCTAATTCTTGAAAATAAGGGGGACAGTCCAATCTTAATGGATAGAGCACATCGCTCACTGAGACCAAGGGGGGCGACCCCTGAAATGCCCAGGGACATAATCTGCAGACTACATTATTTTAATACTAAGGACAACATCTTGAGAAATCTTAGAGACACTACTCAGCCCATTCTCTTCCATGGTTCGCCAATACAAATATACCCAGATCTATCGTGGTACACCCTGCAGGCTAGACGCTCCCTGAAACCGATTACAGAACTCTTGCGCCAAAGAAACATCAGCTATCGGTGATCGGGATATCCCTTTGCACTGACAGTGACATATAAGGGTAACACCACCTCCATAACCTCACAAGCAGATGTACCACCTTTCCTGAGAGCATTGGATCTGCCGAACACGCAAATAGTGGACTGGAACTCACCGCTCCCAATGCATGAAAATTGTCCTTAACCACAACGACAATGTGGAATTACACCGCAGAAGAAAAGAAGAACGGATGGAAGGATATTCTCCCCCAACAGAAGAAAGGCACAATACCAAAGCTTTAACTCAAGACAGTGAGCCCGCTACAGGAATCCTCAACAGATTTACAAGCTATTACATTGGAGATGCAGGATGCTTGTAATATATATTGTTCTACTTTATTCAGCAAACCCGAGAAAGAGACCAGCAAATTATCTATGAACTGAACAGCGCAAGGTTGGCAATAGGACCCACTCCGATCTGAACTGACCAGACGAGATGGTGACAAGCCCAAAGAGACACTAAGGAGGAGAGCACAGCAGTAAAACTTACAACTCTAGATCTCACAGCTGATTCCTATAGCCCACAAGACTTTGCTTACCCTGGTGGTTACTGTGTCTACGAGCAGATACTAACGAAGCACAGGTCGTATAGATATGCTATTAATGTATTATTTTTTGCAAGGGCTCTCAAAGTATTGTTAAGAATATGTATGCTAGGGCATAACATAAGGGGTTAATGTTTTACATGCAAGGGGGAGGATAGGGAATAATCCCGGGCTGACAGACATAGGTGAACACAAACGGTGAACTTCTCCCCCGCCCTCCCCCCTACCTTCCCCTACCCCCTCCTACCCCCTCTTCCCCCTCCTCCACCCCACTACAAAAGGGGAACCAAATTCCATCAAACACTTACTCCTCCTCTCCCTCCTCCATCCATCATGTCACCGTGCGAACACGTGCAGTTAAATTACTACACACCTGTGCACAAGGTGATCTAGGGCAGTCTTTTGGTAATTCTAGACCTCTCTTAAGCACACGATTAGACAGATCATTATACACTCTGCTAGAAGAGGTATTTCCAAGCCATGAGAAAATATCATTGTATAGTACTATCCCACACAGTGAACTCTCAGCCAACCCACTAGGGGAAAGGTCGAATCACCACACAGAGCTAACCCAACTCAAGAGAACAAAACATGACACACCTACGCATACTGTCCCACAATGCCGGGGTCTAAACATCTCTGAAAAAAGAATGCTGGCCCTCACGGACTACCAAAGACAAAAAGCAGATGTGGTGTTTATACAGGAAACCCACTTCCGCAAGAATTCAGCCTCAGCCCTCAGGAATTGCAAATATCCTGTATGCTTCTTCAGCCACTTCACAGAGTCAAAATCCAGAGGAGTAGCAATACTGCTCGCCAACCAGGTTCCCTTTCAATATTGTAGAACAATATGTCTGACGATGCAGGAAGATTTCTCTTTGTCAAGGGGAAAATTGGGTACCAAAAAATAACACTTGCAAATCTCTATCTCCCGAATAAGAAACAATATCAGTCGCTAAAGAAAATCCTACAAAAATTAACTACTTTCCAGAAGGGAATTCTAGTAATGGGGGGAGACATGAACATAACCCTTGATGGAGCTTTAGACACCTTCTCAAAGCAAGCAGATTACCTAGCACTGGCAAGATTAGAACTCAACAAAATCTTACACAAAGCACAGTTATATGATAGTTGGAGAACTATCCACCCCACCAGGAAAGACTATACTTTCTTCTCCCCACCAACAGGCAGCTATACTAGGATAGACATGATCTTTCTCCACCATAGGAACCTACCCAAATCAAGAATGCCGCATACAGCCTGATCGAATGGTCGGACCATGCCCCACTAACACTAGATTTGATAATGTTGTCCTACCCCCAGACATCACCTCAATGGAGACAAAACGACCTTCTCCTCAAACACCCAGATATAGTGTCCAAACTCTTAGATGCAATACAGCAATACTTCACAGAAAACTCCCACCCTGACACCTCCCCAACGATGTTATGGGAAGCTCATAAATGTGTAATGAGGGGAGAAATAATACAATTAGCATCAGGCCAAAAGAAACAAAGGGAGGAGAGTGGATTGGTCCCTGATGCTGTCCACCATGAAGGTGGATGGAGTGGCTGGGAGCAATATATTCCACAACAACAGCAAGGTTACGTATAAATGGCAAATTATCTGACCCAGTATAAATAAGCAATGGTACGAGACAAGGCTGCCCGCTCTCCCCTCTGCTCTTTATACTAGTACTGATGCCATTCCTACAGGGCATCAGAGACAACCACCAAATCCAAGGGTTCAACATCGACAAGGTGGAATACAAAATAACTGTTTTTGCCAATGATATCATGTTCACAATAAGAAACCCGGATAAATCTCTCCCACATATACTAGACAAAATGTCCGTATATAGCAAGGTCTCTAACTTTCAGGCAAATCTTATCAAGTGTGAGATCCTGATACTACACATGGACCAGGAACTAACCAAACAAATTATAAAAGCTCATTCAAGTTCAGCTGGTCCAACACATCCATTAAATATCTAGGTGTACATCTACCACACGAGCTGAATCGTATATATGAATTAAATTTCCCCCGAATGTTAACCAACATTACAAAAGATTTAAGCAAATGGAACAAACCGGGATTCAGCTGGTTTTGTAGATTGAATATTATCAAAATGAATGTGCTCCCACACCTTTTAAACACTACCCATACTGATCCCCAAAAAATTATTTGTGGACATCCGCAGGACCATATCTACTTTTGTATGGTCTCAAAAACACCATAGGCTAGCTAACTCACTCTTGACAAAGTCATGAGAAGAGGGAGGGATAGGACTCCCAGACCTGGACCGAGAGCCATCCACCTAACAAGAGTCTAGATGAACCCCCTCTCATCGCAACAATGGTGAGCGATAGAGGACTCATTCTTCAAGACTCCTATTCAGTCCATACCATGGTACAAGCAGATACATCACCTACTAAAACACAGACATCACCCGACAATAGAAGCCACACTAAAAGTCTGGCTAGATGGATGCAATTACGTGAATATCTCCCACTTTCCCTCCCCACCCTACCCGATCACTCACAATCCTTTATTCGAACTGGGACTCGAGGGTAGAATACTACACACCTTGCCTACGCAAACCCCCACACAACTAAGAGTTGTGTTCGGGGCATTCTCATATGATATAGAATAAGATGGGTTGTAGAGATGTAGCTTTAGGAATAATCGGTTGAGGTGTGCCGAAACCGACGTATGCTGTAGGCCGGTAAAAACTGGGCTTACATAGAGGAAATATGAACAATGGGAGTGGAGGGTGGGGCTATTCGTATGACCAACAAAGGTAAGTAGGGAAAGGGGGAGTCCCTTTTATAGGTCTATAGCCCCTCCCACAACTTCAGGCCATGCCTTCCAATTTGTGTTCGGGGCATTCTCATATGATATAGAATAAGATGGGTTGTAGAGATGTAGGTTTAGGAATAATCGGTTGAGGTGTGCGGAAACCGACGTATTCTGTAGGCCAGTAAAAAGTGGCCAAAAAGAGACATATTAATGCAAAACATTATACAGGATCATAGTCTATTTGTTAACCATCAGGTAGACATTTTAATGAAATCTTCCTAATTCCTGAATCGGCTGTGGTATGTAAGTCGCATAAGCCTATCATTCCCAGCGACCCCGTGTCTTCACATGTGTGGGGATGTCTTGGCTATAGGCCGTGGAGGCTGCTCCTATCCTAAAGGAGTGCCCTGAGTAGTCGCTAGGGTTTAGTTCGAGCCCGGTGAATGAGTAGGTGGACATAGTGCATGAACTTACCTGTGGTAAGGACAGTATCGTACAGCAACACTAATGGTTCAGTGGTGCATATGGTGGCGTGCCCAAAAACGTAACCAGTACCTTAACCGGGCACCCAGCATTGCTTGTAAGGTAGTAGGTTATATGCACTGGCTCGCCCATCTGACTCGTCTTAGTTTTAGGAAGGGACCGGACATAGTGGTCTGTGTGTTTTAGAAGATAGGAGGTCAACAGGCACTCTTGTTTATGATGTTGGCCGCTGATAGTGAGTTATTTTTTTGGCATGAGAAAGCGTTAAAGGCTAGATAGGTAGCAGTTTTGATAACTGCATTGGTGCGTGGCTCGGAAGGTGCATGGTCGAGTGGTTCTGACATGGTTTGAACATTGTATGTCTATGGCCAGTATTTAGTTTTAGCGGGAACGTCCGCTTGGCTATGTCTCTAAGTAAGGTATGGATGAGGATAGGAACCCTTGTTGTTTGGGAAGGAAAAATACGTATAGTGTTTAATACCCGTGAGATAAGTTTCACCGTGTTGTGCGAGAATTTTTAACTTAAGGTGGCAAAAAGAGGCGAAGGCAATTAGTTGTGAAACCTCAAACCATCTATCTAAGTGATGGTCCGACATGAAATGTATTGTATAAGCATTTTGAGTGCTGGTGGACAAGGCCAGTTTAGTCAGAGCCCGGCTATGTTGGCAAGGTTCATGTAATCCATGACCTTGACCATAAATGACCCCCCTGCCATGGCGGCTGTCACGGCAGCTGCCACAATAGTTTACCATTACATGTGGTTAAGAAAGTCCACCATATGTGTAGGTCTGCCGTGGCTTGGTTGTCTAGGGACAGCCCCTGATCATCATGCGGGAGTGTGGAAAAAGCAAAGTGGTCTTAGATGAAAGGGGTCTATAGCCCCTCCCACAACTTTAGGCCATGCCTTCCAATATGTGATACAAGGGGACAAACTAAAACCGCTATCAGAATTTATCTCATCCCAAGGCCAAATAGGGACACACTATTAACAATATAACCAACTGACACACTTTATCCAGTCTATGCAACTACTACCTTCAGTGACAAGACGGCTTATGAGATTTGAAAAACTTTGCTCATCACACTCACTTAAAACTAAATTACTCTCAACAATGTGCAAAATACTAACGATACCAGGGACACAAAACCTCCCCTCATTTACGGAAAAGTGGGCAGAAGAACTACAGTTGAAGATCTCGCCACTACAGTAGCGACAAATCTTTAAAAGAGCACTGTAGCGGAGCTGCAATATTAAATCCCAATATCTCCGCTGGTACAGAAAGTAATCCAAAGAAAGCGCTGAAAATGAAGGCAATATCCCAAATCTCCCAGTAACCGGACGAAACACAGTTCTGGGAGTCAACTGACGATTTTATTCACAAGCTCCAGTATTTATGTGGTTCCCCATGCAAGGGGTTTCCTTACTAACTTTACAGGGGTTGTACAGTAGGAGACTACATGGGGGAATTAACATATAGAACATTTCTCCCACCATGCACTGCTGTACGAGAGGGATACTCCCACTAGAATATCCTGTTAAGTTGATTATCCCTTCGTACAGCAGAACTGGCTTTTTACATAAAAATACATAACTTCTATTTTATTCATGCCACTGTACCGAATGACCGTTCGGCAGATAGCTGGGGTCTGAGCGCATACTTCGTGAAAGTACCGCTCAGATCCCAGCCCAATCAGCCGAATACAGCACGAAATATACTTTAACATACATTCCTCATAGAAGTCACGAATACATAGGTGGAGAAAAAGTACTGAAAGACCGGCGCTCCCGAACGGCCTGGAAGTCCAGTGGTGTTCGTGCCGTCGAGTAGCCGATTTTAGTTCCAGGCACTCGACGACCAAACACCGCTGGGCAAAAAGGGAATCCAAGATGGCCGCCGCCTCGTGGTCGGTAGCCGAATGACGGCCACCTGGGGAATTAACAGCCGATAGATACATTGTTGCGATCGGTTAATGGGAGCCACATGACCCCCTGTGTGTGGGCTCCCATTCGGTACTTTGTTTGTTTCACGAACAGTGTTGCAAATCACTGTTGGTGAAACTACCATATGAATGCTAGCGGCTTTCGTGCCACTAGCATACGAATTCCCTCTTTCACATTTTAAACAACCACATCAAACCCTATATAAACCAGTCTTTCTGGGGCAACCCTTAAAGTGAAACAAAATAGTCTGAAGTGGCTAGGTTTGCCACAAGCGCACAAAGCCTCCATATGGAATGCCACACAAGAAGCCAACTATAAATGACTCTCTCACTGGCACTATACGCCGGCTAAGTTACACAAACTCTTCCCCAACTCACAACACACATGATGGAGATGTCACCAACCTGACGCACATCCCTCCAACATCTGGTGGGAATGCCCACAAATACGCACATTCTGGCGTAGAATAATCTCTATGACTAAAATGATCACAGGTGTTACGGTCCCACTATCCCCAGAGTATGTGCTCTTCCTGCTACCTATACCAGACGTAAACAAACACACAACATCTCTACTGGCCCATCTCCTTACGGCCGCAAACCAACTGATCCCTAAATATTGGAAGCAGGCAAACCCCCCTACCCTAAGGGAATGGATTAACAGGGTGGAACAGATAAAGCAAATGGAAGACCTTACACATGTCATTTCAAAAAACTACCAGATATTTCAAGCCACATGGGGACAATGGAATAAATTCATGGAAAAGACGGATGGGGAGGTAGCATAGGCTGAACACACTCCTAGTAGGCCGCAGACAGGGAACGGGAATACACCCACGCACCAAATGAGAAAGAAATATCAAATAAAGGTACGACTTAAAATGTATAAGTTTGAGACTTTAAGAAAACGACAATCACTATCCAGAGACTAAAACAGCACCAGCGATTTCCCTGTATATGTATAATGAAAATGTGTAAAGATGTAATGTACGGAAGACAGAATGCCAAAGATCAACAGCATATTTTTGAATGTTATGATTATTAATGCATTATATGACTGCACTTTTGGACGCGTTGTTAACAGAATGTGTATATTTACTTTATGCAAAACCAAATTAAAAAAAATATACAAAAAAATTAAAATAAACAATTAAAAAATTGTAGGTGAAATGTGATGACAGCTGTCCTCTAAATAGGTCTAGAAAGTCAGTGATTGGCCTGCTTAATTTCTGTGATGCAGAGTGGGTCGGAAATGATGCATTGAGCATAAGCGTAATATAAGGTCTCAGGTTTGCAGCAGCCAGCATACAAAATGATGCCAGAATGACGCAGGTCGCTCTAATGCATGAAATAATGACACACCGACAGAAGAGTCCAAGCAGATACACTAACAAATTCAGATAGAAATAACACAGAAAGAAAATGGAGACATGATCAAATATTTGTTAATAAACAGAAGTAATCAAGCAAGAGAGCAATTGAGATAATATGCTTACCATTTCAATACAAAAATGCTGGAGAGACAATTCAAACAAAGATTATTAAAAATTGGAGAGTACACTAAGAGCCAATACCCATAATCCCCTCTAATCAACTATCGATCTCATTCAAGAGGAACAGAAATTTGAGAGATGTCTTTTTAAAAATAGATCCTGAAAATATTAAAGTTTGTGACAGACAATTCATGTATTACATGTACAAGCTGTGTTATATACAGTCATATGATAATACGCTGTTAACACGTCCTCAGATAGCATAACACGTCCAGGTTCAACAATATTTACCCTGCCAAACTAATCACACAATATATCTCATCACTGGCATTGTAGATCATTACACATCCGAAAAAAAATGGCTTGACATTACATGACCGAATAAGAGGACATCGATCAGCAATCACCATGGCATATAAGGATGGAAAAAAACAAAACCAAAAATATGGGCTCTAAACATTTTATATCACAGAGAGATTCCCCACACTTTATTTCACAAGCATAGACCATGTTCTGACACTCAGAAAAGGAGGGACAGACCAAAAAGCCTACTTTACACAAAGATGTTTTGCATACAAAAGCTCAATATTCTAGCTGCCAATACTTTCAACAATATATTATTTCATTCTCATCACACTTTATCATTATGCTATTGTTACTACATGCTGGTTTATTCCAGTCACTCATAGCACTATACCATTTACTAATTTCTCTTTGTTTACTTTTTTATTCTATTTTTTCCTCTTTCTCTTTTTACAACAGATGACAATTAAAACTATTTATTGGGGCCACCATTTAATATATTTGGATAAGCTTTTCAAATTATTTAATATTTTTGGATGAATTTTTATAATGATTTCTCAGACTATTAAATAAATATACATACCAATATACCAATATGTCGAAAGATATTAAAATAGTCAAAAAATATGTTCCAAAATATGAAACTATTTTAAAAGTTTATCCAAAAATATTAAATTAAGGTCAAGTTTCTTAAAGACCCAAGGTCTTATAAAATGTTGCTGTAATACCTCATTAATTTACTTATCTTTTTTATCAAATACTGTATATACTGTAAAATACTGTAAATCTTAGCACATGGCAGGAAACTTAACATGTCCCAATCTTACACAAGCTCTATGTACATACACATCATTTCACAAGAAGCCAATTCATATCAGTTCCAAGTTATTGAGATGAAACTCAGATGCAGAAGGGACACGGGATCTAAATGTGGCTATACATAATATGTTTACAATTAACAGAACACACTACACATATATTCCCATCACTAATTAGAAGCATATCTAGATAAAGATTTGAGTAACACGTTCACACTGTTAATCGTTATTGAATGCCCCTCATTTTCAGCATTGTATACAAGACATTGGATAAAACATCTGGGTACTACACTTCCTATGAAAAAGTGCTGGGCTCTAATATATAATTACTTAACCCTTGCTTAGGCCAAATTCTTTATATAATTACTATTACATTTTTTTTATATTATTCCTATTTATGATTGGACTGTTTTCTTTGCTTACCTTGGCCTCAATTTAATTGGCTTTCAAACGATTAAATACTTTTGGAAAAATGTTACAAATGATTTATTAACAGAAGTCACCATTAAAGTCTACCGGAATTTTAAAAGATAAATCAATTTAGAAGGTTTTCTCTAACAGTATTGAATCATGTGGAAAGCTTATTAAATTGAACCCCTGATGTCAAGGACTGCATTTTCTGAAACTGCAAACTGGTTTGTTCTCAAGATAAAATAAGCATGTTTTGTTTAATGCATCCTTGACCAAAGTCTTCACTAGGAAACCTGTTTCCTAACACAATCTTTTTTTTCTGAAAGAAAAACAATTTCACCTTCAACTGAGATAGGTATTTATTTGCAGTACAGTTACCATGTCAAATTAATTACTGAGCAAAAACATGTAAATTTATTTTTAGAAAGAATACCATATCAGATATCTTCTAAAGAGGTTGATACCAGAAAGTTCTCATCTCATTTGTTGCCACAATCTGGTGCAGGAGGAATGGTTAATATTTTAATAAGAGATGTTGAGATGTCAAGAGAAAGTAGATATCAAGTGCTTTTAAGCCCATTTTATGAATTAACAAAAGTCATTTAGATCTCATTTGGTTAACTCAAAGTAGATGTTCAAACATCAGGGTCACAAGTTTAATGTCCAATAAGGTAATTGTAGGCATTCATATTTCATAATTTGTTATAACAAGCAGAATAGGGTTGGATTGGTTAAAACAACATCTATCCACCAGGATAAACATGAAAACAAGAGAAAATCAGAGTTGATCTTTTCTGATACAATGCTTTTATTTTTAGTATTACTTTTTCCCATCATCCATCACTATTTAATATTTTCTAGTTATATAAATGTATTACAAATAAACAGATATAATCCTATTTATAAAGGGTAGCCAATATTCCTTCATCTCCAATGTTGTCTAATTCTGGACAATAAGCCAAACAGAGGTTTCAGGATGTACTCATGCTCATGTAAATCAAGCAAAAATAGTGACTAGCAAAATTAGATAAAATTGCTAAACTAGTAATGGCTTGAGAAAGATAATGGCAGTCAGGCAGACTAGGTCGCAAACATAAAAATGTGCAGACAATTAAATGATGTCAAAGTGAGAGCCACTATAGGCTCTAACCAGCTGGAATTTAATTAGTGAATTGGTGACACCGGAAATAGAGCAGATATGACACAGCACCTCATAAACAGAGGGATAATGTAGCAAAAGCATACTTAACAGAGGTTCCCCCATATCAAACTAGCAATGGAAGTGGCAAACCAAGAACTGAGTACAAGGCTCATCAATGAGCATTAAGGATTGCTCTGCAACACTGTGTACCAACTAAATACGTGATGGGACATCTGGAAAATCGAGAACTGTTGATGTACGGTACAATACTGATCATGAACTAATATAGGTCCAAGATGAGAGACATTAGAAGTGAAATTGTTGTGAAGAAGGGATTTGAAAAGGGAGACAAATTACAGGATAGTCTGGGTACCGAGCAAGCAAGATGCATGCTGTAGGAGCTCCTCAGCTTGGTCTGGATTTTAGGTTTCATACAACTAAAATTCATACGCTCATATAATTGAATAACCATATAAGCAATAAGTTATCTCAATAGGCTACAGGTTCCTATTAGTTATTCATGGTGTCACGATTCCGGAACCTAACACGCTAACAGGTCACAGAGAGGAAGGGTGCTATACCGGTCCTTAGAGTGGCTGGGCTAAGCACACTAAGAATGGTCAGGAGACAAGCCAAGTAAAGGGAGCCAGAAAACGGGAGAACGAGAAACAAGCCGAGGTCAAAGGAGTGGAGAAGACAGGATAATCGGAATAACGAGCCAAGTAATCGGTAACCAGAGAGCAAGACAAGAACACTACGCTACAGGTAACACAAGACCACAACAGGGCACTGAGGGACAGGAAAGGTAAGTATAAATACCCTTGGTTTAACTCTGATTGGATAACTTCCAATCAGAATTAACAATCACACGTGGGGGATATCTATACCTCCCACTGTGATTGTGGTACTGTTCCTTTAACGCCGGGTCACTCACGTGACCCCGGCGTTTACATGATTCATTGACCTCCCAGCGTGCAGCGTTATACATGCTGCCGCTGGGGGGCATGGAGGACACGGGCGGCGAGCGGCAGAGAGGAGACGCCGCTCGCCGACAGGTAAGCAGAGGGGAGACCGCGGGCGACGATGGACTGAGGGTGAGTGCTGCAAGTGGCGTGCAGCCTCCCCTCCTAGCCGCGGATCCCTGACACATGGTTGATGGTTTTGCTTTGGGTTAGCAACATATTATGGCCCATATTACTGTGATAGCCTCACACTACTGGCTAACCTGTCAGTCTTGAGGCACTTTCCTCCTGATTGAGCTCTGGACAGTTAGCCAATTCCCTGGCTGGGCAATATTCTGGTAGACTTGCAGTGTCAGGAATTTAATTTTAGACCAAAATGTCTGATTTGGAAAAAACCTCCAAGTCAGCTATATTTGCAGTTTGAAAATTCTATTTGAATTTACTCTGAATTTCCAACAAGTTCAATTTTGGTAAATAACCCTGTAAGTGTAGTTTCCAAATTATTAGTGAGAAGTGGGCCTTGAGACAGGAAAATGTGGGTATGAGAATACAATATATGGAACTTGCATGCAAACAAACAGATGCACTGACCAGCCACAACATTAAAACCACCTGCCTAATTTTGTGTAGGTCCCCCTTGTGCTGCCAAAACAACTCTGATACCTCCACAAGACCTCTGAAGATGTCCTGCAGTATTTAGCACCAAGACATTAGCAGCAGATTCTATACGTCCTGCAAGTTGCGAGGTAGGGCATCCATGGATCAGATTTGTTGTCCAGCACATCCCACAGATGCTCAATTGGATTCAGATGTGGGGAATTTGGAGGCCAGAGCAACACCTTGTACTCTTTATCATGTTCCTCAAACCATTCCTGAACAATGTTTGCAGTGTGGCAGGGTGCATTATCCTGCTGAAAGAGGTCATTAGCATCAGGGAAACCCATTGCCATGTTCATGGTGTGCAACAATCCCTAGGTTGGTGTATGTGTGTCAAAGTAACATCTACATGAATGCCAGAATCCAAGGTTTTCCAGCAGAACATTGCCCAGAGCATAACACTACCTTCACAGGTCAGCCTTCTTTCTACAGTGCAACCTACCATCTTTTCCCCAGGTAAATGACTCACAAGCACCCGGCAAACATCTTCCATTGCTCGATGGTCCAGTTCTGATGCTCACATCCCCATTGAAGGTACTTCTGGCAGTGGACAGGAGTTATCATGGGCCAGGGCCAATTCTAGGGTTACAGGTGCCTGGGTGCAGACATTTTTTTGGCGCCCCCCAGGTGGGCCTGATCATCTTACTAATCCCTCCCCTTTGCAAAAACTCCACCTCTCCATCTAGACACACACTCACTGACAGTCACACACTCTCACTGAGAGACACACACTCACTGATTTGACACACGGTGACAAACATACTCAGACATTAACACACGCTCTCAATGACAGATACACAATCTCACTTTGAAACACTCATTGACAGACACAAATGCTGACAGACACACACATACACACTTACTGACAGACACACACACTGACAGACACACACTCACTCTCACTCATTTAAAAACGCTCAGTGACAAACACAGACATACTGACAGACAAAGCAGGCCTTAGGCCCCCTGTGCAAAAAATCCTCACAGCACCTCTTCCTGGCCCTTTACCTTGACCTGCCTAAGAGTATTTCAACATCTAAGCCAAAACAATATATCTTGGACAAAGAGCCGATCTGAAAAGAAATTAATTGGATATTTTTTTTTATTTCAGCTGTTTTAGAATAGGTTAGTCCTTACCATGCCATAGATTAGAATAAACGTTTGTGTGTTACTTCATACCTCCTCAACCCCTTCTACGTTTTTACTGATTCTTCATTAATCTCTCTCCTAATCCCTTCTTTCCACCTTGTGTGTCTCATTTCCTTTTACAGTAATGTCTCTTAACCCACTGTTACTTCTTGTGTGTTTCTTAATCCCTTTTTAATCCCCTTTTTCTCCCCACATGAATACAGTCACATGCATAGATGCCTAGACATGCAATCACATATAAATACGGACATAACCATCACCGCAAACTGAACATATCAATATTGAATAAAAGGACTGCACTCCAGTCACAGAATTTCGTTTCTTTTGAATGAAATAAAAGAGAAAAAAAAAGTGGTTCTCCAAACTAAAGAGTTTGACCACATCTCCAGATATATGTGATACACAAATCAAGGAAGTCTAGCACTCAGCGTTCTAAATCACAACATACATAATCACACAATTACACACATACTGCCCCATGCATAGCTAGACAGTCACACACAATACAATACACACACATTCACACAGCCATATGGACGCTGTACCGGTCACATACACACACACACTCATACACACAGCCAGTCACATACTTATTCAATATAAGTAACAACAGTTCTTACAAACATTCATATTAAACACAGGGACACATACATTAAAAGACACACAAAGTCCCATACATAGACACACAACACACTCAGTCACATACTTAGACATAACATCACAAACACAGTCACATAAATACATAGGTAAACAATAGCGGGTACAGAGTCACACACAGACTGCTTATGTATAGCAAGTTGATTGGTAGGTTAATTGAATTGGTGTTCAGGTGTGGTTATGTCACATGGTAGGTAGGTAGGTAGGTAGTTACTTAGCAGAGTATTGCTGGTGGAACACCACTCAGCAGCTCCTTTGGCAGCCACATACTGGCAACCACAAATGCCCTCTGACATGATCCTGGTGGTACAGTGGTATGCTATGTCCATTCCCGGGCAGTCCGCTGGTGAATAGCAGGAAGCATACGTCCTGTTGGCTCAGCTCATAATACACACTCCTTCGCGGCTCCGGCTTTCATTGTTGTCAGAGCACAGGCTGAGAATCTCTGAGCCTGTGCTCTGACTCACTAACTGAGCGCCGGAACCACAAGGGAGAGGATATGATCTGACTGCATCTACTGCACACCAGTGGACCACCAGGGAATCATTTAAATTTAATATGCTGGTGTCCCCAATTTGAGAGCTGTGTTGGCCACCGGGCCTCTGTTGTCATGGCGCCATACGTGACCACACAGCTTGCATATCCCAAAGGCTGGCCCTGCTGACAGACGTACTGGCACTCACTCTCAATGGCACACACTCAGAAATTTTGTGCTGAATGTGGTGTGTGTTTAGAGGATGTGAAATGTGCGTAGTGGATGCAGAGTATGCGTGTAAAGTGGATGGAGAATGTGTGTGTAAAGTGGATGCGATGTGTTTGTGTGTGTGTGTGTGTGTGTGTGTGTGATGGATGCAGGGTGTATAGTGAATGTAGAGTGTGTGTTTGTGTAGTGGATGTAGTGTTTGTGTGTATTAGATGCAGTGTGTGTAGTGGATGTAGTGAGTGTGTATAGTGAATACAGAGTGTGTGTTTGTGTAGCGGATGCAGTGTGTGTATAGTTAATGCAGTGTGTATCTAGTGAATGCAGAGTGTGTGTGTAGTGGATGTATTGTGTGTATAGTGAATGCAGTGTGTGTGTGTGTGTGTGTGTGTGTAGTGGATGCAGAGTGTTTATAGTGAATGCAGAGTGTGTTTAGTGGATGTATTGTGTGTATAGTGAATGCAATGTGTGTGTAGTGGATGCAGAGTGTGTATAGTGAATGCAGTGTGTGTGTGTAGTGGATGCAGTGTGTGTATAGTGAATGCAGAGTGTGTGTGTAGTGGATGTATTGTGTCTACAGTGAATGCAGAGTGTGTGTGTGTGTGTGTGTGTGTGTGTAGTGGATGCAGTGTGTGTATAGTGAATGCAAAGTGTGTGTGTAGTGGATGTATTGTGTGTATAGTGAATGCAGAGTGTGTGTGTGTAGTGGATGTAATGTGTGTATAGTGAATGCAGAGTGTGTGTGTAGTGGATGTATTGTGTCTATAGTGAATGCAGAGTGTGTGTGTAGTGGATGCAGTGTGTGTATAGTAAATGCAGAGTGTGTGTGTAGTGGATGTATTTGGTGTATAGTGAATGCAGTGTGTGTGTGTGTGTAGTGGATGCAGTGTATGTATAGTGAATGCAGAGTGTGTGTTTGTGTAGTGCATCTAGTATTTGGGTGTATTAGATGCAGTGTGTGTAGTAAATGCAGTGTCTGTGTGTAGTGTGTAGTGTGCAGATTGTGAATGCAGAGTGTGTGTTTGTGTAGTGTGTGTAAATGTTGTGTGAAATAGGGGCGGCATTCTGTGGGAAAAACTGAGCTTTTTTTTCCCATTTATTATATGTTATGTTTTGCTTCTTTCACCAGAGAGGGGGGAGATGACATTCCCGGTGGCTTAGTGCAAGGAGCCGGGTGCTGTACACATCAGAGGTGGCCCAGTCAGTGCCATCTTTACTTCCCAGCTGATCCTCTCTTCTAACTCTCGCAAGTCTTGCCTACGTGCATGCGTAGCATTGCCATGGTAACCCGTGGCAACACTCTTACGTTCGCGGGGCTCCCGAGAGTAAGAGATAGAAGATCAGCTGGGAAGTAAAGACGGCACGGGCTGGGTCCCCTCTGCTGCGTACAGGTAGCCAGGGGTTATAACCACCTAAGGGAAACTATGACAGGGCAATGAGCTAAGGAATAAGTGAGTTTAAATAATCATCTTGCAGATCCGATTGGCTGTACCTAGCCCTTGACCCCAAAACGTGCGTGTGCGTCTTTTGTGTGACGTCACCCACACGTCGACATCGTCTTTACTGTGGACAGACGTGGGGCTATATAATTGCGTGGGTCCACAGTGGCTGGCGTGCACCGACATGCCGCACAAGCGAGGCATCATGGCTGAAGACCTCCAAATGGCACTCCCCTTGTTCTTCATAAGGTAATTATCTCAGTTTTTGCCACATGAATACACTACCCCCCACTTAAACACCGCCCACCGGGCGGGCAGGACCAGGTTTGAGAGAAAATTTGGCTTTGAAAGAACGGATTTTGCAGCTAGCATGTATATCCGAATCAGGAACCCAAAAACGATGTGCAGTCCCATAACCATTCCAATCAACCAAGTACTGCAAAGAACTACAAGAAAATCTGGAATAATTATGGAGGAGACTTCGTACTCCTCCTGTACAGCAATAACCAAAGGGGGAGGAGGGACAAAAGGGCCAGTATACCTATTGCAGATAAGAGGCTTAAGCAAAGATACATGAAATGAATTAGGGATATGCAAAGAGGCAGGAAGTGCAAGAGAATATGAAACAGGATTGATTCTCCAAACAATTCGAAAGGGACCAATAAACCTGGGTGCAAACTTTATGCTAGGAACCTTGAGTCTGATATTTCGCGAGGAGAGCCATACCCGATCACCCACCTGGTAACCAGGGTTGGCACCATGCCGCTTATCAGCATGAAATCTGGAACGAGCTGAAGCAGTTTCAAGAGCCGTGTGGACCTTAGTCCAAGTCTAACATATACATGCGAGAATACCGCAGGAAGAACAGTAGGATGACAAAAAATCGACCAGCTGAGTCATGGGTAGCATTATTCCTGGCAAATTCAGCCCAAGGTTTTTAAGTCAGACCAGTTTTCCTGAGTGCCATTAATAAAACATTGCAAATATAGATCCAATGACTGGTTGGCCCTCTCAGCCGCACCATTAGTTTGAGGATGGTACGAAGATGAAAATAACAATTCTATACCAAACTGTTTGTTAAATGCTCTCCAAAATCGTGACATAAATTGGGAACCTCTGTCTGACACAATATTTTGTGGAATACCATGTAATCTGACAATTTTGCGTATAAATATATGAACCAGATCTTGGGAAGAAGGTAACTTTTTGAGCGGAACAAAGTGTGCCATTTTTGAAAAACGATCAACCACCATAAGGATGGTGGTATAGCCTTTAGAAATTCCATAGACAAATGAGACCATGGAACACTGGGGATAGGAAGTGGTTGTAATAACTCACATGGTGGTTTATAGGGAACTTCATAGCCTCCATACTCTCTGTTGTCTTTTCTAAGAGAAGGCCACCAAAATGATCTGGAGACAGCACATACAGTTTTATTAATACTCGGATGTCCAGCTGTCACATTATCGTGGAACACTCTTAGTACCTCCTCTCTTTCTAGCAATGGAATAAACAATCTATCTTAAGGTTTATAACTAGGTGCCTGAGACTGAGCCGCCACGATAGCACAAAGAAGAGGAGAAAGGACAAATGAAAGGACAGTAGAGGCAATGATATACTCAGGTGGAACGATAGGGACTGGTTCTTGTTCTTATTCTGACTCTATGTTAAATTGCCTAGATGGGGCGTAAGCCTTAACGTTCTTAGGACCTGGTCTGTACGTGATGATAAAGTTAAAGCGTGACCGCTGGGGCCGCATTGAAGGGACCAATGGTCCTGGCCATTGGAGATTTATATAATGACATGATCGCCATTTGTAGCCACCCTGACAGGCTAAAAGCTTCCAACACTTATTCCATGAAGCCCCAACTGACCCTGTCAAAAAGCCTTTTCAGCGTCAAACGACAGAATCAGCAGGGGTCTCTTTTTTTGGCCTGCCAAGATGACATATTTAGCATTTGATCCTACTTTTTCTCTCACTCAAGTTATAAAAGAACTAGAAGTATACAGTAAGCTTTCCAACTGTAAGTTAAAAAGGGTCTAAATCAATTGCATTATATAAAAATGTTGCAATAATAATGTTTTTACATATCTGGGAATTAAGATATGTGGAGATCTAGATAATGGAATGGAATAATGGAAAACAATTTTTTACATCTCCTAAGAGAAACTAATAAAGATCTCAAAGAATGGAGGCGTATAGACGTTTCATGGTTGGGACGGGTAAACATCTCAAAAAGTCTTATGTACTCCCTAAATGGATTTACTTGCTCAGAATGCTACATTTAATGATTTCCACACCCTGGATTGCTATGATCAAAAGCTCCTTCTTGAATTTTATCTGGAGGGGGAAAAAAACCTATGATCAAAAGCTCATTACTTTCCAATAATATAAGGAAGGGTGGGCTAGCTTTTCCTGATATAGAGATGTATTATCAAGCTGAAATAGTCTTTCATACAGCCTTATTATATAAGGAACAGGTTAAGACAGAAGCCTGGTACAAATTAGAGACAGAGATCAGTAATATTAAGGATCTCTCTAACCTACACTGGTATTCCAAAGAAGATAATTCTTATTTATTTTTTATATTAATACAGCTTGTTAAAAAAGGGTCAAATGAAAAAAGAAATTAAAACGTAATGACAAATTATTCGACTTTAAAAAAAAATCAATATTATTGAAAAGGAAATCAAAAACATATCTTTAACTAATTGGAAGAACAATAATATCATTAATATCAAACATTTGCTGTCTGACAATAAATAAAAACATTTTGATACTCCTTCTAGGGTGTACCAGCTTTCAAGTAGAGAGATCTTTAATTATTTAAGAGTTAAGAACTTTTTATCTAATAAGATTATACTTGCAAATGGGGACGTTTATAACAAGAAGAAATTAGTTTTTATAACCTATACTTCAAAACAACTGTTCTCTAAGTGTGTAAAATTAATCAAAGTTGGAAAAGTCAAAAGCCCAATCGCAATAATTCAAAGATGGGAAAAATACCTAAATATTCAAATTGATGAGGAGGCCTGGTTTTCTTATCTTTATAAAGTGAATAAATGTGTACATGGTCTTTTGTTAGTAGAAACCCATTTCAAAATTATCAATAAATGGTATATGGTTCCATCTAGACTGTCAAAGATTTACCCTAGATATGATCAATCCCGTTGGAGATGTGGGATTGAGAGTGGCAATTATTTACATATCTAGTGGTCTTGTGGGAAGGTTATTCCTGGATTTCAATACAGAAGGTAATTCTTCAACTAATTAGTTTAAAGCTTGCCCGCAAACCAGACGTTATATTGCTGCATCTTAACTGGCCTGCAATGACCAAAAAACAACAGATAGTAGCTACTCATACCTGATAGCATTAAAGATTTTGATTGCAAGGAACTGGAAAAATGATCAACCTTTTGTCCTACCCCACTTAAGATCAAGTATCAAATTCAAATGGAAAAAGGGATGAGCCACATTAAGGGAATACATAGGGATACAGACCAGTGGGATAAAAGGTTACGCATTATAAAGGTTATCGAAAAAGAACAATATCACTCAGACCTCAAATGGGCCAATTAAGATGCTCCCTAAGGGGGCAGGGGTAACTTCCGTGGACCGATCCGTGCTGCGTGGTGGTGTGTTCAACATTTATTATATGTCTGTTTTTATATTGTCACAGACAGTGGCATAGCTAGAGATTTTGCCACCCGGGGCGGACTCTGATTTTACCGTCCCCCTCTCAATACACGAAAATATTACAAAACGTCTAAGTGTATTCTGATATCAATATATGTATTAATGTCAAAATACATTAACAATGAAATGATATGTATTATATATGTATAATATATTAATAATCGTCCGGCCAGGTAAGTTTCTCTGGCCTGCGGGACTAACGGTCGTTAGGGTGAACCATGCCGCACTAACAGTGTTTAAGCCCATAGTGTGCAGGGTGGCATAGTATGCCTGAACGGCGTTAAGTCTTACACAAACGCATTAGCTTATATACATTTATTGATTTTTTTTATAAATGATATATAAATTAAACAAGTACCAGTGGCCAGGTGTTGCTGTCCAGTGAAACTGGCCAGCCTTCTCTCTTCACAACCCTTGGCCGCTGGGATATGAGGTCATCTATCCCAGCAGTCCTTAACACAAAGTGATTGCCTGCTCCTCGCAGCTCAAATCCCCTTTGAGGCTTTCACTTCAACTCATTTGGCCAGCGCATCAGGCCCTGGGGAGAAAGCGCAGCTAAACAGACAAGGGCACATGTAGGATTGTGGGGATAGATGCGTGGGAGTGGTTTGGGAAGAGTGTGTAGGTGGGGTTAGGTTCTATGTAAGTTAGCGTGGGGGAGGTCTTACCTCAGTGCCACTTGGGATTCGGGCCAGCAAACAGCTTCCCGCCCGCCCTCCCCTTTAGTATAGTTAGTCACAGCAACCCGGGGTATGTCCTTGCCAATTAAGTTTGAGGGGTTATGTTTAAGAATGGAGTGAGTTCAATACGTTTGCAGGTCTCAACCTCCCCTGCTTCAAAGAGTTAACATTAGGTTCCCTGAGGTGTCGTGCCCATCAAGCGTGGATAAGGTCGGCTGATGGCGGGAATTGGAAAGATATGATTTATGATGAGGGGGAGGTGAGAGGAAGTGGTAATTAGGAACAATGTATGTTTATTGGCAAGGATGGTTGGGTCACTGTATAACACTATGTGTTGAGTTGTATATGTATATATGTTAATTTATGCTTATTTATGTCTAACGTTTTTGCTTACGGAAAAGAAGAGATTTCATAAATAAAGTTATGAATGTGTTATGCAGTAATTTATTTTATGTAATAATAAATGCTGTGGCCTGTTTCATCCATACTAAGTTGTCTGTCGTTATTGGGGGGTTGAATGGGGTTAGTTTATGTATTATGCTGCATCGATATTCCCCACTACGTACATACATGGAGGTGTAAGAGAGAGTGACCGGTGGGAAAGTGGTTTAATGTGCTCCTGCGGGTCACACAGGCATCATTGTTCCATTAGGATGTTAGCGCCAGCCCTGTGTCTGACGCACCCCCAAAAGGTGCTGCCCGGGGCCGTCCACCCCGATGACCCATCCTCGCTACGCCACTGGTCACAGATATGTATGTTTTATTTAATATTTATACAGATATTGCTACCCCTTTTGAATAGAGGTTATAAAGGTAATGTATGAATGATTATTTATTCAAAAAGGACTTTTTTTTACAAAAATTAATCAAAGATTAAAAAGAAAAAGAAGAAGGTAAAAAAGAAAATCATAGAAAAGAAAATCATAATTACCTGCTTTTGCCTACCTGCAAAACTAGACAACTGTTTCATTCAAATCAACAGCTTCTAAATGAGACAGCTGTTTCTAAGTGATGTATGTCCCTTGGTTAAAGGACCACTCCACGCCTATAAAGTACTTCAGCTTGCTGAAGTGCTTCATAGGGGATAAGTATCCCATAATAATGACCGTTTATCAGGGCCAGACTGGCCCACCGGGATACCGGGAAATTTCCCGGTGGGCCGCGGCACCTGGGGGGCTGGAGAGCTCCCTAATATTTTAATAATATCTTGGCCGCTGGCCGCATGTCGGTGCCGCCGGGGGCCGGTCCGACGGCACACTCTGAGGTGATTACTCACCTTGCGGCCGGCGGCCCCATCTCCTGTGCTGACAGCTATGCTGCTGACAGTATCAGTGAGTCTGCCGGTGGCCGCCTAAGCGATCCGGCGGCACACTCACTGATACTGACAGCAGCATAGCTGTCAGCACAGGAGGACTGAGGGAGGGGGCAGAGCTAGCTACCATGCTCCCTCGTGGTTCCCATAATTCCCAGCATCTACACATCATAGAGTAGTGATTACTCTATGATGTGTAGATGCTGGGAATTATGGGAACTGCGAGGGAGCATGGTAGTTAGCTCCGCCCCCTCCCTCAGTCCTCCTGTAACAGCAGGCACACAGAAAAATAGGGGAAGGGGAAGGGGGACAAAAAGAGGGGAAGGGGGGACAAATAGAGAGGTAATAGAAACACAGGGCAAGGGGGCACACATAGACAGATGGGGTAATAGAGAGACAGGGGATGGGGGGACAAAGAGAGGGGTAATAGAGAGACAGGGGATGGGGACAAAGAGACAGAGGGGTAAGAGAGAGACACAGGGAGGAGATGGGAAAGAGAGATACAGGGAGGAGATGGGGAAGAGAGACACAGGGAGGAGATGGGAAAGAGAGACACAGGGAGGAGATGGGAAAGAGAGACACAGGAAGGAGATGGGGAAGAGAGACACAGATGGTTTGTTGGGGGGACAAAGAGACATACAGTAGGGAAGGGGAACAAAGTGACACAAGATTTGTGGGAGGCAACACTGGGCTGGGGAAAAAGAGACAGAGTGTGGCTGGGAGAAGAGAAAGAGGCACACAGAGTCTGGAGTTAGAAAGAGACACAGATAAGATTTGGAAGGGGAGAAAGAGACAAAGTGGCTGGGGCTAAGAACAACACAAAAGGGGCTAGGGGAAAGAGAAATACAGAGGGGGTGGGATGAAGTAAAAGATGCACAAGGGTCGCTGTAAGAGAAAAAAAGGAGACAATTGGAGACAAGATACACTAAATGAGGTAAAGGTAATAGACGTAAATTGATGTGATCCTGACAATAATACACACTATATATATATATATATATATATACATGCATATTGATGTGTGTGTTAGTAACATATAATTTTGCCTATAACATTTACACATATAGTAATATACATTTATATATGCATAATACACACATAAATGTTATTTTAATATATTTATATATATATATATATATATATATATATATATATTCTTCCAAAAAGGATGCAGCACTCTCGGATTTAAAAGTCCATAAATGTCATTTTAATATATATATATATATATATATATATATATATATATATATATATATATATATATTTATATATATATATATTCTTTCAAAAAGGATGCAGCACTCTCGGATTTAAAAGTGCATAGAGGACTTTCATCACGATCAAATATTATTATTTGATCCTGATGAAAGTCCTCTATGCAGGACTGAAACGTTGATCTTTTTAACTTCATAATAATATATTTTGGACTTTTAAATCAGAGAGTGCAGCATCCTTTTTGGAAGAATGGATACTACTAGCCTTGGCATGCTAGCACCCGGTTATTAAGGGATTACAGCGTGAGTGCAAGAGCATTTTTCATTTTTTCTTTTATATATATATATATATATATATATATATATATGTGTGTGTGTGTTATGAGCATGTATTGGCCCAGTCTTGTTGCTAGTTGCATACTCATGCACAATAACATATTCAAAGTGAAGAGCGCACTCATAGAACTTCAAAATAAACAAGATCACTTCATTTTTTTTTTAGTTGTGCAACTGCATACATTCACCATTTCAATACCATTACTAAAATGTCCTTAATAGGCCAAAGTAGTTGTATTGAAACATTGATTACATGCAAATGTACATCTACTTAAAATAAAGGCGCTCTTTCGTTTATTTTGAAGCCCTATATGCGTTCTTTCATTGGAGTAAGAGTTTTCAATTTCAAGTTATTTTTTCACCCTCTATATCAGCACACTATGCTGGCGCGACGCATTATTGGGCTGGTATTGAATTTTTTTCCAGGGCTGCTTTTAGTTCCCAGTCCGGCCCTGCCGTTTATAAAAGTGCCGATTTCTATTAGAATCACCCCCCTGGCTATCAAACCCTAAGCTAGCTCTACGTGAGCGGGCCTGACTTCCCCCCTGAATACCTGGCATAGACCAACGTCCAGACCACAAATTGGAATGCTGCTCGTGCACCCGCACACAAGCAGGCATGCACATGCACAGAGGGAGCCCTTCCAAGGCTTATCAATGAGAAGCCTCGAATTGGATATTTTTCCATGAGGGCTTGCAAAGGCTGAATTTCATATGAATTGCAGATTTTGCAAATTGTTTTAAGATATACTCCCAATGAATAAATGCATGAAAATGCATGCATGTATTCATTGGGGGTGTATCTAGTAAACAGGGATTTCTGGGGTTTTTTCCAATATGGGCAGTGGAGTGCTCTTTTAAATACCCTTTATTTAAGCATTGGAAGGGCTCCCTCTGTGCACTGGACCCAAGGGAGAAGATCCATTCCCCACTGAACCCCAGGGAGAGGACCCACACCAGTTTTCCCAAATGTACAGAGGCTTGATGGGCTTCAAATAATAAAACAAAGCAAGAAATAAAATTAATTTGTATGTGTGTGTTGTGTATGATGGAATGTGTAAATGTGTGAGTGTGCCTGTCAGTGTGTTCCTGTCAGTATGTGTGTGTGTGTGTGTGTGTGTCTGTCTGTCAGTGAATATGTTTCTAATCAGTGAGAGTGTGTGTCTGTCATGATTAGACACACTGACAGTGGGTCTGTCAGTGTATATTTGTGAGTGTGTCTGTCTGTCAATATGTTTCAAATCAGTGAGGGTGTGTCTGCCATTGAGAGTGTATGTCAATGTGTCTGTCAGTGTGTGTGTCTGTCAGTGAGTGTGTTTCAAATCAGTGAGATTGTGTGTCTGTCAGTATGTTTGTGTTTTTTGTCAGTGAGTGTGTTTCAAATCCATGAGTTTGTCTGACATTGAGCATGTGTGCCTGTCAGTGTGTTCCTGTCAGTATATGTGTGTGTGTGTGTGTATGTGTCTGTCTGTCAGTGAATATGTTTCTAATCAGTGAGAGTGCATGTCTGTCATGATTAGACACACTGACAGTGTGTCTGTCAGTGTATGTGTGTGAGTGTGTCTGTCTGAGAATATATGTTTCAAATCAATGAATGTGTGTCTCTCTCAATGAGAGTGATTGTCAGCGGCTGTCTGTGAGTGTGTGACGGTCAGTGTGTGTTTTTGTGAGTGAGTGTGTCTGTCTTTGAGAGTGTGTGACTGGCAGAGATTGTGGGGCTTATAGATGGATCACTGGAGTTTTTGCTGTTGAAACATACATGTCCGCACTGTCTTTGTATGTATGTGAGTTTGTATGTATGTATGTGCATGAGTATGTATCTGTGAATATATGTGTGCGTCTGTATGTGTCTCTGTATGCGTTTGTATGTATGTGTGTATGTTTGTATGTATGTGTCTGTGTGTATGTGTGTCTGTCCAAATGTATGTGTGTCTGTATGTATGTGTGCCTGTATGTGTGTGTCTGTGTGTGTGTCTCTGTATATGTGTTTGTGTCTGTGTGTGTGTGTCTGCATGTGTGGGTGGGACTTATGGGAGGGGCGGGGTAGACATATTTTGGAGGGGGCAGGGTGTAGACGTATGGGGGAGGGGGGCCAGGGCAATTTTTGCACCGGGGCCCCGTGGTTTCTAGTTACGCCTCTGGTTAGAGCCGAAGGATCAGTTAGTGACAGAGAGCTTTAACACATGAAAAGATTAAACCATATAACATTAAGCAACTATAATATGTCTGTGACCTTGTTTCCTGTGACTTTTTCAGCAAATCTGAAACTCAATCACTACAAATCTGCATAATCGAGTTATTCTGTTTGTAAAATAGACAAAATACTTATTTTAAAGACACATTATCACACTGTGTCTATACACACTGAAGACATTCTATGGAAATACCATGTTTCCTTATGGTGCAGTAAGGCGTCAGTGTTCAAGTTTAATTAAAGAAAAAAATTTCATTTTCGTTTCATTTCAAAGTATAGCTATTTGTAACCATGGAAACTAAACTGATCATGTAATTATACACAAAGACAAACAAAACTAAAGATCACCACAAAAGCATCTGCAAAATAAAAAACATATTGTGCAATTTTTACTTTATTTTTTACCCTGTGAATGCTTAAGGAGTTAAAAAAATAATAATTCAGTTTTAACTAAATTTGGCATTTCAATCTACAAAAACATATTTCTACTGTATTTGATTTACATCTTTAACCCCTTAAGGACCAAACTTCTGGAATAAAAGGGAATCATGACATGTCACACATGTCACGTGTCCTTAAGGGGTTAAGATAAACATCAAGCAGGAGCTAACTTATACCAAAATATGCAGTGTAGTTTATAGGTATTGGACAGTGATGTAATTTATTGCTTTGATTTTTTATTCCATAATGTAAACTATGAATTGTAGCTAATTCCAAGAAAAGTCAAGCTATCTGAGATGCAAACATTCTCCAGTCACTGAGGGCTAATGACAAGATACAATATAAAAACATCAAAAACAGAAATGTCACATTACAGTTTGCTAGCAGGAACATATAAAGCACATAAAGTTTGGGATCGAAGTCTATGGCGGATGCGATTAAAGGCACACTGCAGCATACAGTAGTTTTTATGGTGCTTGTGGTGTTCCTTTCATTTGTACCAGAGTGTGGATACATTCTACAAATCTAAAATATTATTTTTTTCCCATGCATGCCCATGAACAATTCTTTAGTAGTCTGGACCATAACTTCACCTTTACCAGTTGATTATGTTAAGCATGTATTGTACTGAATGTAATGTAGTTCAGAAAGCCTCACTAACCCTCATTTATACTCTAAGAATGATCACCGGTTTGTAGATGTATTCATTTCTCTGCCATAGGCCACTAGTCACTCATTTAATACCTTCAGGTGTGCTGAAAATGTCAGCTCCCCAACCCCTTCCCGTTTATAAGCAGTAAAGGAAGTTTTAATGGGTCATATCATTCATATAGTCAGGGAGTGGGAAGGAGTGAAATGTCTCTACCATTTTACTGTTAGCATTCCAGAGAGTGATAAAAGTTGCCACAGCAGTTTTAAATACATTTATTTTAGAAATTCATGATTTGACTGTACTTACAATATGTGTACTCATACTCAAATGCAGGCATTCTTTTTACATTCTGCTGCAATTTTTAGTAAGCTGTACTGCTAACAATGCCTGCAGGGTTTTGCAAGCCAACAAATGACAAACTGATGCTCAGTTTACACTCCTGGACATCTGCTGCTATTTTCCAATAATGTTAGGGACAGGAGCAATGCAATCCTCACTCACCTATCACTCCTAGCATATCATGACTGGTAGAGGGCAGAATTAATTACAGCAGCTGCTGCTCAAAAGTGCATCTTCTCTCAATCTCAGGTAAACCGGGACATATTTGGTTAAGTGCTACAATAACCCTAGCTCTAATCCTATTTTATTTTTTAAATCAAGCAATTTTAAAGATACTCAGATTTGAAGTGCTTACTATGTCATTTCATGCATACCTCTCAACTTTGAGAGGTATAAATAGAGGTTGTGGCAAACCTAGCCACTTCAGATTATATGGCTGTGACTTTAAAGGTTATCCGGAACACTGCTGCACTACAATGTTTAAATGTATTCTGCTTACTGTGTGGAAATGTATGTTTGTATTGAATTCATATGCTAGCAGCCGAAAGCCGCTAGCATTCATGTGTTTCGTTTCACGAACAGCCACTTAACAGGCTGTTCGTGAACCGAATGAGCTACCCCCTAATAGCCCACACACAGAGGGATGTTGCAATCGGTAATTAGAGGCTTTCCTAGGTGGCCGCCGTTCGGCTACCGACCACGTGGCGGTCGGCCATCTTGGATCCTTTGTCTCCCCATCGGTGTTTGGTCGTCGAGCGTGTGGAACTAAAAACGGCTCCTCGACGGCGCGAACACCGCTGGACTTCCAGGCCGTTCGGGAGCTCCGGTCTTTCGCTATTAGGGTTCCCCATCAGTGTTCGGTACTTTGGGGCGAACTCAATGGCAAAGTGTGTTTCATGCGGCGTTCGGTTGTTTTAGCTGGGATCTGAGCAGTATTCTCACGAACTGTGCACTCAGACCCCAGCTATCTACCGAACATCCATTCGTTTAAATCTACCAAGTATTGTTAAAGTTATGGATTTAAATGTAAAATGCCGGTTCTGCTGCACGGAGGGATAATCCACTTAACAGTGTATTCCAGTGGGAGTATCCCTCTCGTTCAGCAGTGCCTGATGGGAGAAAAGGTCTGAATGTTAAGTCCCCCATGTAGTCCCCTACTGTGTTACCCATGCTATGTCAGTAGGGAAACCCCTTGCATGGGGACTTGCATAAATACTGGATGCTGTGAATAAAAACCTCAGTTGACTCCCACAACTGTGTTTCGTCCGGTTACTGGGGGATTTGGGATATTGCCTTACTTTCCAGCGCTTTACTTTGGATTACTTTCTTAACCAGCGGAGATCGTGGGATTTAATATGGCAGCTCCGCTACAGAGGTCAAGGGTAGAACAACAGGGAATTGGGACAGTAATGCCATTTGCCCAAAAAAGGTTCTTGTCAGTCTGGTATACATGCACTCAAGGATTACTGTCATCTGTGCTGGCAGTGCCACTAATGGTTGCCTATATGAAATGCCATGAGTTGAGCTGGCACACCTAAAGGTGTACCTCTATTGCATTTATTGGTTACTAGTCTTGGGCATCCCCGGAAGTGACATATTGGACATCAAATTCAGGTCAGTGGGATAAGAGCCTCATGTTGAAGGCTAACTCATGACTTTTTAGAAGTATTATTCCAATCTTGTAGACACATTTATAAACCACTCAACCTATTGTCTCGTGGTTTAATTTCCATATATACATTATTTAGTACCATCTTGATAGTGCCAGTGATTTACGAATTTGTGCAATACATGTGCAATCTGTCCCCTGTCATCATTTATACTCCACTGTCTCCAAACTCCAGGTAAATTATATATAAATAAATATTTTGCATGTACAGAACATTTAAATATTTTGCAGGAATTTTTAGGCTGATTCACAAATATGCTGAGCCTTTAGCTTTAATACATGTAGACCTAAAATTCTATATAGCTTCTTTAATACAGAAAGGATTGATTTGTGGATTTGCAAGTCATTGGTATAGTTCATCTGTAAAACAAACCACGGTTGGCCTCTTTTATGTTTTGTTATCCAGCTCTCATGATTTACACATGTTTCAGATGTCAGGTTCAACATGATCACTGACAAATCATTTCCATTTGTTCTAATTTGTCATCAAACCCTGTAATTACTCTGTAATTGGTATTCAGATATACAGATTTTCTCGGCGTGTGCATTTGTTGCATAGTTCGGTTAGTATAATAATCTGAAAATAGACAATTCTCTGCAAATTAGCACTGCCGTGCATGAAAACAACAGCAAGCGAAAGGTCTTTTAAGACAACCAGTAAATGACCTAGACAAAAATGCTAGAAAATATACCAAATAACCTTTTGTAGGCTAAATATGACAAATATTCTCAGCACACAAAGAAACTTTTTCACTTGGTATGCAGTAAATGAAAGTCCATCAGACCCTTTCAAGTTCATAGCACAGCATAAGGTAGCAATTATGCAGCCCCGATAGATGTACATAATTTAAATCTCAAATATAAAGACAAACTGGGAATGGGTGAAAAATGTATACAGGCTTAGTCACTAAATTGAGAATTCAAAGTAAATTTCAAATTTAAGGTCAAAATATCAGATAGGAAACATTCTCTAAGTCAACTATGCTTCCAGTTTGGTTACTATGGCCTTAAATTTTAAATTCACTTTGAAATTCTCACTTTAGTATATAGCCTTGACAGTGTAAAACACAAGAGCGATGGGTGTGCAAGGTGTGCTCAGGTACACATTAATGCAGGATCCAACTGTCTTCCCTGTCCCCTGTCTTGAGGTCCTTATCAACAACAAAACTGGTCTTTTTTCTTATAATGTGGAAGTCGAGCATTCATACACAAAGTTGCTCCATTCATTTGAATATGCTTTGGAAATCATTGTGAGTGCATAGAGAGGGATAGGAGGGCGTACATAGAATTCTTGTAATACTGTTGGCTGTTTGGCACACATTACCTTGCAGTTCACAGCAGCAAGCTTTGTTGTTTTTTTTTACATTCTTTATTGTGCATTGCATAGTAAAACACATAAGCTTGCATAGAAATTTATCAAGACTTTAGACGACAATAAAAAGGTGGAGATGTAACATGAAATGTTGAGGGTACTGCACTTTTTTTTGAAAGTATAAAGTAAATGAAAAGCCATCAGGAGCACGGTTCTATTAGATTAAACAAAAGGAGGATACAAAAGTCTGTAAAATAGAACTGTAGATTCAAGAGGTAAAAACCACTAGATAATTAAGATTAACTAGTACAGGTGATCTATCAGGCCACGCTAACAGAGATGTTGGACTACAGCATATAATGTATTAAGACAGCAGAATAGGTTAAGTGAAAATACACAATCTAACTCTAACAATCAAAGAATTAATTAAGTATTTGCTATATATATGAACAGGAGACAGCTCAACCAAAGCCCTCAGAGGGAGGGATGCTCTTATAGAAATTGAATCCACACCAGATGGTCTTGACGCCCCACTGTACCTCAGCCGCCACACACTGTGGTAAATGTCAAACTGTCCTCCCTGTGTATCACTGTGGTAAGTTCCTCTGGAGGTCTGAACATGTCTGGCTCCTAGTTCTGTGCCTAATACAGGCATCAATGCCTCCCCTGGAAGTCGTGCCAGATGGAGTGTTTTCCTGTTAAACTCACCATCCAGGTGAGTGGCAACATGGGAGCTAGGCCGTCGAGGCATAAGCACTAGTCGCTTCTTCCACCCGCGTCTCCTTCTCTTTAATGCCATTCGGGGGATGTCTGTGTGAGGCCTTGCTGTACTGATAAGTTGTTGGGACTGGCGATTCCTCGGCCTACCGATGGGAATTTGACGTAGAACGTGGTTGCACACAGTTCCCCAAAACCGCTCACATAGGCGGTCAAACTCTTGGAACACCAGGTCTATAAGAGAGTGGGTTGTAATAAGGCATTAGAAGCTGTAGGCCCTAGTGTGGTGGCCATCTTTAAAGGCAGACCTCGGACCCCTGAGTCACTTGTGACTTTGGTGCTTCGCCGAGGTAGCCGCCAGAACACACCAGTGGGGAGCGGGATAACCCCTGCCAGCCCAAAGGCGAGAAAGGGTTCGGGTAGAAGGCTTTTGGTACACCAGGGCAACAGGACTCTGAGACATCTACCACAGTCATTGTCTTAAAAGATCAGGTAAAAGCCGGTCAGACAATCGGCAGAGTATTCCTTCAAAGGTTAAGTAAGGTTTGTGCCAAGATTTCACTTGGTAAGTCAAGTCTGTGGATTAACAAAAGGCTTTTCTTTAGGAGCTCCAGCCACATGTGACCAGCTTGGTCGGCAGTCAGGTCCCAGCCCCCCACAGGAGCAGACTTTGGTGTTGAAGTACAGGAAGAGAAAGAAATACTCATCTTAAACTCTGTGCCTATACAAGTAACTGAATAGAAAAACCTCCTCAAAGAACCAAAGTCTGCTTCATGTTTTCAGGGATCACAATAAAATTGTGCATAATTTCCACACCTGCTGCAAAATGACAATTGAGTCTACAGGGGACACCAACACAATATGAAGGATGTCTTGATCCAAGTTGTAGAAGAGGTGTGGGAATCCTTCAGGCTATCGAGTACTATTTCATCCATTTCAGAAGCATGCTCAATACCCTCATCGATGTCCATCCTATTGTCACCACACAAGCTACTACCATGCTCAGTGCCAACAACAATGTGGAGAGGCAGGATCAATTCAGGTCAACAGAAGTGGCCATCCCAATTACCACCTTACAAAAATAAACAATTGGTCACAGCCATGACACTTAACTCTCTACTGAATTTCCATTTTTTTATTTTTTTTAAGCCGTTGATTAGATTTATTTAAGTTTACACATAACTTACACCATACCTCAGTCAACATACTCTTGTAGAATTGCCATATCTACCATGTAATATGTTACTTATGGTATTTTACAGGAGAAAACTGGAAAACTGTGACCAGACGTTTACTCAAAAAAGTATGTAGAATATAAAACAAATGCTAATTTAATATTTTTTAAATGTAGTTTGTTCTTACTTTTCCAAAAACCAAAACTGCTGCTCATTTTAAATTCAGTTCTTAAAGGTTCATTCACTGAAAAGAGAATTGTTAGGAATTCAAAGTGAATTACAGTGAATTTCAAAATGAAAGCACAAAATAGCAAAACTGGAAAAATTCTCCAAGTCATCTATCCTTCCCATTTGGTTACTTTGACCATAAAATTGGAATTTGTTTTTACGTCACCTTAACTTCCTAACAATTCTCACTTTAGTGAAAAGTCCTGATAATATTTACGGATGATCCACATCTAACATTTTTGTTCAGGTTCTTTTTTTTTCATGTTACCGCTGATATTTATTGTCAAAATGTGAATCGTGAATATGGAAGTAGGAGTCCCTTAAGGTTCAGTTCTTGGTCCCCTTTCTATCTCTATACTGCCTCTCTTGGCAAACTCATTAATTCATTCGGATTCAACTACCACCTGTATGCTGACAACACCCAGATATATCTTTCCTCCCCTGACCTCTTCCCTGCTGTCCTACAACGTGTCACCAATTGCCTCTCTTCTATCTCTGATTGGATGGGATTGGCTGTCCACCCACTTTCTGAAACTCAGTCTCTCTAAGACTGATGTCTAACAGCCATCACCAATATTCCCCCAAACTACAAAAGATATTAGATACACAATTAATATTCACAACATAGCAATACAAATCATGGCCATTTATTTAAAAGAATTCAACTGGCACTTTCACCTCCATTGCAAAATAAGTATTTAATAAAGATAAAATCTTTATGAAATACTCATACTGATTGTGTTGGAATTTCAATGAAATTCCAACCCAGTCAAAAGGTATACTTAGACAAAGTAGTTTATATAAGTATTGAAGTATATGTAAGTATATATAAGTAGTAAATATAAGTAGTATAATTCAAAAGCCTGACACTTCTAGACACTGGGCGAGGCTACTGCCATCTAGAAGTGTCAATCTTCCAGTGAAGGCTGCAGAGATATTAGCTGTGTCTATGGAACATCATGTGGTCTCGAAGGATCCTCCATAGACGTCCATGCTGTACGCTCACACACACGCAGAAGAAGATTGGCTGGACAAAGATGGTCGTGAGGGACAGGTTCAATTAAGTAAATCTAAGCTTTGACTGCCTCCCCATCTCCTGGAACACTAGCGGTAATGTCACCATCGGGATTCTTTTATAGTGAAAGTGATGCTTTAAGGCAAGCAGAGAAGCATATAACTAACCAAATAATAGACTCTTGCAAAATATTACATTTTATTTCTCCTAAATTAACTTTACTCTAATAGTCTTTTTATAGTCTGCTATCAGTAGAGAGATGTATTCTTAAACAAAATAACCCCAAGAGGTAAGATATGAATCTAAATATAGATCAAGGAGTTCAAGAAAGGAAAAAAAACTTTTAAAATTAATACAGATTGTTACTAGTATCTTCAATAATCATATATGCCCCTAATATATCTGTAGAATGTTTGTAACAACTACATCTCAACATCTTTAAAAATTCAGATTTTATCTAGATCATTAGAGATTTTTCTAAAAATAAGTAATTTAAAGATCATGAAAAAAAGACAATAAAAGTCAAATTATTGGTGGTGGCTTTGTCATGCCATTTGAATAACAGAGAACTGTTAAGTTAAACAATACAGTATACTGATGACTTAGCTACTACTAAGAAAAAAAGGCATTAACAAAAATGAAAAGTACTCAATATTCTGATAAAACTAAATAATTTAACGTTAAAGTCCCACTCTAAGCACCATAATCACATAAGCATTAAATGAGTGGTAGCAGAACAGCTTCACTTGATAATGATCTGACAAATAATAGTCTAAAGGCATACAAAGACTCCTTCTATTATGAAACATTATAATAAGGCAGCAGCCTAGGACCCATGAGTTAGACTCGGAACAATGAGTTTGCTTGGTCACATTATTAATCCAAAGGTGGATAATGAAGGTGGGGGGAGGCAAACTGGTACCTGCCTAAGGCCTGTGGGATCTTAAACCTTCTATGATAGTGGTTATGGTGCTTAAAGGGACACTTTAAAAACCAAAATAACTTTTTCTGAATTAAGCAGTTTTGGTATATAGATCATGCCCTTTCAGTTTCAATGCTCAATTCTTTGTGATTTACGAGTTAAATCATTTGTGTTTCTGTTTATCCAGTTCTAGCAACACCTCTCATAGCTGTGACTGACACAGCCCTAATTATATCAGATCTTACAGCACAGTGAGTTTATTGTAGAAGTTCTCATCTCCTGCTCTTTTAATTGGACTTTAATCATACACAGGTTGCAGGCTCTAGCAAACAGAGCAAGAGATAAATTCTGTTAAACCCACTTTGCAAAAAGGGAAGCTACTAATTAGACTTTTTTCAGGAAGTGTGTAGTGTGTCTCAGCCAGGGGAGATGTGACTAGAACTACATAAAGTGATTTAACTCCTAAATGACAAAGAATTGAGAGTCCAGGGGCATAATCTATACACCAAAGCCACTTCATTAAGCCCTTCAATATATCCCTGCAAATTATTTCTACCCAAGACACACAAAAATGATCAAGTTCCATTTTATTGCCTTAAGCATATTTTCTATTTTACGATTTCAGAGTAAAATTCAAATATAACTTATTTTATGAGGACAAAGGTCATTCATAAGAGCAATTTCTTCTGGTTGGAAATTGTGTCTCCTAAATTATTTAATTTGTGTGTTTTGTTACAGTTACATTCTGTTCTGTCTCAATTGGATTTTTATTAATGGATCCTTAATTTTCTAGGAGCTGCCTATTTATTTTTGCTTATCCTTATACATTAGATTAAGCTGAAGGAAAGCAACTAGCTCCGGCAAAAGCATGAAATACTACAAGGCTCCCTACAAATCAACCCTTTAAAGTATTAACTCAAACACATTGCTAGTTATTTGACATTATCAGGAACCACCATTTTTGCTCCTTCCTATCTATTCTTGTTTCAGTATAAAAAAAAAAAATTATTTGCTTTGTGCTACATGAAAAACAAATGTTTGCTCTACTTCAGAGCATTGGTTACATTTATTTTTCTGACTATGGATCATATTTTAACTCATAAGGATATCTAAAACCCATAAGCATATCTAAAACCGTGTTAGGTTTTCTAACTTTCTCTTAGTTGAGAAAACATATTCTTTAACTTCTGAAGTTCTGGTGCTCTGTCACTGAACCAGTTTGCTGGATTGCATCTTTTTGATGTTTTTATCATAAACTCCTCTGTTGTAACTAGAACTGTGCAAAAAATTTGTTTCTTCTCTAAAGGAATCGGTTCTTACAAATCAAAAACATTTTAACCTACACTGAATTAATCAGTTTATTCAGGTGTGCATTAGAAAGTTTTTGATTTATACATATATCACTTCTTTATGGACCAAAAAAAGTTGCACATGTCTAATAAGCAAATGTAATTCCTAAACAGCAGAGAATTTCTCAAGTCTAGTTCTAAATATTCTGCAATTCAGACCGACATGCTTGAATATGACTATAAATATTATATACTTGGTATAATGGACTTGGTATAATGCTCTCTGTAAGGATCGCCTGGCACCCCGACTGGGTACCTTCATTGACAGATGCTCCTAGTGCTTCCCGAGGGCTCCAAGCACTCCACTAGACACAATAACCACCACAGACCCCACGAACCGCCACAGCTTGATTGGGGTCTCGCCGTCGTCCACCCACTCTGGACCCAAGACCAGGATCCAGCTTCCAGTAGGTAGACCTCTCTTAATCCAAAAAGCAGGAACAAGCTCTTACAAGAGCTTAGTGATTGTACTCTGGGGAGTATAGTGATTATAGCAATCCCCAGAGTGTTCTCCAATCCCCTAAACATGAGCCAAGACTTCATGAAGGGTAGAACAAGTCTGTTTAATGAGCACAAAGGCATTTCTTTTATACAGTTTTCCCCACAAGGTTACCACCCACGTGGACCTTGTGGAGCACAGGACACAAAGTCACAACACGTAATCAACACAGTATTGTACAGTTAGACACTCCCAGCTAATGTACACAAACTCTCCCCTCTGCCTGTGATACAATTACCAAACACAATGGACTAACTCAATTACCACAGGCAGAAAATATCTAGTTTTACCCAAAGTCCAGAAACACCCCAGAACAACAACATATCCCCACAAATACATCTCTGGATATCCCTGATCTGGGTGAACAACATATCCAAAAATCACCCAGATCAGAGCAGGGGTTCAAAAGTTTTATGGAAGTCACATCTGACCGACCACAAGCATGGCTTTCATGCCCAAAACAGTTCCACAGATTTAGGCTGTGCGGCCGGTCTATCTTCAACTCTATCCTGGAGATAATTGGCTTAAGTGGCTGTGGTAACTTAATTATCTCCAGGTACAGGAAATATCTCTAAGTCAGAAACTGTTACAAAAACCACATAAAAATACATAACTCTTATAATACAATGTTTAACCTATATGTCCAATATATCCCCAGATAGCTTGGATCTGAGCGCTCAATATCTCCAATGTTAAAAGTGCACTATAGTACAAATAAGGGTGGGGTCAGAAAATAGCAAGGGCTAATGGGAGATTGAGGAGGGACAAAACAGCCAGTTTAATCTGGTCTGGCAGTGTCCCTGGGACAACGCCCTGCTGGAGAAACAATAGCACAGGAAAAAGGGGGAGGGGAAGAGGCACATTTTCCCATGGATTTAAAGGGGCAGAAAAAGTGTTTTAAAATCCAATATGCCCAAATAAAGCTTTTAAAAGACAATACATCCCAGGGGCCATAGTCACAGAGCAAGAGGCTGGCAAGCAGGCCTCTCCAAATCCCAGTGATGCAAGTGCTTTCGTCACACTCTCTCTTGCTCGATTCTGTCCCATAAATGTTCTACTCCTCCCCAATCTTAGCCCCAGTTTATATACTATACATAGTCGATACTCAGCATATTCAATTCTCCTAAGGATGGACTTAGTTATACAGAGTATCCAGACTATGTAGAGTACTTCCTGTTTTAGTTAACATCCTCTTATCCTTAGTGAATTTAAAAATTTGCCATAAGCCCTACCTGTTGACAAACATTTTCATTCAATCCTCCATATCTCAAGAACTGTATACTTTAACCATAAAATCTTCCAATCCAGTCCAGTTAGAATGACATTATATTCTTCAACCTAATTTTGTGATCTGACTTACAGTCATCAAAATCTTAGTACATATTTCTGAACTGAATATAGTTATTCAAGCTTAAGCCTTGCTTGTGTTTATGTTGTAATATCTCATCATACAAGGAGGACACATAATACACTAGTATTTTACGGATGTATCGCCTGCACATGAGTTCCTGCAAGGCAGACATCCATGTGTTGGAAGAGGCAACTTGGGTGACATAGACAATGGTGTAATTAGAATTAAATGAAGGTAGATGTTTTTGTCCTATATTAAGATATTGATTTTAATGTTTTGACGGATGTTGAATTGATTGGTGGACTACCAAGTTGTTGATGAGGATTATGTGTTCTCTGTAGAAGAATACTTGCAAAAGAACAGTTAGCAGCGTTAGAAAATCTGTCTTGGAACACCTGTTTAATGTTCTCTCACAATTAAATTTTAAAAGCAAAGAACAACTTTAGACATGATTTTAATTTGTATGAGTGCGTAGCAAAGACTTGGTGCTATTTTTACAGAGTGAGTTTATGCTGGATTGAGAATATTTGGCCAAATGATGAACAGATGACATACAATAATACACAGAAGGTGTTTAGGTATCTTATATATTATTCAGTTGTATGAAGTATACTTTCTATAAGAAGTAGTATGACATAGGATTTATGTTAATAAATGTAAGTTGTGCCTATGTCTAAACTCAACTGGATACTGGTTTGTTTTTCTTTTACCTTTAAACTGTACATAAACTCAAAACTATAATATATAAAGCTGTACCCAGGATGCAGCTTTATGTATTAAAAGAAAAAACTTTAATTTGCCATATGAGACCATCACACAGGAAGAAAAAGATCTAGATTTTCCTAAGGCACTATGATTTAAAAGGCTCTCCATAAGCAGATGGGGCGGATGGTGGAGGGGGAGGAAGGAGGCTTTTTTAAAGTCCTAGGTCTAATTTTGGCACCAATTCATTGTTATCCCAGAGTGACCTGTAATACTGAGAGAGACACAATGGTGAGGCTTGATTGCACTATACGTTCATTATTCAATAAAGTTTGGAGTATTGCAGTGGTAGCAGGATATTAATATAATGGAGTGAAGAGTTAATACAGCATGGTTTGGGATTAACAGAGCAGGTGTAGAGTTTAAGTTAATGTAAAACTTTGAATTCAATCAACAATTTGGTGTCTCAATGTGATCTATAGAACATTAGGGTTTAGTGTTGGTCTTAGACCATAGTACAAGGCTGGTTTTAGGAGGTGCTTAAGTCAATGTATGTGGGAGGGGCCATACAATTTACAACTGGGATTAGGCCCCTGGTATTTTAACAGCCTAGGAAAGCCACTGTTTACAACATTCAATACAAAAGTGCAGGACTTTTTATATCCTTTAAATACTGCTTTTAGTTCAGCAAATTTGATGGTGACACATTTTATAGATCTAGAACTAATTCCAAGTTTTGATAAGAATCTTGAGCTGTGCTGGTAACACACTCTAAGCGCTAAGCATTCTGTAGAGAACATTCCCCCTAATAATTAATAAAACAGAGACATTCAAACCAAACTACTACTCCATGTTCTATTAAACTAGAGAAAGTTTACAATACAAAATGTCTTCACAGAAGGCTGTTCTAAAATAAGGCAAATATCCTTCTTAAACAATGCCTAATTAGACAACTATAATCAGAGAGAGCTTCTGTTTCCTTTCATTCAAAGATAACCATTACTTTCACTGTCGATAACTATTGCTTTGTTAAACTACAAATTTTCTTTACACGTCTTTAAAATGCTACGCATCCTAATTACATTTACAAATAAAAATACACAACAAAAGATGTGTAGAGTTGAAATCGTAGCTTCCTAATATATTTATGAAAATATGTTTAAAGCAGGGCAAGAATCCACCTAATGCACTTCTATAAGGATGCCATTGGAAAAGAGATATTGTCGAAGGACCAAATCTATCTATCTATCTATCTATCTATATATATATATATATATATATATATATATATATATATATATCATATATACACAGTATCTCACAAAAGTGAGTACACCCCTCACAATTTTGTAAATATTTTATATCTTTTCATGTGACAACAGTGAAGAAATGACAATCTGCTACAATGTAAAGTAGAAAGTGTACAGCCTGTATAACAATGTAAAGTTGCTGTCCCCTCACAATAACTCAACACACAGCCATTAATGTCTAAACCGTTGGCAACAAAATTGACTACACCCCTAAGTGGAAATGTTCAAATTGGGCCCAAAGTGTCAATATTTTGTGTGTCCACCATTATTTTCAGCACAGTACTGCTTTAACCCTCATGGGCATGAGGTTCATCAGAGCTTTACAGGTTGCCACTGGAGTCCTCTTCCTCCATGACGACATCACGAAGCTGGGGGATGTTAGAGACCTTGCGCTCCCCACATTCCATTTGAGAATGTCCAACAGATGCTCAATAGGGTTTAGGTCTGGAGACATGCTTGGCCAGTCCATGTAATACTTGTGGAAAGGTTATTTGGAACTCAATCCTGACAGTCCATCACCATTACCTTCAGCTTCTTTAGCAAGGCAGTGGTCGTCTTGGAGGTGTGTGGGTCATTATAATGTTGGAATACTGCCCTGCGGCCCAGTCTCCGAAGGGAGGGGATCATGCTCTGCTTCAGTATGCCACAGTGCATGTGGGCATTCATGGTTCCATCAATGAACTGTAGCTCCCCAGTACCGGCAGCACTCATGCAGGCCCAGACCATAAAACACCCACAACCATGCTTAAATGTAGGTAAGACACACTTGTCTTTGTACTCCTCACCTGGTTGCTGCCTTACATGCTTGACACAATCTGAACCAAATAAGTTTATCTTGGTCTCATTGGACCACAGGACATGGTTCCAGTAACCCATGTCCTTATTCTGCTTGTCTTCAGCAAACTGTTTGCGGGCTTTCTTCTGCATCATCTTTAGAAGAGGTTTCCTTCTTGGACGACAGCCATGCAGACCAATTTGATGCAATGGTCTGAGCACTGACAGGCCCTACCCCTTCAAGCTCTGCAACAATGCTGGCAGCTATTTCCCAAAGACAACCTCTGGATGTGATGTTAAGCACAAGCACTCAACTTCTTTGGTCGACCATGGCGAGGCCTGTTCTGAGTGGAACCTGTCCTGTGAAAACCGCAGTATGGTCTTGCTCACCACCATGCTGCAGTTCAGTGTCAGGGTCTTGGCATTCTTCTTATAAACTAGGCCATATTTATGTAGAGCAACAATTCTATATTTCAGATCCTGAGAGAGTTCTTTGCCATGAGGTGCTATGTTGTGACCAGTATGAGAGAGTGTGAGAGCGATGACACCAAATTTAATACACCTGCTCTGCATTCACACCTGAGACTTTGTAACACTAATGAGTCACATGACACCAGGGAAGGAAAATGGCTAATCGGGCCCAATTTGGACATTTCCACTTAGGGTAGTAACTCACTTTTGTTGCCAACGGTTTAGACGTTAATGGCTGTGTGTTGAGTTATTTTGAGGGCAAAGCAAATTGACACTGTTATACAGGCTGTACACTTACTACTTTACATTGTAGCAGAGTGTCATTTCTTCAGCGTTGTCACTTGAAAAGATATACTATAATATTTATAAAAATGTGAGGGGTGTACTCACTTTTGTGAGATACTATATATATATATATATATATATATATATATATTATTTTTATTTTATTTATTTTTTTGCTAGCTGTATATTACATATTATATGAGCTGTATGTATGTCTGTAATTTTAATGGATAGATCATGTTGTCAAACCCCATTATTAATGGGGATGACACTATCCCTGTTAATTACAGGGTTTAGAAACATCTCAGCATGTCTTACAAGGACTTGCTGTGTGGCTGGCCTAACAAGGGGGTAGAAAGCTTCCCCTCCTGCCTCTATCTAAATGTCCTCGCTGGCACTGCAGGTTAATGCCAGCTGCTCCCAAGAAAAGGAGAGTGTGTCTGTTCAGAGTGCCAGGCAGCTTCAGATAGTGAGTGATCTATAGTTGGAACAGGGTATTGAAATTATCAAAAAGGTTCATGTTTCTTCAGAAAACCTAAAACAATTTTTCCTTATTAACACATTTATTTTTTACCGTAGCCTCAAATTTGGTAAAATAGACGTCATAGCTCAAGTCTTCTCTCTTTAACTGAGCTAATAAGCTTGATTAAAATTATAATTTACATGCAAACTATGTTTACCTTTGAACTAGAGTTATTTTTGGAAACAGCGTAAGAAATTGCTATTTAGAATTTCCTAACTCAATTTTAGCTATCAGTTGTTCTGGTGTTGCAGTTCTTGGTCATTTACACGTTTTTCATGTACGCCGTCCACCAAAGGACATATTGCATATAATAATTATATATGCAAATAAACAGGTCCAAACCCAAGAAACAATGGTAATATCCTGTCTCTCTATAGAGAGGGTAAATAGATATTATAACCCCACCATACCTGTACTACTAATTCTAAAATTTAGAGCAGTGACATGTAGAAGTCCCTGTTGTATAAAGGTACTGGGCTGGCCCAAAACTACTTTCATACTACATGCTATCTAGGGGAATGTCTCCTTTCTAGCATGTAAACAGCCATACAATACATATATAAAGTATAACCAATGAATAATTGAAATGTAGTGTATATAAAATGTAACATTGGCAAAAGATAACCATCATTCAGTACACATTGCATTTTATATACACTTGTCTTCGTAAAAGGGTAAACATTTTTAATAAGAGTGCTAATCTTGGAACAATCAGCCTGGATATTAAATGATTAATTAAAGCATCTCTTGTCTCAAACAGTCATTTTCATCTTTAGAAAGAAACAAAAGTTTAAAAAAAGGAATCTTAATGTTTTCACAGTGGCAGAGATGAGATTTTATGTGAGAATCAGTACTGGGAAGAAAGTCCTGTTCTAAGTCTGAAAAATACTTCAAACAAATCTATGCTAGAAAATGTGTAGATAATATAAAAACACAATATTACAGACATGTAAAGGCAAATTTCAATCATGCGTTTGCAAATGCTCTGACTGCTCAAGTCATGTGTCATTTCAGCAAGTAATTGGATGGATTGTAGGCTATGAATATTAGTTTGCAATCCTGATTACACAAGAAAAGACTGTCATCCATTTTCAGATAAAACTGCATACAGAACATGACCCGCTAATAGTGCTGTATCCAATCAGAACAATTCTTGGCAAAGCAAAATTTGGTTTTGCTCTCAAATTTTATGGGTTGTTTTTTGACTGTGTAATAGGATAAAGATAAATCATTAACAGCGTTATTCACTAAAGAGAGAATTATCATGAATTCAAAGCGAATTGAAAGTGAATTTCACATTTTTGGCCAAAATAGCTGAATTGGAAAAAGTATCAAAGTCTTCCAGTTCAGCCTTAAAGGGACAGTACAGTCTCCAAAACAACTTTAGCGTTTTTGAAGTGGTTATGGTGTATTGATTATGCCTCTGCAGTCTCACTGCTCCATTCTCTGCCTCTTAGGAGTTAAATCATGTTTGTTTCTGTCTCCAGCCATATCCACACCCCCTGTCTGTGACTCACACAGTGTGCATGAAAATAACAATTATTTCATTTTCAGTCAGATGTTAACTTGCTTTAGAAGTTGTATCCTCTGCATTGTAAAATTAACTTTAATCATACACAAGAAGCTCTTGCATGGGCTGGAATGCTATTCACAGTGGAGAAGATAGGAAATTATACATTAAACATACTATGCATTAAATTAAGTTTAAATATTAGATCTCACTTTACAGGAAGTGTTTAGGAAGGCTGTGCAAGTTACATGCAAGGAGGTGTGACTAGGGCTGCATAAACAAAGTGATTTAACTCCTAACTGGCAGAGAACTGAGCAGTGAGACTGCAGGGGCATGATCTATACATTAAAACTGCTTTCATTAAGCTAAAGTTGTTTTGGTGACTATAGTGTCCCTTTAAATTTAAAATTCTCTTCAATTTCCTAATAGCATTATAGATGATGTGATCACTGTTTTACTGTTTCTCAATATTTTGTAGGATACAAACAAGCAAACGAAAAAGAAGCATCATACAGGTACACTTGCCAAACCTGTCCTCTGACTAGATTGTAGATCCTAAAGTGTACGCTACATGCCATTCTCGATCTGGTAGACATTGAAATAATGCACACATCTAGCAGACAAAAGCAGACAAAAAGGCATTCTTGCACTGGCCTGTCAAAGTCTCTTTTGACATTTCAGTTTTACAAAGAAAACTTATATAGGTACAATTACAGGTGACACTATTAATAATAATAATTGCATTACATGGTTTTTATTCCAGAGTTCTTGAAATATCATCAAAAAGAATTGCACATGCGTTCCAATTCCATAAATACCAAATGGAGAAGTTTAAAATTTGGAATTAAAGATAAAAACAGTCATTCATAAATAATATGTATAATACTATTAGCTCTTTGCTGGTCATATGGGGTGAGTGGTGCACTGCTTAACATGGAAATAAAATAGTAGAATTGAGTAATTTAGCCCCTTGTCCAGGACGTGTTGCTTTACTGTTTAAGACAGATTTCTACTGTTCAGGGTGTTAATAAAATGCTATGGTAACGAATATAAGACATGCCATTACAAACCTACCTTTATAAGCAGGTCTTTAATTCAGTTCAGCAGATCCAGGGTTAATGACATCCACTGTTTTGTAATGATAATTTGTAGGGTAGAGAAGCTGTTATGTAATTTAAAGTTTTGTCAATATCAGCTGTTATTATATGTCCTCCATATTATTTTCTATTATCAAATGATGAAGTGTCATTTTCCTTGTGGATTAGACAGGGTGCAGCACAGCTCCTTTGCTAACCCTGTATCCAATCTTGAGTGGTGAATCTCCACATTTTACTTCCTACAGTCAGGCTTTCTAGGTTATTTGACATGTTTTTTGTTTGTTGAATTGAATAGAATAGCGTGGAAAAAAAATCCATTCATTCTAGAAGAAAAGACATTTGGAAGAGAGATTAATGAACTATTTAGAATGAAGTCTGCACGCAGCTATTTTCAGCACCGACATATGACAGAAGCAAGAAGCCTGAATGTAAATCAAGAGCAAAACAAAATTAGACATCAACAAAAAGTTTATTTTTATGTGAATGAATGACATATCATGCAGATGGTATTTAAGCCATTGCTCTATATAACCAGAGCTGAAATAGGATTGATGGAATGTAATGGTTTTATTGAGTCAGCAATCTTAGCTTTAAATGTAAAATTCCAGAGAAAGCCTTGATATTTGTGGCCTTGGTTTGAGTATTTTTAACAACAAAGCTTTTTTTTGCAGGAAAACCCTCCCTGACCTTGTTCTTTGACTTGTGCCAGGAGTCACAACATCTGCAGGATTCCTAGTAGACGGTTTTGGGTTTTTTTAAATTAGAGGGTTTGAAAACAGGTTTGAGCTAAGACATAATATGTTATGTTATAAATACATATACTATTTTCACAGGGATTATAAATGTGTAAGCCCATTAAAAATGTTGAAGTTGAACTAATTAAACTGTAAATTTAAAATACTGACTGTGAAAAATGTAGGCCAAAATAGCACAGTTGGAAAATGTCTGTAACTAACCTAGCCAGTAATATTTAAAAAATAAATAAAAAAAATTGAGATTTATCTGAAATAATTAATCTCTTGTTTTAACTTGTTGTGCCCAATCAGTCACAATAAAACATTTTACCTGGAGTGGTAGTTTTGATTTGTAAGTGAGGCCTAGCATGCTTGTCATGTTTCAACCCTTTATCGTACATTCTATAAGATATTAGTTTATTTGTTTTTTTTTCACATTTACATTGTTATAATTATTTATAGAGCACAATTACATTCTTCAGCACGGTATACAGCAGGTAGGCAAATAAATAAATCGTGTCAACCTTTTTGAAAATTCTATGTACACTATATATCTTGCATTTATATTCTATCATGGTAATCAAAATTCTTAAGATAGCAGGCTATAATAACAGCTGTCCTGCAAGATGATTCTTTCATATTTGTGTCTAATTATAGGGACAGCATAGTCAACATATTTATGTTAAAGAATGAGACAACATGAATACAATAGAATAATGGTAATGTAATGAAGAGATATTTATGTTAAAGGATGAGCCAACATGAATACAATCGAATAATGGTAATATAAATCATCCAATGGGTGAATGGTTTTGTTTGTGTACCAGTGATGTAGAATAAGGCTTTTTATTTTTGATTATCTAAAGTGACTGTTCCATTTGTTTTTATTATATGCTTATCAATTCTTAAATTAGATCTCACAGACTTAATTTTTTAACATTGGGGCAGGCGAAATCTAGCTGTTGTACAATGACAAATCATTTACTATTTCTGTCACAAAATGGTTCACAAATACCCATCCTTTTGAAGTTTGAAGTGGACGAAAAGTAATTTCAGCCACAAGTAGTGCTCTCAACAACTCATTATTGTGAAGTGTAAGAAAGTCATTCCAGGTCCTGGCCTACAGTCACATGACCTACGATTGATTAACTTTGCTATTTAGAGCTAGTAGAAGTTCTAGTGTAAACTAAATACATATGTGATGTTTGCATTCCAGACAAGAAAGGTACAGGTAATTTTATTTTTCCTATAGAGGGGTGCAAGCTACCTACAATTTAGTTTACCTGTTCTATAAAAATATGACTGATCAACTTATTGTAAAAATATGGGGAGATATTGGAATTGTATGTTATTTTTAAATGTCTTGTTCCTCTTCTATTGCTGCAGTAGATACACTTGGCACTGCAGACCCCTTTGTGTTAATTCCCCAGATAATTTAGGTTATCAATCATGTTGCAACTTACGTTGACACCTGTCAGTCATCACCTAAACTCAAACCTTACATCTAACCTGCATGCTTGATAATGTCACTCTTAACTGTATACATTTTTTTTAATTAACTATATACATGCCGCATTTATGCAACTGAAGCTGACATTTTATATAACAAGAGGAGTGCAAGGGTATATTTCAAATTAGGAAATCGTAACATGCAACAATAAATAAATATTACAAAAATGGGTATTATTCACTAAATACAGAATTGTAGTGAATTTAGAATCAAGCTGGAAAATACAGACTGAAAGGGCCAAGCTATGTCTATAGCAGGATTATTTTGACCTAAATTTGAATTTAGTTTTGAATTCTGTACTATTCACTATTTAGTGATTACATCCCCATGTGTATCATGCTATGCTATTCTGTCACTTGAATAATGTTCACATAATGAGTGATATTAACCATTATGCAAAAATCTGGTGAAATCAGTTTGTGACAAATTATAATTGGCAAATTAAGGCTGGTTGAGAATGATTAGAGTTGAGATCATTCTGAGGTATAGTTGAGAATGATTAGAGTTGAGATCACTCTGAGGTAGTGTTTTACAGTTGTGCCTCTTTCCATACACATTATAACAAAATATCTCCAGTTAGAGTTAAGAAACATAATTTTAGCAATTTAAGTTCTGCATACAAGTCATTAGATCTCCAACTTTGGTCTGGATTTAGATACTCAAAAATGTTATCACTAGGTTTGAGAAAAAAGTTTCATACTACTTGGTGGTACTCTGTAATATCTATTTTACAATATAATTTGCAATATAGTTCAGTACTGTCTTTTTTTTTTTATTATACAAGCATTTGGTTGTACTCAAAGCAAACATCTTCTGCATAAGAAGTTAAAGCTTTTCCCCTGAACACAGTGTTCTTACAACTGATGCTGAAAACCTCAGACCATGTACATACACAAACACCCCCATGTGAAAACATTAAGCTAGCATGCATTAAGAACAATTAGGTATTAAGCATTATTTAATCAAATTTCAGACATGTAAACACGTGACAGCTAAAAAAAAAAAAAACACCAAAAAACCATCTGACATGATACTGCTAATTATCACAATAATACCAAGAATATATTTACCACCTTTATAAAGTTATACAAAAAGTAACAATAAAGTATTATATAAATTTTAATCTTGGAAATGTTAATACACATTTAAAACAACTTTAAATATCCCTGAATAAACAATGTGAATACAAATGCCTAAGCAAAAGAATAACACTAACACACAACAAATCAGCCTAATCTATCACTGATACCTCATTGCATTTGTTTACAAACCGAACAGTCACAAGCCATAAACAACTATGCAGCTAGAATTAAATATTGTAAATGAAATATACCCTCTCTTATATAATACAGAGTATTTAGATCACAACCATAAATGAAAAACCAACAGTAAAAATAAGCATTTGGAAAAACAAACTAGGCATTTTACTTGGATTGTAAGAAAGGCTCCCAACTTTGGAGTTTTAAAGACTCCTGCCCTTGGGAGCTCACCTTTACCTCCTGTGACAAATGGCAATAAGGCAAAAAAATAACAAAATACCTTTTGTAAGCCCCAAGGAAAAACTGTGGACAAACATTGTGTGCTATGATTCTTCCTATCCATTCTTGGGAACTGTCTTCTCTCTGTGGTTGAAAGCAAATGCTTTGAGATTCAGACGCATATTTAATTAGAAGCGAGCTGCTTGCACTATCAGTGTGTGGATCTACCTCTCCAATCTCTCGTGAGTCAATCTTTCCCATCTCTGATTTTCTTTTATATTTATGCTAGAATATTTAATTGTAGACAAAAGGTTACTCTGGCTGTATTCACTGCACAGAGGCAGAATAATCTGCTTTAAAAGGCTTGACATTTCAGGCTTTTCAAAAAGGCTGAAAAAATTATATCCCTGCTTTTGTTAATCAATGAAGTAGAACTCTCCTGAACAAAAGAATTAAATTGCTTGGTTGGTTTAATAAAACCAACAGAAATAGCTGCTTCCTCTGGGTTGTATTGTGTAGGCATGGCACATGCTTCCAGAACTGTAATTCCATATGATTTAGGGGCAAAACTCTAATTTCTGCACACAGTTGGGTTTTTAAATCCCTTTCAAACATTATCCATTCTGCCTGGCACTCTGAGGACAGATTCATCATTAAACTTGACTTTTTTTTTTACTCACTACAGCAGCTTAAAAAAAAAAAAAAAAACTTTAATTTTGGAGAGGATTAATCAAAGGAATAAAAAGATTTATTCCTGCCATGTAACATCATCAAGCAAATTATATCATTACATTATGAAAGTATTTGTGTATTTCCACTCATTAAGCATTATATGGAAGATTTTGCAAATTATGCAAAAAAGCCAATACCTGGTTTTATGTGACTATAGGGCAAGCGATGGCTCTAGACATTTTAAGAAGTGATATGACTTGACACTAAGTGGTTTATAAACTAAACAATTAATTTAAGGCATATTAATGATTTTGAAAATGTCCCCCAATAGAGCTTTTGTCCATATCTGATTATTTAGCCTGGGTTGTGCAAATTAGGTTTTTAATACCACAATTCACTGTTTAATGAATACACTGTATTAATTTGTGTTTACTAAGAGATCATAATTAATTAAACTAGACTTGTGCATTAATGCTTTTTAACCAGTACAAACAAATCAAATTCTGTTCTGGAATTACCTTTGGAATTGTATTCGATTACTAAGACTCCACAGCTAAAACCTAGACAATCAATCAGTTTAACCGTAGAATAGAAGGAATTTGGATAGTTGGTACCAGATGAAATGCATTACACCCTTAAGGACACATGACGGATATATTCCGTCATGATTCCCTTTTATTTCAGAAGTTGTGTCCTTAAGGGGTTAATGGACAAGTCTAATTACAACTATAGTTTGATAAGAAGAAACTTGTTAAGTGATTATTAAAAACCCCTAAAAATGTTTAATTTCGTTGTATGAGGGTATATAAAAATACTACACTTGGATAAAATACACAAGTGGCAATATACCAAAAGCCAAATAAACTCTATATTGTTAGGAATATAAGCATATATTCCAAACGCTGTATTGTTCTACTCATCATTTAGATATTAGATATCTGTCGTTGTCCCCAAATTGAATGAAAATAAAAGGGAAAATT